TCGAAAAATTGAAAAATCGAATAAATGAAAAAGTTTTATAATCTAGTAACTGAAAATTGGAAAAATTCTAAAATGGTGCAATTGAAAAATCAAAAAATCAAAACATCCAAAAGTTGGAAAATCGAAAAACTGAAAAATTTAAAAATGGAAATGCATTTCGTAAAATTAAACAAAAAAGAAATGAAAAACTGAAAATCCAAAAATTGAAGAAACAAATAATTGAAAATATAGAAAAATTTTAAAAATAGTAACTGAAAAATCGAAAAATTCTAAAATGGTGCAATTGAAAAATCAAAAAATTTAAGAAATAAAGAAAATAAAAGACGTTAACGAAAAATTGCAATCGAAAATTTGAAGAAATGTAAAACTGAAAAAACGAAAATTTGAAAATTAAAAATAGAAAATTGAAAAGTCGAATACATGAAAAAAATATTTTAAAAATGGAAAAATTCTAAAATCGGAAAATTGAAACGGTGAAATTGCAAACAGAAAAATTGCGAAATTTAAAAATGGAAACATCCAAAAGTTGGAAAATCGAAAAACTGAAAAATTTAAAAATGGAAATACATTACGTAAAATTAAAAAAGAAAGAAATGAAAAACAGAAAATCCAAAAATTGAAGAAACAAATAATTGAAAATATCGAAAAATTTAAAAAATAGTAACTGAAAAATGGAAAAATTCTAAAATGGTACAATTGAAAAATCAGAAAATTGAAGAAATAAAGAAAATAAAAGACGTGAACGAAAAATTGCAATCGAAAATTTGAAGAAATGTGAAACTGAAGAAATGAAAATTTGAAAATTAAAAACAGAAAAATCGAAAGTCGAATACATGAAAAAATATTTGAAAAATGGAAAAATTCTAAAATCCTAAAATTGAAACAATGAAATTGCAAACAGAAAAATTGCAAAATCTAAAAATTGAAACATCCAAAAGTTGGAAAATCGAAAAACTGAAAAATTTTAAAATGGAAATGCATTTCGTACAATTAAACAAGAAAGAAATGAAAAACAGATATTCCAAAAATTGTAGGAACAAATAATTGAAAATATCGAAAAATTTTAAAAATAAAAATCGGAAAAAATCGAAAAATCGAATAAATGAAAAAGTTTTAAAATCTAGTAACTGAAAAATGGAAAAATTCTAAAATGGTGCAATTGAAAAATCAAAAAATTTAAGAAATAAAGAAAATAAAAAAGTTTTAAAATCTAGTAACTGGAAAATAGAAAAATTCTAAAATGGTGCAATTGAAAAATAAAAAAATTGAAGAAATAAAGAAAATAAAAGATGTGAACGAAAAATTACAATCGAAAATTTGAAGAAATGTAAAACTGAAGAAACGAAAATTTGAAAATTAAAAATAGAAAATTGAAAAGTCGAATACATGAAAAAAGTATTTTAAAAATGGAAAAATTCTAAAATCGGAAAATTGAAACGGTGAAATTGCAAACAGAAAAATTGCGAAATTTAAAAATGGAAACATTCAAAAGTTGGAAAATCGAAAAACTGAAAAATTTAAAAATGGAAATACATTACGTAAAATTAAAAAAGAAAGAAATGAAAAACTGAAAATCCAAAAATTGAAGAAACAAATAATTGAAAATATCGAAAAATTTAAAAAATAGTAACTGAAAAATGGAAACATTCTAAAAAGGTACAATTGAAAAATCAGAAAATTGAAGAAATAAAGAAAATAAAAGACGTGAACGAAAAATTGCAATCGAAAATTTGAAGAAATGTGAAACTGAAGAAATGAAAATTTGAAAATTAAAAACAGAAAAATCGTAAGTCGAATACATGAAAAAATATTTGAAAAATGGAAAAATTCTAAAATCCTAAAATTGAAACAATGAAATTGCAAACAGAAAAATTGCAAAATCTAAAAATTGAAACATCCAAAAGTTGGAAAATCGAAAAACTGAAAAATTTACAAATGGAAATGCATTTCGTACAATTAAACAAGAAAGAAATGAAAAACAGATATTCCAAAAATTGTAGGAACAAATAATTGAAAATATCGAAAAATTTTAAAAATAAAAATCGGAAAAAATCGAAAAATCGAATAAATGAAAAAGTTTTAAAATCTAGTAACTGAAAAATGGAAAAATTCTAAAATGGTGCAATTGAAAAATCAAAAAATTTAAGAAATAAAGAAAATAAAAAAGTTTTAAAATCTAGTAACTGGAAAATAGAAAAATTCTAAAATGGTGCAATTGAAAAATAAAAAAATTGAAGAAATAAAGAAAATAAAAGATGTGAACGAAAAATTACAATCGAAAATTTGAAGAAATGTAAAACTGAAGAAACGAAAATTTGAAAATTAAAAATAGAAAATTGAAAAGTCGAATACATGAAAAAAGTATTTTAAAAATGGAAAAATTCTAAAATCCTAAAATCGAAACGGTGAAATTGCAAACAGAAAAATTGTAAAATTTAAAAATGGAAACATCCAAAATTTGGAAAATCGAAAAACTGAAAAATTTAAAAATGGAAATACATTACGTAAAATTAAAAAAGAAAGAAATGAAAAACTGAAAATCCAAAAATTGAAGAAACAAATAATTGAAAATATCGAAAAATTTAAAAAATAGTAACTGAAAAATGGAAAAATTCTAAAATGGTACAATTGAAAAATCAGAAAATTGAAGAAATAAAGAAAATAAAAGACGTGAACGAAAAATTTCAATCGAAAATTTGAAGAAATGTGAAACTGAAGAAACGAAAATTTGAAAATTACAAATAGAAAAATCAAAAAGTCGAATACATGAAAAAATATTTGAAAAATGGAAAAATTCTAAAATTCTAAAATTGAAACAATGAAATTGCAAACAGAAAAATTGCAAAATCTATAAATTGAAACATCCAAAAGTTGGAAAATCAAAAAAGTGAAAAATTTAAAAATGAAAATATATTTCGTAAAATTAAACAAGAAAGAAATGAAAAACAGATAATCCAAAAATTGTAGGAACAAATAATTGAAAATATCGAAACATTTTACAAATAAAAATCGGAAAAAATCGAAAAAATGAAAAAGTTTTAAAATCTAGTAACTCAAAAATGGAAAAATTCTAAAATGGTGCAATTGAAAAATCAAAAAATTTAAGAAATAAAGAAAATAAAAGATGTGAACCAAAAATTGCAATCGAAAATTTGAAGAAATGTGAAATTGAAGAAACGAAAATTTGAAAATTACAAATAGAAAATTGAGAAGTCGAATACATGAAAAAAATATTTGAAAAATGGAAAAATTCTACAATCCTAAAATTGAAACAATGAAATTCCAAATAGAAAAATTGCAAAATCTAAAAATTGAAACATCCAAAAGTTGGAAAATCGAAAAACTGAAAAATTTAAAAATGGAAATGCATTTCGTAAAATTAAACATGAAAGAAATGAAAAACAGATAATCCAAAAATTGTAGAAATAAGTAATTGAAAATATCGAAAAATTTAAAAATAAAAATGGGAAAAAAAATCGAAAAATTGAAAAAGTAACTGAAAAATGGATAAACTCTAAATGGCTAAACTGAAAAATCAAAAAATTGAAGAAATAAAGAAAATAAAAGACGTGAACGAAAAATTGCAATCGAAAATTTGAAGAAATGTGAAATTGAAGAAACGAAAATTTTAAATTTACAAATAGAAAAATCGAAAAGTCGAATACACGAAAAAATATTTGAAAAATGGAAAAATTCTAAAATCGAAAAACTGAAAAATTTAAAAATGGTAATACATTTCGTAAAATTAAACAAGAAAGAAATGATAAATTGAAAATCCAAAAATTAAAGAAACAAATAATTGAAAAAAGTCGAAAAATTGTAAAAACGAAAGAAAATAAAAAACCAAATCGAAAAATTATTATCGAAAATTTGAAGAAATGAAATAGCTTTAAAATGCAATAATTGAAAATCGTAAAATTGAAAAAGTGAAAAAATTTTTAAAATATGAACATTACATATTTAAAATAAAAACTAAAAAAATTGCAAATAAAAAATTGAAGAAACAAAAAATTGAACAATCATGAAACTGAAAAAGCTAATTGAAAAATCTAAACAAAAATAAAATATTTGGCAGTTTTGAACTCCTTGTATACTTAAACTACCATGTGAGTATTAAGACTGTGATTAAGGATTGAAGAAAAATTTTGGGTTGGCCGTTCTGAAATATTAGCAGCACTGTAAACATGTCAGTCTCAGTGGTCACAGTATAGGAGGATAACCTGTAGTGTGTGTCAGTTCACAGTTGTCAATTTTGACATAAGCATGAACTTGTGCCCAAAATTTCAATTTTATATCAGGTATGCCATAATATTTTTTTAAATGTTACCAACCTGACAAAAACAGTCACAAACACTTTAACAGTAACTCAGTCGACATTGCTGCTAATAATTGAGAACTGTCAATTTGTATAAGGAAAAATATGGCTACGTATATTAAGAAAAAAAAAAGACAAAATATAAGACCCGCCCACCCACCCTATCTCAATTGTGATGATTTTTTTATTCGTCGTGAGCCAAAGGGGCAGAGCTTAACTGCAAAATCCTTATTTCTCTACAAGAAATAAAAATATGTTTTTGAGTATCGTGTTATTCAAAGAATACTATGTATATTAAGAAAAAAACAAGCCAAAAATTAGGCCCCACCCATAACGAAGCTATAACGAATTTTTCATTCGTTGTCAGACCGAGGGGCGGAGCCTAATTGCAAAATCGATATTATCCTACAAAAATTTACCATGTCACAAAACTAGATTTTTTTATTACTACTAGTGGGATTTTTATGGAGCTTTATTTGAGTCATATTCTGACTAATATTTAATTAAATTATTGTGCATACTTTGATACATTTTTTGACCATATATTTTCACATTATTACCTGTTGGATTAAAAAAAAAATTGTGGTGGCAGCACTGTTGTTTTCCATTTAGGTAACCTGTCAGTTTGACATTTGTACTGTCAGTTAATTAAAAAACGCATATTAAGATATATGCAACACATTATACACACGATATTTTTTTTACAAATTTATAAATTGGCTTATGAATATACATAAACATCTAACCACAATGTTTACCCAGAAAAAAATCACTTTATTCCACATAACAAGCTGTTAAGAAAAATCAGAAAAATGAAAATATTCACTCTAATCAGTCCCTTTTCCAGCATTACACAATTTCTCCATCCGGATCACGGAGATAGAAGAGATCCGGATGTTGCGAATTAACATGTTTCTTCAAATCAGAACCCCTCTTAGACTTATACGAACACATTTTGCACTCAAACCATTTAACATCCTTCTCTTCCAAATGGCGCTCATTGACGTGATTTTTCAAACTCGACTTTCTTTTAGCTTTGTACGAACAATCCTGGCACTCGAACCACTTAATCTCACTCTCATCCAAATGCCGAGCCGTCACATGCGTCTTCAAATCCGCCTTCTTTTTAGCTTTAAACGGACAACTCTTACACTCAAACCACTGAATCTCACTTTCGTCCAAATGTCGCACGTTGATGTGGCTTTTCAAGTAAAATTTCTTTTTAGCTTTATACGGGCACTTTTTACACTCGTACCATTTAATCTCGTTGTCTTCCAAATGTCGTGAGTTTACGTGATTTATCAAATAACTGTTTCTCTTAGCTTTATACGGGCACTGTTTGCATTCGTACCATTTAATGTCCTTTTCGTCCACATGATGCACGACGACGTGTCGTTTCAAAATGTATTTTTCTTTAGCTTTATAGGGGCACTTGTCGCATTGGTACCAATTAATGTCTTGTTCGTCCAAATGTCGCACAATCATGTGACGGTTTAATCTCGACTTGTCCATAGCTTTAAATGAACACTGGTCACATTGGTACCATTTGACGTCGTTTTCGTTTAAATGGCACGACCGTACGTGGTTTCTTAAAGTTGTACTAACTTTGGCTTTGTAAGGACACTCGTCACATTCGTACCATCGGACATCTTTTTCGTCCATGTGGTGGGCGTTTATGTGGTACCTTAATATAGTGGTAAATTTACTTTTATACGGACACTCTTTGCACTGATACCATGTAATATTGTGTTCGTGAAAATGCGGCACAGCTATGTGCTGAATTAAATTACTAATCACTTTAGTTTTGTATGGGCACTTTTCACACTTATACCATACGGTATGCTGTTCAACCGCATGGTTGTTTACGTGTTTATTTAAATTCGATTTGTTCTTAGATTGGTACGAACACTTGTCACATTTGTACCACTGAATATCCCGTTCGTCTTCATGCACCATATTTATGTGGTGCTTTATATAATATTTATATTTAGTTTTATACGGGCACTTTTCACATTTGTACCACTTAACGTCATGTTCGTCCAAATGTCGTGAGTTAATGTGTGTTTTTAAAACTCCTTTATATTTAGTTTTAAATGGGCACGATTTGCATTGAAACCATTTAACAACACTTGTGCGATTGCTTGAAACGTGATTGCTAGACGAATGGTATGAATTCACGTGTTGCTTTAAATTTGACAGTGCTTTAGCTTTATATGGACACTTGTCACACTCATACCATTTGATATCACTTTCATTCGCATGTCGCGTAATCATGTGCTTTTTTACATACGACTTGTATTTGGTTTTAAATGGGCACTTTTTGCATTCGTACCATTTAACATCCAAGTGGTGCCAACTTAAATGACCTTTTAAAGCACAATGAGTTTTAGCTTTATATGGGCACTGATTGCATTCGTACCACTTAATTTCTTTTTCGTCCAAATGAAGCGCAGTTATGTGGTTTTTCATACACAACTTATACTTAGCTTTATAGGGGCACTTTTCACACTTATACCATTTGATCTCCCGTTCGTCCAAATGTACAGCATTTTCGTGCTTTTTTAAATGCGATTTATACTTGGTTTGGTGTGGACACTTTTCACACTTATACCACACAATATTCTCTGTGTGTTGTAAATCTATATGTTTTCGCAAGTTTGATTTTAATTTCGTCTTGTACGAACATTTTGTACAGTGGTGCCAACACACTTCATCGTCGTTCGAGTGTTTCAGAATTTTGTGTTTTTTCAGGTTTTGGTTGCACTTGAAGACGCGCCCGCACTGTTTACAGTCGTACAATTTGGCGGTTTTTTCGTTTTTGGGATGATTTATTAAAACCTGAAGGTGTTCATTACCGAAACACGTAGCGGTGTGTTGAAGCCACTTAAGCACGAATAGGGTTTTGAAATCGCATTTTTCGCACTTGTAGCTTTGGATGGCGATTTCGTCTTCGTTTTCTGTTTTTATTTTGTAATGGTTTTCATTGTGTTGTTTGTACAGGAGGCTCAGATTTGTCTGGAAATTGCAATCTTTGCAGTAGTAGCTTTCGATGGGGAGGTCGCATCTGAAGGGTGGGGGCGTTGAGTGGTGGCGTCTGCCGTGGCTTACCAAGAGAAACCATGATGGGGTAAAGTATGGGCAAAGCTTACAATCGTGGATATTTTTTGACATTTTTTGGTTAGTGGTGAGCTCGTTCAGGCATTGCACGAAGTATATGGATGTTGGTTATACCTAATAAATTACCATTTTTTTAAACAAAAATGAATAATTGTGTGTAGTTTCTCACCTATGTTTAACATAACCACAAAAATAGTAGTCTCGATTTATTAATTCTAACACTGCACATTTGCCACTCGTTTTTTTTTTCAAACAATACCTCTATCACACAAAAAATCGGTACAGAAAATTGTAGAACTTTCAAAAATATATAATTTCGTCGTATTTCCAAAATCAAATTTACATAACCTCAATCACAAGCAATTTGGTTTTTAGATGTATGCAACACACAATACACATGCAACAAGTGAACGATAGCTTTAAAATGGTCAGAATCGGGTGTTTGACGCCTGTATTTTAATCATAAGGGGGTAAGGTGGTCTAAATTTTTATTTTGGGATTAAAATTCTACTATATAACTACATGGATACTTCAGTGTTTTAACAAATTAAAATAACCTCTTTCTTTCTTCCTATAAGAAACAATGTTATTATTAAAATAAGCAATCACTGTACAATTTTTGAGAAGAAGCATAACGATTTTTTCCTTTTTTCTACGATAAAATGAAATTAATATACATAGATGAAAATCTGGTTCTAGTCCACTTTATTCTACCTAAGTGTTTAGAGCTTATGGAAACCCGCAGTGAGGAGATGGAGCAGCCTAATTTCCTTGCTCTCTTTCTTCGGTCCTCTGTTCTCTGTCTTCCATTCTCCGCTCTGTGTCCTCTTTTTTCTGTATTCTATATTTTGTGTTTTATCCGCTATTCCGTGCGTTCTATTCTCTGTCTTCTATCCTCTCTTCTCTGCCTTACACCCTGTTCTGTGACCACTACCCTGTTTTATGTTCTCTGTCCTGTGTTTTCTAACCTGCTCTTTGTCGTTTATCCTGGTCTTTGTTCTCTATACCCTGTTCTGTGTCCTCCATACTCTGCCCTTTATCTTCTATCCTCTCCTCTCGGTCCTAACCTGTTGTGTTCTCTGTTACCCGTTTTCTCTTTTAAATCTTTTATTCTCTTTCCTCTGACCTCTATCGTGTTACCTGTCCTCCATTCTCCTTTCTCTGTCCGCTATTCTCTATTTTTTATCTCATGTCTTATATCCTTTGCTCCTTGTCTTCTATCCTCTCTTCTCCGCCCACTAATCTCTTTTATGTCATATATCCTCTGTATTCTAACTTGTTCTTTATCGTCTGTCCTATTCTATGTCCTCTATCCGTGTTCTGTGTCCTCCATGCTCTGCCCTTTATCTTCTTTATTCTCTCGTCTCGGTGCTCTATTTTGTTGTTTTCTGTTATCTATTTTCTCCTTTCTATCTTTATTCTCTCTTCCCTGAGCTCTTGTTACCTGTCTTTCATTCTTCTTTCTTTGTGCGCTCCTCTCTATCTTCTATCTTCTATTTACTGTTCTATGTCCTCATCCTATACCCCGTTCTGTGTCCTCCATACTCTGCTTGTTTATCGTCTATTCTCGCTTCCCGGTCCTCTATCTTGTTGTGTTCTTTGTTATTTCTTTTTTCTTTTCTCGCTTTTATTCTCCCTTGTCTGACCTCTATCCTATTACTTGCAATCTATTCTCTTTTTCTGTCCGCTGTTCTCTATTCTTTAGCTTTTGTCTTCTATCCACAGTTCCCTGCCTTCTATTCTGTACTCTGTGTCCTCTATCCTCTGTTTTCTGTCTTCCATCTTGTTTTCTGTCCACTATCCTGTTATATGTCTCCGCCCGAAGTTATCTGTCTTCCATTCTCCCTTCTCTGTTCTCTGTCTTCTATTCTCTGTTCTCTGTCTTGTACCCTCTCTTCTCTGCCCACTAACCTTTTCTATGTCTTCTAACCTTTGTTTTCTAACCTGTTCTTTAACGTCTGTCATATTCTATGTCCTCTATTCCCGTTCTGAACCCTCCATACTTTGCTTTTCATCTTCTCTATTCTCTCTTTTCCATCGTTATTTTCTCTTCCCTGACCTCTATCCCGTTACCTGTCTTCCATTCTCCGTTCTCTGTGCGCTCTTCTCAATCTGCTATCTTCTATTTTCTATTTTCTTTTCTCTGCCTACCATTCTGTTCTATGTCCTCTATCCTCTGTTTTCTAACCTACTTTTTATCGTCTATCCTATTCTGTGTCCTCATCCTAAACCCCGTTCTGTGTCTTCCATACTCTGCTTCTTTATCTTCTATTCTCTCTTCCCGGTCCTCTATTTTGTTGTGTTCTCCGTTATCCCTTTTTTCTTTTCTCTATTTTATTCTCTCTTCTCTATGTTTTATCTTTTGTCTTATAACCACAGTTTCCCACCTTCTATTCTCTGCTCTGTGTCCTCTATCCTCTGTTTTCTGTCCTCCATCTTGTTTTCTGTCCACTATCCTGTTATATGTCCCCTGCCCGATGTCATGTGTCTTCCATTCTCCCTTTTCTGTCCTCTGTTCTCTATCTTCCATCTACTATCTTCTATCCGCTGTTCCCTGTCTTCTACCCTCTCTTCTCTGCCCATTAACCTCTTCTATGTCCTCTATCCTCTGTTTTCTAATCTGTTCTTTATCGTCTATCCTGTTCTGGGTCCTTATCCTATACACCATTCTGTGTTCTCCATACTCTGCTTCTTTATTTCCTATTCTCTCTTTTCGGTCCTCTATCTTGCTGTGTTCTCTGTTATCCCTTTTTTCTTTTACCTCTTTTATTCTCCCTTCTCTGACCTCTATCTTATTACTTGTTCTCCATTCTCCTCTCTCTGTGCGCTCTTCTCTATCTTCTATCTTCTATCTTCTATTGTCTGTTCTCTGTCCTCTATCCGCTCTTTTCTAACCTGTCCTTTATTGTCTATCCTGTTCTGTGTCCTCATCCTATACCCCATTCTATGTCCTCCATATTCTGCTTCTTTATCTTTTATTCTCTCTTCCTGGTCCTCTATCTTGTTGTGTTCTCTGTTATCTCTCTTTCTTCTCTCTTTTTTATTCTCTCTTCTCTGGTTTCTATCCTATTACTTGTCTTCTATTCTTCTTTCTCTGTCCGCTATTCTCTCTTTTTTATCTTTTGTCTTCTATCCACAGTTCCCTGCTTTCTATTCGCTGATCTGTGTCCTCTATCGTCTGTTTTCTGTCGTCCATCTTATTTTCTGTCCACTATCCTGTTATATTTCCCCTGTCCGATATTATCTATTTTCCATTCTCCCTTCTCTGTCCTCTGTTCTTTGTCTTCCATCTTCTATCTTCTATCCTCTGTTCCCTGTCTTCTACCCTCGCTTCTCTGTCCACTAACCTCTTCTATGTTCTCTATCTCTGTTTTCTAACCTGTTTTTTATCGTCTATCCTGTTCTGTGTCCTTATCCTATACACCGTTATGTGTTCTCCATACTCTGCTTCTTTATCTTCTATTCCCTCTTGTCGGTCCTCTATCTTTCTCTGTTCTCAATTAGTTACACCTTTTTTTTTATCTCTTTTATTCTCCCTTCTCTGACCTCTATCATATTACTTGTTCTCCATTCTCCTCTCTGTGCGCTCTTCTCTATGTTCTATCTTCTATTTTCTGTTCTCTGTCCTCTATCCGCTCTTTTCTAACCCGTCCTTTATTGTCTATCCTGTTCTGTGTCCTCATCCTATACCCCATTCTATGTCCTCCATATTCTGCTTCTTTATCTTTTATTCTCTCTTCCTGGTCCTCTATCTTGTTGTGTTCTCTGTTATCTATCTTTCTTCTCTCTTTTTTATTCTCTCTTCTCTGGTTTCTATCCTATTACTTGTCTTCTATTCTTCTTTCTCTGTCCACTATTTTCTCTTTTTTTATCTTTTGTCTTCTATCCACAGTTCCCTGCTTTCTATTCGCTGATCTGTGTCCTCTATCGTCTGTTTTCTGTTCTGTCGCCCATCTTATTTTCTGTGCACTATCCTGTTATATTTCCCCTGTTCGATGTTATCTATCTTCCATTCTCCCTTCTCTGTCCTCTGTTCTTTGTCTTCCATCTTCTATCTTCTATCCTCTGTTCCCTGTCTTCTACCCTCGCTTCTCTGCCCACTAACCTCTTCTATGTTCTCTATCCTCTGTTTTCTAACCTGTTTTTTATCGTCTATCCTGTTCTGTGTCCTCAACCTATACACCGTTCTGGGTTCTCCATACTCTGCTTCTTTATCTTCTATTCCCTCTTCTCGGTCCTCTATCTTGCTGTGTTCTCTGTTATCCCTTTTTTCTTTTATCTCTTTTATTCTCCCTTCTCTGACCTCTATCTTATTACTTGTTCTCCATTCTCCTCTCTCTGTGCGCTCTTCTCTATCTTCTATTTTCTGTTCTCTGTCCTCTATCCGCTCTTTTCTAACCTGTCCTTTATTGTCTATCCTGTTCTGTGTCCTCATCCTATACCCCATTCTATGTCCTCCATATTCTACTTCTTTATCTTTTATTCTCTCTTCCTGGTCCTCTATCTTGTTGTGTTCTCTGTTATCTCTCTTTCTTCTTTCTTTTTTATTCTCTCTTCTCTGATTTCTATCCTATTACTTGTCTTCTATTCTTCTTTCTCTGACCGCTATTCTCTCTTTTTTTATCTTTTGTCTTCTATCCACAGTTCCCTGCTTTCTATTCGCTGATCTGTGTCCTCTATCGTCTGTTTTCTGTCGTCCATCTTGTTTTCTGTCCACTATCCTGTTATATTTCCCCTGTCCGATGTTATCTATCTTCCATTCTCCCTTCTCTGTCCTCTGTTCTTTGTCTTCCATCTTCTATCTTCTATCCTCTGTTCCCTGTCTTCTACCCTCGCTTCTCTGCCCACTAACCTCTTCTATGTTCTCTATCCTCTGTTTTCTAACCTGTTTTTTATCGTCTATCCTGTTTTGTGTCCCCATCTTAGACCCCATTCTATGTCCTCCATACTCTGCTTCTTTATCTTTTATTCTCTCTTCCCGGTCCTCTATCTTGTTGTGTTCTCTGTTATCTGTCTTTCTTCTCTCTTATTTATTTTCTCTTCTCTGGTTTCTATTCTATTACTTGTCTTCTATTCTTCTTACTCTGTCCGCTATTCTCTCTTTTTTATCTTTTGTCGTCTACCCACAGTTCCTTGCCTTCTATTCTCTGCTTTGTGTCCTCTGTCCTCTGTTTTCTGTCCACTATCCTGTTATATGTCCCCTGCTCGATGTTACCTGTCTTCCATTCTCCCTTCTCTGTCCTCCGTTCTCTGTGTTCCATCTTCCAGCTTCTATCCGTTGGTCCCTGTCTTCTATCCTTTCTTCTCTTCCCACTAACCTCTTCTATGTCCTCTATCCTCTGTTTTTTAACTTGTTCTTTAGCATCTGTCTAATTCTATGTGCTCTTTGTTCCTTCTGTGTCCTCCATACTCTGCCCTTTATCTTGTCTCTTCTCTCATCTTGGTCCTCTATCTTGTTGTGTTTTCTGTTATCTATTCTCTCTTTTCTATCTTAATTCTCTCATCCCTGACCTCTATCTTGTCACCTGTCTTCCATTCTCCTTACTCTGTGCGCTCTCCTCTAACTTTTATCTTCTATTTTCTGTTTACTGTCTACTATTCGAATCTATGTCCTCTGTCCTCTGTTTTATAACCTGTTCTTTATTGTCTATCCTGTTCTGTGTCCTCATCCTATACCCCGTTCTGTGTCCTCCATAGTCTGCTTCATTATCTGCTATTCTCTCTTCCCGGTCCACTATCTTGTTGTGTTCTCTGTTATCTCTTTTTTCTTTTCTCTCTTTTATTCTCTTTTCCCTGACTTCTATTTTATTAATTGTCCTCTATTCTCCTTTCTCTGTCCGTTATTCTGTATTTTTTATTTTTGGTCCTTTATCTACAGTTCTCTGCTTTCTGTTCTCTGATCTGTGTTCTCTATCGTCTGTTTTCTGTCCTCCATCTTGATTTCTGTCTATTATATTGTTATATGTCCCCTGTCCGATGTTATCTGTCCTCCATTCTCCCTTCTCTGTCCTCTGTTCTCTGTCTTCGATCTTCTTTCTTCTATCCGCTGTTCCTTGTCTTCTACCTTCTCTTCTCTACCCACTAACCTCTTCTATGTCCTCTATCCTCTGATTTGTAACTTGTTCTTTACCATCTGTCTAATTCTATGTGTTCTTTGCCCCTTCTATGTCCTCCATACTCTGCCCTTTATCTTGTCTCTTCTCTCAACTTGGTCCTCTATCTTGTTGTGTTTTCTGTTATCTATTCTCTCTTTTCTGACCTCTATCTTGTCACCTGTCCTCCATTCTCCTTTTTCTGTGGGCTCTTCTCTATTTTCTATCTTCTATTTTCTGTTTACTGTCTACTATTCGAATCTATGTCCTCTGTTCTCTGTTTTACAACCTGTTCTTTATTGTCTATCTTGTTCTGTGTCCTCATCCTATACCCTGTTCTTGTCCTCCATACTCTGCTTCTTTATCTGCTATTCTCTCTTCCCGGTCCACTATCTTGTTGTGTTCTTTGTTATCTCTTTTTTCTTCTCTCTCTTTTATTATCTCTTCTCTGACCTCTGTTCTATTACTTGTCCTCTGTTCTCTTTTCTCTGTCCGTTATTCTCTATTTTTCTACAGTTCCTTGCCTTCTATTCTCTGATCTGTGTCCTCTATCCTCTGTTTTCCGTCCTCCATCTTGTTTTCTGTCCCCTATCCTGTTATATGTCCCCTGTCCGATGTTATCTCTATTCCATTCTCCCTCCTCTGTCCTCTGTTCTCTGTCTTCCATCTTCTATCTTCTATCCGCTGTTCCTTGTCTTCTACCCTCCCTTCTCTGTCCACTAACCTCTTCTGTGTTCTCTATCCTTTGTTTTCTAATCTGTTCTTTATCGTTTGTCCTACTCTATGTCCTCTATGTCCGTTTTGTGTCCTCCGTACTTTGCCCTTTATCTTCTCGATTCTCTCATCTCGAGCCTCTATTTTGTTGTGTTTACTGTTATCTATTTTCCGTTTTCTCTCTTTTATTCTCTCTTCTCTGACATCTATCCTGTTACACCTGTCTTCCATTCTACTTTCTTTGTCTGCTGTTTTTTGTATTCTATCTTCTATCTTCTGTCTACTATCTGCTGCCCCCTGTCTTCTATTCTTTCTGTGTCCTCTATCGTCTGTTCTCTGTCCTCCATTCTATTGTCTGTCCACTATCCTGTCCTATATCCCCTTTCCTCTAGTATCTCTCTTCCATTTTTCATTCTCTGTACTTTTTTCTCTGCCTTCTATTTTGTTCTCTATCTACTAGTCTCTCCTCTATCCTGTGTGCCCTGTGTCTATTCTCTTTTTTCGTCCTCTATTTTCTGTTGTTTATCTTCTATTCTCTATTCTGTGTCCTCTATCCTCTGTTCGCTGTTCTCTATCCTCCATTCTCTCTTCTCAGTCCTCCATTCCGTTCTGTCCTCTATCGAATGTTCTACGTCCTCTATTCTACATTTTTTATGACCCGTTATGAGGTTGAAAAAAAAAATAGAAACTTTCATAGATTTTTCTTCAGTAAACCATTTTTAGTTGCCCCATTTAGTAAAATTTGCCTTTTTTATCCGGATCAGCACACTGAGCAACAATTTGCATTATTAATATTTCAAAAAGAATACGGAAAATGATTATTATGTGTTGAAGGTCTAATAAATATGTTTGAAATTGCTAAAAGCGCGGTGTTTTTCGATTTTCAAATTTGACATTTCCGTCAGTTCCAAACGCAAATTCCCCAGCCGGTTATTTACTTACGTCATATGTGGTTGACAGCTGTCACTTTCGGCAAGTCACAATTCGTTGTTTTCCAAATATTACAGTAAAAAAACATGAGTGAGTTAGTGTGGGGCATCAAGAACGGTGATTTGGAGCAAGTTAAGGATATCGTCGAGAAAAAGGTAAGAATTGGCAGCGCAGCCCCCTTGTGCTAACTCCGCTTCGCAGGCTGTTAACGTAAATGAACAAATAGATGGGCGCCCCCCGATCCTTTACGCCGCCGACTACGGCCAGACTGACGTAATACAGTATTTAATCGCGGCAGGCGCCGACGTCAACGTAAGTAGCCCCCTCGAAGCGACTTTCATGACCCGTCCGTTTCAGTCGAAAGACAAACACGGAATCACAGCGATCCTAGCCGCCATCTGGGAGGGCCACAAAGACTGCGTCAAGCTCCTCTTGGCGAACGGAGCATCGAAAAATGGGGTAGCCCCCGACGGAAAGACTTATATCGAATCTGCCGATAATAACGAAATTAGGCAGTTGCTGTCGTCCTAAATTATTTATATGCTTATTGACGCTGTCCTAGATATTCTAAAGAGAGTTAAAAAAATCGAATGCAATAGAGTGCTTATTTATGTTTTATTAATCTAAATTTCAATAAACGTTTTTTTGTATTACTCCATCACTTTATTTTCCTACTGACTGACTAACATTGAACTTAACCTACTTTTTCCCTTCAACAGCCTTGGTTTCTTTGTCGGTTTTGTTGCCGTCTCCCTTCACCACCTGGACCATCCGGAGGGTTAACACTGCCAGGATGGCGTCCAGCGGATCCATGAAGCCCCGTTGCATCCACTTGGGAATCGTGGTGCGGGCGTGCGAGAAGCCCAACTTTTGTAAAATATAGTCTATACCGTACGGTTCTATGTACTTCCCGGCGACACTCAGCAGCCTCACCGTGGGCTCCAAATGCCACGTTTTGCAATTGTAGTTCCTCCAATCTTTCGCAAAAATGTCCATGTCGATCGAACCTTTTTTCGTCGGGTTTTCCGACAATTTGGACTTTTCAGCGACGTCTGCAGCGCTACGTTTTTCACTGAACCCAAGCTTCTCTTTTTCCTTGACGTACGACGTGATCAAGTCGTGTAGAAAGAAAAAGGCTTCGGCGTCCACCGTCACGAAGATGTGGTCTTCGAACTCGGTGATGAAGCTACACTCGACGGTGGGTTTTTCCCCCAGGAGGTCGGGTACGGTCGCTGTTTGTAGATGTTCGGTTTTTAAGTGCAGCTGCAAACTTGGTAGGGCAAAAATCACTTCGCGGTTGTGGTTGGGGTCGGCTAGTTTTGAGGCGCTGCCGCGCCCTCTGTCGATGGAATTGTTACCGTCGCCTTTTTCGCGCTCGAGGGACGGGAATTTGTCGACTTCTGCAAAAAGGGGTGGTGTGATTGTTATTGCGAGCGAAGCGAGCTATTGTTTACCGTCAATTTGACTATTAGCGAAGGCGTAGTGGAACCACTCCTGCAATGTCTTGAACTGTGGTGGAAAGATCACACTCCGGCTCACTTTACACACCGTCGCCATCGACAAGTGAGTCTTGTAAGTACTCAGACCTAAACTGCACGTGAGGGTTTGCACCACGTGCACATCCTGCGCTGGAGCGTTTTCTAAAAAAAAAAAATAATTATAAAATAACAAACTACTCTATTATCCATTCACGATCTTTATTTTTTTTTCCTAACAATCCTTATTAGACATATTTTGTCCCTCTTATTTTTACTCGTTTTATGTAACTCGCCAAGTTTCGATTCTTTCGTCATTTTGTCAAAATAGAAAATATTGGTGGAATTAAAAAAAAATATCAGCACAACACACTCAAAATTATTCGAATGCTATCGGTGTTTTATTTTTGACACTCAATGTAAATTGTTGAATTATAAAAATTGGTCTAAAGTTATTTAGACAGCACTTTCCTCGCTCTTAAAGTCCGGTAGGTATAACATATTCAGTTTTGTCAGATAATTGTAAGATTCGATTTAGAGATTTCTTTTGCTGATAATGCAGTAAAGAGATCCATCTGGCGCAGTTTTTCTAATTTTCAGGCTTTCATTTTTCCATTCCATGATTTTCCACGTTGAAAATTTTTCAATTTGCAGTTTTTGGATTTCCAGTCTTCCAATTTTTCAATTGCTTTAATCTTCAATATTTTGATTTTACAATATATATTTCTTTTTTTATTTTTCACTTTTTAGAATTTTAAGTTTTTCAAATTTTAATTTTTCGATTTTTCAAATTTTCGTTTCTTCAAATTTTCATGTTTGATTTTCACTTTTGACATTTTTCAAGTTTTCACTTTTTCGTTTTTTTATTTTTGATTTTTCAATTTTACAGTTTCTTGACTTCTAAATTTTCCAATTTTTCGATTTGCAATTTTTTAATTTTGCAATTTTTCGATATTACAGTTTCTCATTTTTCGATTTTTAGATTCTCAGTTTTCAATTCTTCGTTTTCTCGATTTTTTAATTTTCATTTTCTCGATTTTGTCACAATTTTCATTTTTTCAGTTCCTTTATTTTTTGTTGTTTCTTTCGATTTTTCAATTTTTCGTTTCTTCAATTTTTCGAATTTTCAGTTTCTCAATTTTTCGTTTCCACAATTTTTCATGTTCCTGATTTTTATTTTTCAGTGTGGCGAATTTTTAATTTTTATTTTCTCGATTTATATCACGATTGTCCGTTTCCCCATTTCCTTTATTTTTTTTTATTTTACAATTTTTCATTTGTTCAGTTTTTCAAAGTTTACATTTTGTAATTTTTCGTTTTTTATTTTTGATTTTTCAATTTGGCAATTTTTCAATATTACAGACTTTCATTTTTCGATTTTTCAGTTTCTCAACTTTTCATTTTTTCCTTTTCCAACTTTTTGTTTCCGATTTTTATTTTTCATTTTCCCGATTTTTTAATTTTCACTTTTTCGATTTTATATCACAATTTTCCTTTTTCTGATTTCCTTTATTTTTTGTTGTTTATTTCAATATTTCAATTTTTCGTTTCTTTGATTTTTCGAATTTTCAGTTTCTCAATTTTTCTTGTTCCCGATTTTTATTTTTCAGTGTGGCGAATTTTTAATTCTTATTTTCTCGATTTATATCACGATTGTTCGTTTCTTCATTTCCTTTATTTTTTTTTTCGATTTTACAATTTTTCATTTGTTCAGTTTTTCAAATTTTCAGGCTTTGAATTTTCAGTTCGTCCATTTTTCAATTTTTAAATTTTTGGCTTTGCAGTTTTTGGATTTCCAGTCTTCCGATTTTCCAATTTCTTTAATTTTAAATATTTCTATTTCATATTACATATTTCTTTTTTTTTTGATTTTTCACTTTTTCGATTCTTCAGATTTTTCAAGTTTTCATTTTGTAATTTTTCGTTTTTTATTTTTGATTTTTCAATTTTACAATTTCTCGACTTCCAAAATTTTCAATTTTTCGGTTTACATCAGTTTTTCAATTTGGCAATTTTTCAATATTATAGATTTTCATTTTTCGATTTTTCAGTTTCCCAACTTTTCATTTTTTCCTTTTACAACTTTTTGTTTCCGATTTTTATTTTTCATTTTCCCGATTTTTTAATTTTCACTTTTTCGATTTTATATCACAATTTTCCTTTTTTCTGATTTCCTTTATTTTTTTTCTACAATCGTGTAAAAAATGACTCATATGTCAATGGTTTAGAGTGCAAAAAGTGGCACTTTCTTGCACTAGTGCAAGAAAATTTTTATTGCACTCTAATGTCAATCTAATCGACGTCAAATTTCATGTATATTCATATTTTCTTTCACCAAAAGGGAAGCACGTATCATGGAATATTCGGACTCGAGGGTAGAAGACTTTACCTTTGTTGACTGATTGGAAAAATAAGCCAGCAGCACGGTTTCTGTTAACTACACAACATTTTTGTCCGCACACCATTCTTTGAACCGGTTGTATGTCAGATCATATTGTTTTGTGGGATTTCTCGGGCAACAAATTAAATATTGACGCATTGGCCATCTCGGTAATTTCATTTTCGCTCGAATCGCTCATTTTGGGGTCAGCACGGTTCAAAACACTCACTCACTACTTATTTATGGCGTTTTATTTTATTTTGCAAATTGTTTTTTTTGGAAACATTGTTTGGTTGTCATGGTAGTCACGACTAACTAACATAAGACAGCATGATGATACCTTTTGGTTGTTGTAGAATTTTCTTCAAATCTCCAATAAAACTGGTGCATTATACCCACGATTGTAGAAAAAATGTTGTATGCAACACGTGCAAAAGTGTTCTTGCACTTGACGTATTGTCCAACTCGACCTTCGGTCTCGTCGGACAATTGTTACGTCGCGTGCAAGAATCAGTCACTTTTTGCACTTGTTGCATAAATAACTATTGTTGTTTATTTCGATATTTCAATTTTTCGTTTCTTCAATTTTTCGAATTTTCAGTTTCTCAATTTTTCTTGTTCCCGATTTTTATTTTTCAGTGTGGCGAATTTTTAATTTTTATTTTCTCGATTTATATTACGATTGTCCGTTTCTTCATTTCCTTTATTTTTTTTTTCGATTTTACAATTTTTCATTTGTTCAGTTTTTCAAAATTTTCAGGCTTTGAATTTTCAGTTCGTCCATTTTTCAATTTTTAAATTTTTTATTTTTGATTTTTCAATTTTACAATTTCTGGACTTCCAAAATTTTCAATTTTTCGGTTTGCATGTTTTTCAATTTGGCAATTTTTCAATATTACAGACTTTCATTTTTCGATTTTTCAGTTTCTCAACTTTTCATTTTTTCCTTTTACAACTTTTTGTTTCCGATTTTTATTTTTCATTTTCCCGATTTTATATCACAATTTTCCTTTTTCTGATTTCCTTTATTTTTTGTTGTTTATTTCAATATTTCAATTTTTCGTGTCTTCAATTTTTCGAATTTTCAGTTTCTCAATTTTTCTTGTTCCCGATTTTTATTTTTCAGTGTGGCGAATTTTTAATTTTTATTTTCTCGATTTATATCACGATTGTCCGTTTCTTCATTTCCTTTATTTTTTTTTCGATTTTACAATTTTTCATTTGTTCAGATTTTCAAATTTTCAGGCTTTGAATTTTCAGTTCATCCATTTTTCAATTCTTAAATTTTTGACTTTGCAGTTTTTGGATTTCCAGTCTTCCGATTTTCCAATTTCTTTAATTTTAAATATTTCAATTTCATAATACATATTTCTTCTTTTTTTGATTTTTCACTTTTTCGATTCTTCAGATTTTTCAAGTTTTCATTGTGTGATTTTTCGTTTTTTATTTTTATTTTTCAATTTTACTATTTCTCGACTTCCAAAATTTTCAATTTTTCGGTTTGCATGTTTTTCAATTGGGCAATGTTTCTATATTACAGACTTTCATTTTTCGATTTTTCAGTTTCTCAACTTTTCATTTTTTCCTTTTCCAACTTTTTGTTTCCGATTTTTATTTTTCATTTTCCCGATTTTTTAATTTTCACTTTTTCGACTTTATATCACAATTTTCTTTTTTCTGATTTCCTTTATTTTTTGTTGTTTATTTCGATATTTCAATTTTTCGTTTCTTCAATTTTTCGAATTTTCAGTTTCTCAATTTTTCTTGTTCCCGATTTTTATTTTTCAGTGTGGCGAATTTTTAATTTTTATTTTCTCGATTTATATCACGATTGTCCGTTTCTTCATTTCCTTTATTTTTTTTTTCGATTTTACAATTTTACAAAATTACAAATGTTCAGTTTTTCAAATTTTCAGGCTTTGAATTTTCAGTTCGTCCATTTTTCAATTTTACAATTTCTCGACTTCCAAAATTTTCAATTTTTCGGTTTGCATGTTTTTCAATTTGGCAATTTTTCAATATTACAGACTTTCATTTTTCGATTTTTCAGTTTCTCAACTTTTCATTTTTTCCTTTTCCAACTTTTTGTTTCCGATTTTTATTTTTCATTTCCCCGATTTTTTAATTTTCACTTTTTCGATTTTATATCACAATTTTCCTTTTTCTGATTTCCTTTATTTTTTGTTCTTTATTTCGATATTTCAATTTTACGTTTCTTCAATTTTTCGAATTTTCAGTTTCTCAATTTTTCTTGTTCCCGATTTTTATTTTTCAGTGTGGCGAATTTTTAATTTTTATTTTCTCGATTTATATCACGATTGTCCGTTTCTTCATTTCCTTTATTTTTTTTTCGATTTTACAATTTTACAAAATTACAAATGTTCAGTTTTTCAAATTTTCAGGCTTTGAATTTTCAGTTCGTCCATTTTTCAATTTTACAATTTCTCGACTTCCAAAATTTTCAATTTTTCGGTTTGCATGTTTTTCAATTTGGCAATTTTTCAATATTACAGACTTTCATTTTTCGATTTTTCAGTTTCTCAACTTTTCATTTTTTCCTTTTCCAACTTATTGTTTCCGATTTTTATTTTTCATTTTCCCGATTTTTTAATTTTCACTTTTTCGATTTTATATCACAATTTTCCTTTTTCTGATTTCCTTTATTTTTTGTTGTTTATTTCGATATTTCAATTTTTCGTTTCTTCAATTTTTCGAATTTTCAGTTTCTCAATTTTTCTTGTTCCCGATTTTTATTTTTCAGTGTGGCGAATTTTTAATTTTTAATTTCTCGATTTATATCACGATTGTCCGTTTCTTCATTTCCTTTATTTTTTTTTTCGATTTTACAATTTTTCATTTGTTCAGTTTTTCAAATTTTCAGGCTTTGAATTTTCAGTTCGTCCATTTTTCAATTTTTAAATTTTTGACTTTGCAGTTTTTGAATTTCCAGTCTTCCGATTTTCCAATTTCTTTAATTTTAAATATTTCTATTTCATAATACATATTTCTTTTTTTTGATTTTTCACTTTTTCGTTTCTTCAGATTTTTCAAGTTTTCATTTTGTAATTTTTCGTTTTTTATTTTTGATTTTTCAATTTGGCAATTTTTCAATATTACAGACTTTCATTTTTCGACTTTTCAGTTTCTCAACTTTTCATTTTTTCCTTTTCCAACTTTTTGTTTCCGATTTTTATTTTTCATTTTCCCGATTTTATATCACAATTTTCCTTTTTCTGATTTCCTTTATTTTTTGTTGTTTATTTCGATGTTTCAATTTTTCGTTTCTTCAATTTTTTGAATTTTCAGTTTCTCAATTTTTCTTGTTCCCGATTTTTATTTTTCAGTGTGGCGAATTTTTAATTTTTATTTTCTCGATTTATATCACGATTGTCCGTTTCTTCATTTCCTTTATTTTTTTTTTCGATTTTACAATTTTTCATTTGTTCAGTTTTTCAAATTTTCAGGCTTTGAATTTTCAGTTCGTCCATTTTTCAATTTTTAAATTTTTGACTTTGCAGTTTTTGAATTTCCAGTCTTCCGATTTTCCAATTTCTTTAATTTTAAATATTTCTATTTCATAATACATATTTCTTTTTTTTGATTTTTCACTTTTTCGATTCTTCAGATTTTTCAAGTTTTCATTTTGTAATTTTTCGTTTTTTATTTTTGATTTTTCAATTTGGCAATTTTTCAATATTACAGACTTTCATTTTTCGACTTTTCAGTTTCTCAACTTTTCATTTTTTCCTTTTCCAACTTTTTGTTTCCGATTTTTATTTTTCATTTTCCCGATTTTATATCACAATTTTCCTTTTTCTGATTTCCTTTATTTTTTGTTGTTTATTTCGATGTTTCAATTTTTCGTTTCTTCAATTTTTTGAATTTTCAGTTTCTCAATTTTTCTTGTTCCCGATTTTTATTTTTCAGTGTGGCGAATTTTTAATTTTTATTTTCTCGATTTATATCACGATTGTCCGTTTCTTCATTTCCTTTATTTTTTTTTTTTCGATTTTACAATTTTTCATTTGTTTAATTTTTCAAATTTTCAGGCTTTGAATTTTCAGTTCGTCCATTTTTCAATTTTTAAATTTTTGACTTTGCAGTTTTTGGATTTCCAGTCTTCCGTTTTTCCAATTTCTTTATTTTTAAATATTTCTATTTCATAATACATATTTCTTTTTTTTGGTTTTTCACTTTTTCGATTCTTCAGATTTTTCAAGTTTTCATTTTGTAATTTTTCGTTTTAATTTTTATTATTCAATTTTACAATTTCTCGACTTCCAAAATTTTCAATTTTTCGGTTTGCATGTTTTTCAATTTGGCAATTTTTCAATATTACAGATTTTCATTTTTCGATTTTTCAGTTTCTCAACTTTTCATTTTTTCCTTTTCCAACTTTTTGTTTCCGATTTTTATTTTTCATTTTCCCGATTTTTTAATTTTCACTTTTTCGATTTTATATCACAATTTTCCTTTTTCTGATTTCCTTTATTTTTTGTTGTTTATTTCGATATTTCAATTTTTCGTTTCTTCAATTTTTCGAATTTTCAGTTTCTCAATTTTTCTTGTTCCCGATTTTTATTTTTCAGTGTGGCGAATTTTTAATTTTTATTTTCTCGATTTATATCACGATGGTCCGTTTCTTCATTTCCTTTATTTTTTTTTCGATTTTACAATTTTTTATTTGTTCAGTTTTTCAAATTTTCAGGCTTTGAATTTTCAGTTCGTCCATTTTTCAATTTTTAAATTTTTGACTTTGCAGTTTTTGGATTTTCAGTCTTCCGATTTTCCAATTTCTTTAATTTCAAATATTTCTATTTCACAATACATATTTTTTTTTGATTTTTCATTTTTTCGATTCTTCAAATTTTCAAATTTTCCTTTTTTTATATTTTTGGTTTTTTATTTTTGATTTTTCAATTTTTCAATTTCTCGACTTCCAAAATTTTCAATTTTTCGGTTTGCATGTTTTTCAATTTGGCAATTTTTCAATATTACAGACTTTCATTTTTCGATTTTTCAATTTCTCAACTTTTCATTTTTTCCTTTTCCAACTTTTTGTTTCCGATTTTTATTTTTCATTTTCCCGATTTTTTAATTTTCACTTTTTCGATTTTATATCACAATTTTCCTTTTTCTGATTCCTTTATTTTTTGTTGTTTATTTCGATATTTCAATTTTTCGTTTCTTCAATTTTTCGAATTTTCGGTTTCTCAATTTTTCTTGTTCCCGATTTTTATTTTTCAGTGTGGCGAATTTTTAATTTTTATTTTCTCGATTTATAACACGATTGTCCGTTTCTTCATTTCCTTTATTTTTTTTTTATTTTACAATTTTTCATTTGTTCAGTTTTTCAAATTTCCAGGCTTTGAATTTTCAGTTCGTCCATTTTTCAATTTTTAAATTTTTGACTGTGCAGTTTTTGGATTTCCAGTCTTCCGATTTTCCAATTTCTTTATTTTTAAATATTTCTATTTCATAATACATATTTCTTTTTTTTTGATTTTTCACTTTTTCGATTCTTCAGATTTTTCAAGTTTTCATTTGTAATTTTTCGTTTTTTATTTTTATTTTTCAATTTTACAATTTCTCGACTTCCAAAATTTTCAATTTTTCGGTTTACATCAGTTTTTCAATCTGGCAATTTTTCAATATTACAGATTTTCATTTTTCGATTTTTCAGTTTCTCAACTTTTCATTTTTTCCTTTTCCAACTTTTTGTTCCCGATTTTTTAATTTTCACTTTTTCGATTTTATATCACAATTTTCCTTTTTTTGATTTCCTTTATTTTTTGTTGTTTCTTTCGATTTTACAATTTTTCCATTATTAGATTTTTAAAATTTTCAGGTTTTTAGCAATTTTTCTTCAAATTTTCAAGTTTGATTTTCACTTTGTACATTTTTTAAGTTTTTATTATACCCTTTTTCGTTTTGTTATTTTTGATTTTTCAATTTTACAATTTGTCGACAAATTTTCCAATTTTTCAATATTACAATTTATCATTTTTTCATTTTTCACATTTTTCCGAGGTTTACGATGCGTAAGCATAGCAAGTATGATATAATTAACAGTGACATTGCAAGTCAAAGTAAATATGCATAAAATAATAATAAATAATATTTCATTCATATTTTTTGGATTCGGATATACAGGGTGACTCAAAAAATTTAATGAATGCGCAAATTTATTTTATTGATTTAATCAGAAACTACAAAACCGAATGCTTTGAAATCTAGTCGTCACGTTTCCGATAGTCTTTAGACCAATTTTTTTGATTTTCCCATTTTTCCATTTCTGAATTTTTCAATGTTTCAGTTTGGGATTTTTTCACTGTTTCGATTCTTTAATTTTCCTTCCATTTTTAGGTTTTTCAATATTTCAGCTTTGGAATTTTGCAATATTTCGTTTCTTCAATTTTTCAAATTTTTGATATTGTGTTTTCTCGGTTTTTAAATTTTTCGATATTTTAATTTTTCAGTTTTTAAAGTTTTAGGTTTTTAGATTTCTGACTATCTCGACTTTTCGATTTTTCAGTTCCATGATTTTTCAATTCGTCGAATTTTTAAATTTTAGATTTTTTGTTCTCGATCATTAAATTTTCTGAGTTTTCAGGCTTAGATTTTTTTTGTTGTTCAATTCTTGGATTTTTAAAATTTTTGTTTTTTAAATTTTCCTATTTATCAGCTTACTGGAATTCCAATGTTTTGATTTTTTGATTGTTCAATTTCTCGATTTTTTGAATTTTTTGTTTTTGATACGATTTTTTTTTTTTCAAAAATTTTCAGTGTTTCAATTTATTAACTTCACGATATTTTAGTTTTACGATTTTTAAATTTTTTTATTTTTCAGTTTTCAATTTTTGACGTTTCTAAATTTTTCGATTTTTCAATTTTTCGATTAGCTGATTTTTTGATTTTCCCATTTTTCTATTTCTTGATTTTTCAATTTTTTCTTCAATTGTGATTTTTCAATTTTTCGATTTCTGGATTTTTCAATGTTTCAGTTTTGGATTTTTTCGCTTTTCCGATTCTTCAATTTTCTCTCCATTTTTCAGTTTTTCAAGATTTCAGTTTTGAATTTTTTCACTTTTTCGATTTTTCAATTTTCCTTCCATTTTTCAGTTTTTCAGTATTTCAGTTCTGAGATGCAATGTTTCGGTTCTTCAATTTTTCCATTTTTTGATGTTTCGATATCTCGGTTTTTCAATTTTAGATTTTTTGGTTTTCCAATTTTTCGATTTTTAAATTGTTTAATTTTTAGATTGTTCAATTTCTCGATTTATAGATTTTTCAATTTTTCGGTTTACCGATTTTTTCATTTAAAATGTTTCAATTTTTCAATTATTAAGTTTTCGATTTTTCAATTTTGGTGTAATTTAAAAACGGTATTAATAATACATTTAGGCGAATAAACTAATATTACTATGTAAAGATCGTGAACGGATATACTTATAGTTTATGAATCCGAGTTGAGTTTTTTTTGTTACACAATTCCTCCAATACCAACCTGACGTCGACGGTATCTCCTGCCCCTCCGTGTTGAACGTGATCGACGGCTCCCTCAAGCTAAACAGCGCCCACGATTTGCTCTTGAAGTTGATCCCGTGGAAGCACGCCAGCGAGATGTTGTTCCCGCACAACTCCATCGTGCCGCCTAGGACCGTCCCAAACTGCGGCAGCGGCATGTCCATCGTGCTCAGTTGGAGCCCCCCCACGTGCGCCATGACCTTCTGCCAGTGCCTGTGGTGCCTGGCGTCCGTCGTGTTCGTCGGGGGCGTGGTGAACTCGCGGCTCTTCTGCGGGGTGACCCGCGGCGGCCGCGACGAACCGGCGAAGCCGCTGAACGCCCTCTTGCTGCTGTTGAACTGCTGCGAGAAGAACTCCTCCAGCTTGTTGAACATCTTGAGGAGGTCGGCCGTGGTGGATTTGGAGATCATCATCTGGAGCTGGTCCCAGGTGAGATTACCGTGCATGAAGATGGAGGCGGGGCGGCGCGTGGGGATGGAGTCGCGCGACATAGCCCGATTGAGTTTCCACTCGTCGCGTAGGTTGACGTTGAGGTCGCTGACGCGGCACATGAGGACCGAGGTGGCCATGTAGTCAAGGCGGAGCTCGAGAGCGCGCAGCCGCAAACCCACGGTGTGGTCAGGCTCAACCTCCGGTTCTTCACGTATATGGACTGCAATAAAATTCATGTTTGGTTGTTCAAGTCACAAAAAATAACTTACTGAATGTGTCAATGTTGGCAATTTCGATGTTTCCGCCCACAATACCACCCTTAGCGTCAAGACTCGACCCCCCTAACCCTAGCGCTATGTACAAATTCTTGTGTCCAGTGGACCCGATACTCAGTCGACCGTCGCTGCGGAAGTCCTTCGTCATCCACGACACATTCCCCATCACATTCCCCATATTCATATGAACATTCAACTTCTTAAAATTAACCGCGAAGAGCACCAGCGTCTCCCAGGCCGTCAAATTCTTGAACTCGGAAGGACTCGGAGTGTCCTCCTTGTTCGAGTCGCCGCTGAACGCCCGCCCCAGCTCCTTCATTTTGTTGTGCCTGATGACATCCGAGTCCAAACTCAGCTTCAGTCGATCCTTGTTGTTCAAAAGGGGCGACTTCTCGTTCTTCCGGGCTTCGTGGTTCTTCAAATTGGGCGAACCTTGGCTCATCATCGACTCGTCTTCTTCGTTATACGCAGCGGACATACTTAAGTCACCTAGGAACATTCTGCGGACGATCGACCGCCGGTACCAGGCTTTCGGAAATGCGAGAATTTCAGTCAGACGGCGCATGTCGTACTTGAAAGACGCTGAACCGATGTCAATTATGGCTAAAAATGAACAATACGACATGTTTTAGCACGCGACGAATCTCAGGACTGGAGCTAAATATATGCCCCGCCCACCCGCCCTAGCGCAGTTGTGATGATTTTTTTTATTCGGGGTGGAGCTAATTGTAAATCCAATTTTTCTACAAAAATTGACCATTTTGAAGATGCTTTAACTTTCTTGTTTTTTCTTAAATCCATATATGTAGTAATATTTTCATAAGAAAATACGTAAAACATCTTCAAAGTGGTCAATTTTTGTAGAGAAATATGGATTTTGCTACTAAGCTCCGCCCTCCGGTTCACGATGAATAAAAAAAATCATCACAATTGAGATAGGGTGGGTGGGCGGGGCTTATATTTATCCTGTTTTTTTCATTTACAATTTTCTTTCCAAAATGAGAAACTTAAAATATGTTAAAAATAATTAATTTTTGTAGAGAAATATGGATTTTGCAATTAACCTTGCCTCCCGGCTCACGACGAATGAAAAATTGATCTCAATTAACGTTGGGGCGGGTGGGTGGGGCTTAATCTTTACCTTTATTTTCTTAATACAGTTTTCTTTTAACAACAGAATTCCTAAAATATCAAATGGTCAATTTGAGGTTAGAATTATATCCGACACTTCGTATTTTTAGATTTTTACAAAATGTTGGACATAATTAACCTCAGATTCACTATTTGATACTTCAAATATTCTATTGTTCAGAGAAAACTATATATAAATTGTGATGAATTTTTCATTCGTTGTCAGACGGAGGAACAGAGCTTAATTGCAAAATTACATATATTAAAAAAAAAAAGATGGAGCTAGTCGCTGCTAAGATAAGACTTATTTTGGCAAATGAAATACCTTCTAAGAAAAGAGAGGGTGGGTGGGCGGGGTTTTACTAAGGTAAAACTGATTTTGGCAAATGACGTATCCTCTAAGAAATTTAATTAAATTATTATAAGAAAAGAAACTAAAGGCTCCAAAGCACTTTCAAATTTTTTCCAAACAGGAATACCTAGAACTTCGAGATTGTTTTAAATTTTTCAAAAAAAAAGGGGGTCCCAATATTTGCTACCCTTGAGAAGAGTACAGCTATAGATTTTAGTGCTCTGTCTTTGAACCAGCAAGTCTCGATTGCGGCGTCCAGAAAACGTTCGAAGCGGCGTTCGCTAAAGAAAGGCCTAGAAACGGAAGTCGCCATGGATTCCAGAAAGACCTCGATTGGGAAACATCGAGAAGGGAATACGAGTTTAAATACGGCTACCGTCGGGGGCGGGATTATTCAGGAATTCAGTCAGAGTGTCGAGAAACTCCAGACAAGAAGCGCCGGAATTATTTTATGCTTAATCGTGTAATAGTTGGTTGTGTAAATTCAAGTTAGTAAAAAATAAATTGTTAAGTTTTTCCACATGAGTTCTTTAAATATCATTCGTGTACTAAGCTTGAGGAAAAGTTTGAACGCGGCGACCCAAGAATTAACCAGTTAGTACAGCTTGTAAGGAGCACGATCTTGCTTATTCACGAAATATAACTTTCAAACAAATCAATTTCATCAAATAAAATTTAACCATAAGTATAGAGTATAAGAATTAAGTTTAATTTCACTAAATATTTATTGTATTTGAATTTGGGAGGATAATTTTTTTATTTCTTCGAATTTTTGGTTTACCTTTGCCGATATTCCGTTACGTTCTCGGACAAAAACCATCCATGTGGAATCGTATTGTTCAAAGAAAACTATGTGTATTAAGTAAAAATAAAGCCAAAGATTATTATTATTCTCTTAGAGGAAATGACATTCGCCAAAATCAGTCTTATCTTAGCAAGAATTAGCCCCGCCCACACGCCCACTATTTTCTTACAGGTTATATCATTTGCCAAAATGAGTCTTATCTTAACAAGTATTATCTCCGCCCTCTTATCTTCTTCGAGCGGATATGACATTCGCCAAAATCAATCTTATCTTGCCAAGTATTAGCCCCTCCCACCCACCCACTATTTTCTTAGAGGTTATACCATTTGCCAAAATGAGTCATATCCTAGCAAATATGTCCTCTATTTTCTTAGAGGATATGACATTCGCCAAAATCAGTCTTATCTTAGCAAGTATTAGCCCCTCCCACCCACCCACTATTTTCTTAGAGGTTATACCATTTGCCAAAATGAGTCATATCCTAGCAAATATGTCCTCTATTTTCTTAGAGGATATGACATTCGCCAAAATCAGTCTTATCTTAGCAAGTATTAGCCCCGCCCACCCGCCCACTATTTTCTTACAGGTTATATCATTTGCCAAAATGAATTTTATCTTAGCAAGTAATATCCCCGTCCTCTAATCTCTTAGAGGACATTACATTCGCCAAAATCAGTCTTATCTTGGGCAAGTATTAGCCCCGCCCACTCACCCACTATTTTCTTAGAGATTATATTCTTTGCCAAAATGAGTCTTATCTTAGCGAATATTGTCCCCACCCTCTACTTTCTCTGAGGATATGACATTCTCCAAAATCAGTCTTGTCTTAGCAAGTATCATTAAGAAAAAAGGTAAATGTGAGTCCCACGCACCCGCCCTATCTCAATTGTGATGAATTTTTTATTGGTTGTCAGACCGAGGGGCGGAGAGTTTTTGCATATCCATATTTACGTACAAAAATTTACCATTTCAAACAATTTTCAACTTTCTTGTTATGAAAACAAGACTGCGTCTATTAAGAAAAAACGGTAAATGTGGGTAGCTGCGAAGATAAGACTGACCTTGGCAAATGCGATACTCTCTAATAAACGAGAGGGTGGGTGGGCGGGGCTAGTACCTGCTAACATCAGACTGACTTTGGCAAATAAGATACCTTCAATAAAAAGAGGGGGCGGGTGGGTGGGGCTAGTACCTGTTAAGATAAAACTGATTTTGGCAATGACAATTTGTGAAACCAATTTTTGCCAGTGGTGCATTTGTAAATTTTTTACAAAATATAATCTCTTTCCACATCTTTTGGTGTGACGCGTGCAGCACTTGTACTCATTTTAATAGGAAAATACCGAATTGTTTTCAGTTTTCACCGTATTATAAGACCATAAAAATCTCGAATTACGTTAACCTGATTATCAATATTGAGGATCGCTTATAAGGTTGAGAAGAAGCTTAAACGCGGTGACCCAGGAATGAACCAGTTAGATACAGCTTGTAAGGTGCACGATCTTGTATATTCACGAAATATAACTTTCAAACGAATCAACTTCATCAAATAAAATTTAACCATAAGTATAGTATAGTGATAGTATATATGAATATATATCAATACTGGATCAATAATTGTGCAAACATTTATTTTGCAAAACTTAAGTTTTTCGGTTAATTACTAAAGGAATTCACTGGCTCATTTTTGCACTGGTAAGATTCATATCCCTGTCGGGATTAGACGTCACAAACTGGAAAATATGCCTTCTACGAACGCATTTATTATATTCATTTTATTGCTTCTTCGAATTTTTGGTTTACCTCTGCTGGTTACGTTCTCGGACAAAAACTATCCATGTGGAATAAAAGTAATTTAGCAGGTGAGGGACATGAGAATAGTGATTAATATAAAAGCTGGGATTTTCAAAATTTCCAGCCACTTTTCAAACAGCCCTTGAAGAGCAATTGTCGATCTTATAAGTGTGAGTTATATTGAGATTGTGATTATTATTATTACAACGACCACCATAAACAGTGGTCTTCATTTACCTTGGCTTGGCTATGAAAAATTTTTTGCATGTAGTGAGAAGTCGTCTAAAAATTTAAAAGCGTAATGTAAGCTTTGTTTACCTGTAACAAAAATATTATCGTGCATCCTTAAATCTGCAGAAACAAATTTATCATTTCAAATATTTTTCAAATTTCTGTTGTGAAAACAAGCCTACGTCTGTTGGGAAAAAAGCTAAATGTGCGCCCCACCCACCCGCCGCATCTCGATTGTGATGAATTTTTTATTGGTTGTCACACCGAGGGGCGGAGCATTTTTGCAAAATCCATATATACATACAAAAATTTACCATTTCAAACATTTTTCAAGTTTCTTATTATGAAAACAAGCATATGTCTATTAAGAAAAAAGGTAAATGTGAGCCCCACCCACCCGTCCTATCTCGATTGTGATGAATTTTCTATTGGTTGTTACACCGAGAGTTTTTGCAAAATCCATATATACATAAAAAAAATTACCATTTCAAACATGTTTCAAATTTCTTGTTATGAAAACAAGCCTACGTCTATTAAAAAAATTGGTCTAAAGAGTTTAGACAGTACTTCCCTCGCTGTCGGAAACTTGACGACTGCATGCCTATTGTGTTTTTTTTCTCATTACATTTTTGTAGTGGGAATTTAAAAAAAAATTGCGATGACGTCATCAACATTTTTGCAAGGACACGTATATCAGTTGGGATAGATGTAGTGTAATACTAAGAATAAAATTATTATATTCTCAAATTTTCGGGAAAATGAATTGGGTCGTTTTGAATATTGATTTGTAATAATCAATAAAATAACGAAACAATTTACTCACGTATACGTATCAGAGGCAAATGAAAATCGTGTATGTATATTCTTAATTTAAGATGACAGGCGTAACAGCATACGTGAGAGTCAAACAGAGAAACTGTAAACAAAACGACCATCGGTTTCATTGCTTCGACTTCCGCTTATTATATAAAACATTGGGTTTTATTTTAATTCTTGACGGTGAAATTCACAATTGGTTGATTATAAACATGTCTATTTCACATTCGCGGAACCAAGTGAGCGCATAAAACAAATGCAGGTCTGTAATGTTAAAGTCGATGTAAATAAGCGTGCTACCCTTATGTTTCAACCGAGTTTTTCCTTTAACAAATTTTGTGTCTACCAAATTGGGTTGGTTGGGGTGTAATACTAATAATAAGTGTTGCCTTTAATTTAATCAATAAAATAAATTGACTTCATTAATTTTTTCGAACCACCTCTTAAGAAAATCTAAAAAATATGAATGGAACGATAAATCACAAGTACAAACTCATCATATTTTTTGCATTTTAGATAGGATTTATTCAGCAAAATTTAAGGGTGACGTCATCAATTTTTTTAGGAGGGATGAACAATTACATTTTGAACAAAAGTTTACCATGCTTATAATAACTTTAAAATATTCCCAAGATTTCAAAGCATTCGGTTTTGTAATTCCTGATTAAATCGATAAAATAAATTCACGCCTTCATTAATTTTTTTGAGTCACCCTGCATATGCAAATCCAAAAATATGAATGGAATGATAAATCACAAGTACAGACTCATCATATTTTGTACATTTTAGATACGATTTATTCGGCAAACTTTTGAGCTGACGTCATCAGTTTTTTGTAGAAGATAACCAAATATATTTTGACTAAAAATATATTATGCTCTTTATAACCTTAAAACATCTGCAAGATTTCAAAGCATTCGGTTTTGTAGTTCCTGATTAAATCAATAAAATAAATTTACGCATTCATTAATTTTTTTGAGTCACCCTGTATATGCAAATCCAAAAAATATGAATGGAGTGATAGATCACAAGTACAGACTCATCATATTTTGTACATTTTAGATATGATTTATTCCACAAACTTTTGAGCTGACGTCATCAAGTTTTTGGAGGGGATAAGCAAATATTTTTTGACTAAAGATTTATGATGCTCTTTATAGCCTTAAAACATCTGCAACATTTCAAAGCATTCTGGTTAGCAGATTAAAAATTAAATTTCAAAATGTTGTTTTATAATTTTGATTTTTTTTCCAAAAATCTGGACGTTTCGGGTGAAAAGTCGATTCAGAGTTGTAAACTACATGTGTAGGATTATGTTATTTTATACAATTGAAAACCCATTTACTATGTACAATTTTGAAGTGACGTCATCGCATTAGTGGTGGGGATGATTAGACAAATTTTGGTTAGCGTTTTACCATCTACATGATATTCTTAATATAAGTACAAAATTTCACAACAATCGGTCGAGTACTTTCGGAGATTATCTGTCTAATAAAAATCCGGGACGGCAGACGGACAGACGGACGGACAGACGGACGGACAGACGGACGGACAGACGGACGGACAGACGGACAGACAGACGGAAATGGGAGACCTATTTCTTCGTCTTCTAGGGGTCATGAAAGATCGAGAAAACGTAAAAGTAGAGAGTCGGCCGACGGACTCGATTACAATACTTCCTTTGCTTACGCTCGGGAAGTAAAAAAAAGATAAATGTGAGCCCCACCCACCTGCCCTGTCTCAATTGTGATGAATTTTTAATTGGTTGTCACACCGAGGGGCGGAGCCTAATTGCAAAATCCATATATACGTACAAAAATGTACCATTTCAAACATTTTTCAAGTTTCTTGCTATGAAAACAAGCCTACGTCTATTAAGAAAAAAAAAGACAAATTTGAGCCCCACCCACCCACCCGCCTTATTTCAATTGTGATGAATTTTTTATTGGTCGTCACACCGAGGGGCGGAGCCTAATTGAAAAATCCATATATACGTACAAAAATTTACCATTTCAAACATTTTTCAAGTTTCTTGTTATGAAAACACGCCTATGTCTATTAAGAAAAAAAGATAAATGTGAGCCCCACCCACCCGCCCTTTCTCGATTGTGATGAATTTTTTATTGGTCGTCACACCGAGGGACGGAGTCTAATTAAAAAATCCATATATACGTACAAAAATTTACCATTTCAAACATTTTTCAAATTTCTTGTTATGAAAACAAGCCTACGTCTATTACGAAAAAAAGGTAAATGTGCGACCCACCCACCCGCCCTGTCTCGATTGTGATGAATTTTCTATTGGTTGTTACACCGAGAGTTTTTGCAAAATCCATATATACATAAAAAAAATTACCATTTCAAACATTTTTCAAATTTCTTGTTGTGAAAACAAGCCTACGTCTATTAAAAAAAAAAGATAAATGTGAGCCCCACCCACCTGCCCTGTCTCAATTGTGATGAATTTTTAATTGGTTGTCACACCGAGGGGCGGAGCCTAATTGCATCTAGTATGCAGTTTTTACAAAAAAAAATTATAAAATTGAACAACTTTTACATCACATTTTAACCGGCACATTGATGCATTTTTTGACGAAGTGCTGAAGTTTTTTGCATTCTGAGATAGGATGTCCCCTGGGGAAAAGTGTCAGCTTTCTTTTGATACCATTTATAATATTAAAAAATCCACGACTGAGGTAACTAACTCGCGAAAGTCAAAATCTATTGAAACGAGAAATCGGCATTAAACGAGCTGTGATGCGGTAGCAGAATACAGGTTTACTTAGATTCAGACTTGTTTGGAGATTTCAGTATTTTAAAAATGCAATTCCGGAAACTACGACGATGTTTTCAATGTATTTACTATTGGGCGAAACCGAACCAGACGCCACCCTTAAGAAAAAAAAGAAAAATTTGTGTCCCACCCACCTGCCTTATTTCAATTGTGATGAATTTTTTATTGGTCGTCACACCGAGGGGCGGAGCCTAATTACAAAATCCATATATACGTACAAAAATTTACCATTTCAAACATTTTTCAAGTTTTTTCTTTTGAAAACAAGCCTACGTCTATTAAGAAAAAAAAGGTAAATGTGAACCCCACCCACCCCCCCTGTCATACCAAGGGGCAGAGCGTTGTTTTTGCAAAATCCATATATACGTACAAAAATTTACCATTTCAAACATTTTTCAACTTATTTGTTATGAAAACAAGACTACGTCTATTAAGAAAAAAAAGACAAATTTGAGCCCCACCCACCCGCCCTATTTCAATTGTGATGAATTTTTTATTGGTTGTCACACCGAGGGGCGGAGCCTAATTGCAAAATCCATAGATACGTACAAAAATTTACCATTTCAAACATTTTTTAAGTTTCTTGTTACAAAAAGAAGCCTACGTCTATTAAGAAAAAAAGGTAAATTTGGGTAGCTGCTACGATAAGACTGACGTTGGCAGATGCGATATCCCCAAAGAAACGAGAGGGTGGGTGGGCGGGGCTAGTACCTGCTAAGATAAGACTGACTTTGGCAGATGGGATACCTTCCAAGAAAAGAAGGGGCGGGTGGGCGGGGCTAGTACTTGTTAAGGTAAGACTGATTTTGGCAAATTTTTCAATAACTATGACATACACATATTTCTGACAACCACATACATAACCTAAATTATTTTGATATGGAAGCTGTCATTCGTGTCTACACTCTTAAAAACCACATCATACGTCAAACCAGTCTACTCAGATCAAACTTACTCGAAAACCTGATCACTGCTCTGCTCTGATCACCCCCTTTCCCCTTCGTCGCTCCTTCCTGCTTAAAATTCAGCATCCTAGACCTCGACAGGTGGAACTTCACGAATTCCACGTTAATCGAAAGCGAGTCTTTGCGTTCGCTGTCGGACAGCGGCGACCACTGCGCTTCCTTAAGCGCCGACTTCTTGCCCCCATACGGATGAAAAATGTACACCGAGAAGTCCGAAAGACACCCCGTGACGCTCAAACCGCCCACCGCGGTGGCGGCGGCGTGCGACGTCCCACCGTCCCCGAATTCGCTGCAGAAAAGTTCGTCCTCGGCGCGCTTCGAACTGAACACGATATCGAGAGACGGCAGCTGAAGCATACACTCGACCCTCGACACCGGCAAACAACTAAAACGGAATGTACTCGGTTGCATGTGGAAGTAGACGATCACGTCAACCGGGAAACTCGCGTAGACGTAATTGCCGTAGTTGGTGATGTCTTGATCCGACGGCAGGATCGAGGTATCTAGAAAACACGGGTTAACCATAGTCGGGCGCCAGTTTTCCAAATTTACCTGTCGTGCTGAAGTTGGTCTTGGCAGGGATCGGCTCGAGGGTTTGCTCCAGAAACTCCAATATGTGAGGACTGATTATAGTTTCCTCGGGGACACTTTGTAGCGTCATCCACGCGAAAAGCGACGCTTTTTTAACGCCGCCTCTGCGATGACCCGGTGGTCCCCCGGTTTTAATGTCGTGCGGGGGAGTAGGAGTCCCGCCGAACTGCAAATCGTCCAAACTCGTTTTGCTCGAAGTCGGGCTGCAACCGTAGTTCGGGTTGGTGATTCCGTGCATCGAGCTCGACATTTTAATATCGTAGTTGCGTGCGGGAGTCGCTATTGGTTGACTCTCTTGTCGTTTGAAAGCTTTATCGATTCGGTTTTCTTCGGATTCGTCGAAACTCAGGCGCGTTTTGCTGTGTGGTCTACTGAAGGCCTTCTCGAAGTCGGGACTTTGGATTAGGGTTTCGTTTTCACAGACTACTTTCGACGTGTAGTGTAGTTTGACGTCCATTCCCGGGATGTGGAATATGGTGAGGTCGACTAGAGTGGCGTGCGGGGTCGATCTTAACCGAGACGCGCTCGACTGACCGAGCAGTTTGTCTTTGTTGCGTCGGGTGGGATCGGGGCTGCTCGTTGGCGGAAACTCGAGGAGACCGGCGGAACAGCTACGATCCTTCCGCATCCGACTCCTAAAAAAACAAGGGTTAAAGTCACTCTTATTGGGTCACCGTCTTACAATTTGAGTTCGTCTTCTCTCGGGTCTTTGGTGTGTAAAACACACTTCCCGCTGTTGATGAAGACCTTCACGTCCAACTCCAAGTCGACGTTCGGTTCTTGGGTTTTTTGCGCGATTGACGACTGCTGAGCCGCACCTCCCCCTCCTTGGAACGGGCTCGAAGTCGCTGCCTGGTCATGCGCTAGCTCCAACCCACTCCCTTCTTCCACGGACTCGCAACTCGTCGGAAACTTCTTCCTCAGCAAGATCTTCTCACCATCTATATCTAGATACTCAGCCCAGTCGAGCTGCGCCTCAGGCAAACTAATCTCAGAGCTGGCACTAGCCAAACTCGCCTGTCGAGAGTCACTGAACGTCACCTTCGGCACCATTTCGTTGTTCCTCACTCTCAACGAAGCCGACCTTGATGGTCCCGATCTGGGCGAACTCTCAAAGCTCCCAGAATTCCCAGTGGCAGCTCCTTGATTATCCGGACTAAATTAAATCAAAAGTGAAATCAAATCCCACCGACTGCGCCATTTACGCACCTGTCTTTGCGCTCCATCATCGGACTCTGCACCATGAACGACTTGGACCGGAAGGCGCTCTTCGACCCCAACCCGAACTTACCCTTAATCGACTGCGCCTTAATGCTCTGCCTGCGCAACTTCTGGATCATATCCCGTCTGAAACCCTTATAAACGATGGTCTCGAGTTCGTGCAGTCGCTTCATTTCCAGCTCGATCGTGCCGTGGGAGGCCCCCAGGGTCCGCAAGTCGTTGATTATTTTCGCCTGTTCGTTCATTTCTTTCTCCATGAGTTTGGAGCGGCTTCGGTTGTCCAGATTCGGGTCGAACATGAAAGGCGGGAGGATGCTCTCTTGGGAGACCCGGGTGCCGTCGATGGGTTCGTTGTCGTCGCTGTCGTAGTCGACGGGGAAGGGTGCTTCCTCGGCGCCGGTGAGCATGGTGAGGGTGTGACCCAAGGCGGAGAGTTGCTTGCCCACGTTGGTGTCTAGGTGGATGTCGACGCCTTCCATTTGCCACTGGACGTTGAGGAACCATTTCGCGTTTTCTGTAAATGGAAGGTGAGAGGGAGAAGTGAGGGTGGAGGACGTACCGTTGGGTTGCTTGGCGGCTATGGTGCGACTGCACACTTCGTAGGTGCCGTCGCTCACCACGCACAAGTTCATTATGGAGGAGTCGGTCATGTCGGGCTTCCAGTCGTCGAGGGAGGTTTCGAAGTCATCTGCGAAGCGTAGGCAGAGGTTGGAGAATTTACCCTTGCTGACGAGTGAGCCGGAGCTACAAGCTATAATGGAGAAATTCCAGTGTAGTCTCAATAAAATAAAGTAATAAGGTAGATGAAAGAGTGGGGAAAGCATTACTGAGTAAAGTAGAAAAAAGGTTTCATTGTAACCAGTGTTTAAGTGAACTCCCACACCCTTTCTTCCTCATCCTCAAATGATGTAAAAAGAAATTAAGAGTCGAGAGGAAAAACAGGAATAAATTTTACAAAATCTTCTAATATCTGCTAGTACTGAACGAAAGGCAAATTTTACATTTGCTTTTATCCTCTTAAGGTCTTTATATTCGTTCAACATAAGAGTCAATTTTGTTACGAAAGCTAAAGCAGTAAGCGTTCACTACTGGTTTTATTTACTTGAAAAAAAACTAAGATCGAAATATTCAAAAACTGACACATCGAGAAATTGAAACATCAAAAAATCGAGGAATAGAAAATTTGGAAAAGTCGAGAAGTCGAAAAATTGAAAAACCCAAAAATCTAAAACCGAGAAGTCGAAAAATCGGAAGATCGAGAAATGGAAACATCAAAAAACTGAAAAACCAAAATTGGAGCAACGAAGAACTGAAAAATTGAAAAATCTAAAAAAATTAAAGAGTCGAAATATTCCAAAATCTCAAAACTGAAATATCGAAAACTCAGTTAATCGAGAAATTGAGAAATCGAAAAATTGAAAAGTCTAAAAATCGGAAAATTGAGAAATCTAAAAATAAAGAAATCGAGAAATCGAAAAGTTGAAAAATGGAGGAATCGAAAAGTTGAAGAATGGAGGAATCGGAAGGCCAAAAAATCGAAAATTTGAAAAATTGCCAATTTTTTTTTAAAAACTCTCGAAACATCAAAAAACTGAAAAATCAAAAATCGAAAAAGCATATCGAAAAATCGAAAAACTGACAATCGAAATATTGCAAAATCCCAAAACTGACAAATCGAAAATTTGAAATATGGAAAATTTTAAAAATTTCAAAACTGAAACATTGAAAAATTGGGAAATAGAAAAATTAAAAATTCGAGAGATCGAAAAGTTGGAAAACTGAAAAATCAAAAAACTGAAAGTCGAAAAATTGAATGGTCTAGAAATCGAGAAATCGAAAAATTGAAAAATCGAATAATTAAAAACTGAAAATTTTAAATTTAAAAAAAATCGATCACTAGACAAATCGAAAAACCGAGAAGTCGAAAAATCGGAAGACCAAGAATTCGAAACATCGAAAAACTGAAAAATCTAAAAATGGAAAATCCAAGAACTGAAAAATCGATTTTTCGATCGAAAAATCTAAAACCGAGAAGTCGAAAAATCGGAAGATTGAGAAATCGAAACATCAAAAAACTGAAAAACAAAAATTGGAGCAACGAACAACTGAAAAATTGAAAAATCTAAAAAATTGAAAAACTGAAAAATCGAGAGATCGGAAAATCAAAAAATCAAGTAATCGAGAAATTGAGAAATCGAAAAATTCAAGTTTAAAAATCCGAAAATTGAGAAATCTAACAATAAAGAAAACGAGAGATCAAAAAGTCGAAAAATTGAAGAATCGAAAGGCCAAAAAAATCGAAAATTTAAAAAATTGAGAACTCGAAAAATTGCCAACTTTTTTTTAAAAACTCTCGAAACATCAAAAAAACTGAAAAATTCAAAATTTAAAAATTCGAAAAATTGAAAAATCAATTGAAGAACTCAAAAATCGAAAAAGCAAATATCGAAAAACTGACAATCGAAATATTGCAAAATCCCAAAACTGAAAAATCGAAAAATTGAAATACCTATGGAAAATTCTAAAAATTTCAAAACTGAAAAACGAAAAATTCAAGAATCGAAAAACTAAAAAATCTAAAAATGGAAAATCCAAGAACTTCGATCGAAAAATCTAAAACCGAGAAGTCGAAAAATCGGAAAATTGAGAAATCGAAATATCAAAAAATCGAAAAATCTAAAATTTTAAAATGTGTGAAAAATTAAAATATTGAACAATCGAGAAATCGGAAAATCAAAAAATCAACTAACTAATCGAGAAATTGAGAAAACGAAAAATTGGGAAATCAAAAGTTGAAAAATCGAGAAATGGAAAAGCCGAAAAATCGAAAATTAGAATAATTGAGAAATCGAAAAATTGTTGACTTTTTAAACTTAATAAAAATCTGAATAACCCGAAAAATAGAAAAATCAAAAAACTGAAAAATCTAAAACTTAAAAATTCGAAAAATGAAAAATCGAAAAATTTAAAAATGGAAACAAATTGAAAAATCAAAAAACTGAAAATCGAAAAACAGAAAAATCGAAAAATTGAAGAATCAAAAAAGTGAAAAATCTAAACACTGATTGGTCCAGAAAGCGAGAAATGGAAAAGTCCAGAAATTGAGAAATCTAAAAATAAAGAAATCGAGAAATCGAAAATTTGAAGAATCGAGAATATGAAGAATCGAAAAATTGAAAAATCTCAACACAAAAAATCTAAAAATTGAAAATCGGGAAATAGAAAAACTGAAGAATAAAAAACGGAAAAGTCCCAAACCTGACATATCGATAAACTGAGAAACCAAAAAATTGTAAACTTCTTTTTCCAAAAATCTCGATAACAATTTTAAACTTATTGAAAATATGAATAAAAAGAGAATAGAAAAATCGCAAAAATTGAAAAATAGGAAAATAAAAAAATTTAAAATCAAAATATCTAAAGCCAAGAAATCGAAAACTCGAAAGATCGACAAATCCAAACAACAAAAAACTGAAAAATCTAAAACTTAAAAATTCGAAAAATTGAAAAATCAAGAAATCGAAACATCAAAAAATCGAAAAATTGGGAAATTGAAAAATCAAAAAACTGCAAATCGAAAAATCGAAGAATCAAAAAACTGACAAATCTAAACATTGAATGGCCGAGAAATCGAGAAATGGAAAATTTTTCCAAAAATTGCCATAAAAATGTTAAACTTACTAAAAACAAAGCGAAAAATAGAAAAACAGAAAAATCACAAAATTGAAAAATAGAAAAATAAAAAATTTTAAAATCAAATTTAGAGAAGACAGTAAGTCGAGAAATCGAAACATCAAAAAACTGAAAAATTTAAAATTTAAAAATTCGAAGAACTGAAAAATCGAAAAATCGAGAAATCAAAAATCTAAACTTTTAAAAATTGAAAAATTATAATATTGAAAAACTGAAAAATCGGGAAATCGAAAAATTTTAAAAATCGAAAATAGAAAAATTGAATAATCAAAAAACGTAAAAATTTAAACATTGAATGGTCCAGAAATCGAAAAATTGAAAAAACGAAATACGCCAAAATCTAAAAATCGAATAATTAAAAATTGAAAAAAAAATCGATAACTAGACAATCGAAAAACCGAAAAATTTAAAACCAAGAAGTCGGAAAATCGGAAGATCAAGAATTCGAAACATCCAAAAACTGAAAAATCTAAAAATGGATAACCGAAGAAATGAAAAATCTAAAAATCGAGAATTATGAAAAGTAAAAAATTTAAATATCGAAAAATTGAAAGATCTAAAATTAAAAAAACGAGAAACCGAAAAATTGAAGAATCGAAATATTGAAAAAATTCCAGAATTGGAATATCGAAAAATTGAAAAATCCCAAAACTGAAAAAACGAAAAATTGGAAAACTGAAATATCGAAAAATTGGGAAACTTAGATAAATTGAGAAATCGAAAAATTGTTATATGTATTTTTAACTTTTTTTGAAAAATCTCGATGTCTAGGGTAAAAATTCATAACGGATTCATAAACCACAATTTCAGGGCTATGTTATTTTTTAACATTTAGACGACATTGTTATACAATTTATATCATCAAGTTAAATGGCAAAATGTTCTTATACAATTTTCATTTCTTTTATTTCTGGGTAAACACTCAACACAGATTCATAAACTACATGTATAGGAGTATCTTATTTTATACAACTTAACTAACAATTACCAACGTAAATTTTAGTGATGACATCATCCTATTGTTGGTGGGGATGACTACGCAAATTTGAATTTTAAATTTATTAAAAATCTGAATAAATCGAGAAATAGAAAAATTGAAAAATCGAGAAATCAAAAAAATGAAAAATTGGGAAATCCAAAAGTTGATAAATCCAAGTCCAAAAATTAAAAAACTGAAAAATCGAAACATTAAGAAAGATCAAAATCAAAAAATTTAAAAGTCGAAAAATTGAGAAATCTAAAATTTTAAATTTTAATTGAAAATCCTAAAGTTAAAAAACCGAGAAATCGCAAAATAGAAAAAATATTTAAGAACAGAAAAATTGAAAAATCCCAAATCTGACACATCGAAAAACTGAAAAATTGAAAAATCGAGAAATCGAAAATTTAAAGAATCCAAAAATTGAAAAACTGAAAAATCGGAAAACTGAAATATCGCAAAATTGAAAGATGGAAGAAAAATTTAAGAATCGAAAAATTGAAAAATCCCAAAACTGAAACATCGAAAAATTGGAAAATGGAAAAATCGAAAAGTCGAAAAATTAAAAAACTGGAAAATGGAAACATTGCAAAGTCGAGAAATCGAAAAATAGAAAATTTAGATCCCTCAAAAATTGCAAAATTGAAAAATTTAAAAATCGAAAACTTGAAAAATCGTTAAACTGAAAGAAACACCGAGAAACCTAAACATCAAAATATCGAGAAACGAAAAGCCGAGAAGTCGAAAAATGGAAAAATTGAAAAATCGAAATAGACCAAAATCGAAAAATCGAATAGTAAAAAATTGAAAAATTTAAAATAAAGAAAAAAATCGATAAATTGAAAAACCGAAAAATTTAAAACCAAGAAGTCGAAAAATCGAAAGATCCAGAAATCCAAACATCAAAAACTGAAAAATCGGAAAATCGAAAAGTCGAGAAATCGAAAAATTGAAAGTTTAGATACGTCAAAAATTGAAACATTGAAAAGTTTAAAAATCAAAAAATTGAAAAGTCGAAAAATTGAAATTGTTAAGATTTTTTTTTAGGGTAAAAACTCAACACAGATTCATAAACTACATGTGTAGGAATATCTTATTTTATACAACTTAACTAACATTTTAGAGATGACGTTGTCCTATTGTTGGTGGGATGACTGGGCAAATTTAAATTTTAAACTTATTAAAAATCTAAAAAAATCGAAAAATTGAAAAATCGAGAAATCAAAAATTTTTAAAATCAAAAAATCTAAGACCGGGAAGACGAAAAATCGAAGGATCGGAAAATCGAAACATCAAAAAAACTGAAAAATCTAAAATATAAAAATGGAAAAATAGGAAAAATTAGAAAATTGAAAAAGTAAAAAGCCAAGATATCAAAAAAATTGAAAAACTGGAGACGTAAACTAAAAATAGTAAAGAGGTAATAGTCAATTACAAATAGAACAAAACTGTTGTCTTGTAAAGTCATCATGAAATTTTGTAGTAGTAATAGTTAGCATAGGTCACAACTGTGCAGATGTTTCGACTTTATCAAAATTATTAAATCTTTATTAACCCTCAATGTACTTTTTACCGTTTTTGTACACGTGTAGTGTAGTGAAAATAAAATAAAGTAATAATGAAAGAAATAAATATTGTAGGAGAAATGCTTCCAATTCTCTAAGTCTTTATACTCCTTTAGCATAAGACTCAATTTCGTTACTAAACCTAAAACTCACCTGAAATACTCGTATTCTCCAACGTCACCACCACCGCGCCCCGACTCTCCTCATACACATTCCTCTGATTCCACGCCATCGGCAACGGATTCAACGGCAAACAAATCCCCATATCCTCCACCGTCAGCTGCAAAAACAGCATCCCCAAATGCGGCGCACTCAACTGACTCGTGAACTGCCCGAACTGAAACTTCTCATACACCTGCTGCGTCGCCGTCAACACCTCCTTATTCAAATTCGCCCTCTTCTCGTTCCAATAATCATACGCATTCTTGTAATTCAGCCACACCAAAATCGCCTTATCGATCGCCACCGGCTGTATATAAATCAGCGGCCGCTTCAACGTAATCAGCACCACCTCCTTATCCTCCCCTTCCACGATCTCGTCCTGGAAGGCGTTCCTCAACCCGATCCGCGTATTGAAGAACGCCACCGGCTGGTACTCGATCTCGGCCTCCTCGAACACCGCATTTCTAATAATCTGACCTAAAGACAGGTTCAAGTCGACTTGCGCTTTCCCGAAGAGACGCGCGGTGGCGCTGCTTTGCGCCGACCCGGACACGTTTTGCACGCGGTTGGATAGTTCCAACACGACTGCGCCAGTTTCGAGGCGCACGGCCGAGCTGCCGGCGGTGGTGGCGGTGAGTTGGATGCGGCGAATCCTGATGACTAGGGAGAAGAGGAGGCGGTTGAGGGAGGAGGGGTCTTCGGTGTCTTCCAGCCAGATGGGGACGGGGCGTTCGCCTCCGTACACCTTTTGTACGACTTCGTTCACCTCTTTCATGAATACTTTTTGGACGAAAACTAAGTGGTTGAGGAGGTCGGTGGTGAGGCTGTGTTCGAAGACCCCGATGTCGGCTTGCGCGCTGATGTAGCCGCCTTGACGGAACACCACGCCGTCGGGGTTCTTGTGGACGGTGGTGGCGTTCTCTGGAATGTATTCAGCGGAGACGTGGACCGCCGGAAGAGCGATACTGGCCTCGGATGGTAAATTAGCCTCGACTTTTTCGTAGTAGCCTTGGAGGATCGTGTTGAAACTGAGCGAATGGTGGGGTAAATCAACCGTAAACTTGGCTTTGCTACCGGTAACCCCCGAACTGTTAACCTTGTCCATTTTATAGGTAGCTTGTAACGACGGTAACAAAGCCGCAGTGATGCTCAAACTTTGCAAAATGACCGAAAATTGCATCACTAGTGGCTGCAGAAGACTCTTCTCCTCAGTACCACTCTTAGCGAAAGTACTCGACACTGGTACGTTCCGAGTCGGGTGATTCGGCGAACTTTGTTGCTCATCTTCGGGTTGTACCCCCCTAGATAACCGACTCGCGGTCCGGGTGACCCTCAACTCCTGCAAGGTCGAGCTCAACTGTTTGCTCCCTCTGGTGACCATCCCGTGCAAAGCGACAGGGTGCTGAGGTATGTCGATGTTAACCGCCCCCACAGTCAACAACCCCGAATTCTTATCCTTACTCTTTTTCTTCACACTAGAATACAACGTCTGCGACTTTCCAATAGTCACCTTAACCACGGTTTGCTGATTCGGGGACACCCCCTCCAACAAATTAATCATAGTGCGCCCGATTTGCCCCGTCAACGAACATTCGAGCATCGCAGGCGTCGACTTCTTCCGACACGTGAAACTCGAGTGCAAACTCGTAATCTCAGCCTCGAGTTTCAACCCCGACAACGTCGCTAAAAGTCGTGTCCGGTGTATGCGCGCCACCCCAAACACAACCAACTTCGTGTGTTCTTTCGAAACCGCCCCCTTACTAGTCGGAACTGGGGGCGTCGACTCCGGTTTATCCAACTCCTCACTGGACTTCATCTCCGTCAGAAGATCGTACTTCCGATTACCCTTATAGTGCTCCGAAATGTCGTACGTCCCCACCGAAAACCTGTGTTTGATGGTCTTCGTGTCGGGCATGTTTGCGTACAAATCCACCAGATGGTAGATGGTTTTCCAGCACCGACCTGTGCTTTTGTCCGACGACACGGTCATGTGGTCCAGCGCGGAGCCTGAAGGGCTGCTCATGGTTAAGGGTGTGCCGACTCCTTCGTTGAGATTGACGTAGCCTTTGACGCTTTTCCCGGTGGAACGGAGCTTCTGGGCGAAGCTTTGGGGGCGCGAACGCAGACTGGGTGATGGGGATACTACTGGTTTAGGTTGCGAGGTGACGGATCCCGGGTCGGAGATCTTCAAGCTTAGTTGTTTGGATGTGTCGATGAGGGGTTCTTGGATGTCTGAAACTGGATGACAGTTAGGGAAGAGTGGTGATTTAGTGGTGGCTTACTGGATGAGTGGTGGTGCTTGATGTCGATGTGGTCGCTGGCGCTCGTTTTCGGTCGGCGGATTTCGACGGGTTGTTGCTCGCGTAGCTCGTTTTGGGTGTCCTTGACGTTTTGGTACATGTTGGTGATTTGGTGGAGAAGGCGGAGGAGGGGCATGTTGACGCGCTGGGAGATGTAGCGGACACCTGGGAACAAAGTACGTGTAGTAATGGGCAGTAGCCGTGGTACACCAGGCCGAATCCAAATTTGCTTAAATTACGTCAACAACAAAACAAGGGATCCTTAATATTCTCTTAAACTACTTTAAAAATAAAACAAAAGGAGTTGTCGAGATTCTATCAAAACTACATACTTCCAAAAACTAAACACAAGGAATCCCCAGGATTCTTTCAGGCTGTTTCAAAAACAAAACAACTGGGTAAACGAGATTCTTTTAAACTATTTCAAAAACAAAAAGGGAATCGAGGTTCTTTCAAAACTACTGCAAAAAAAAACACAAAAGGAGTTCGCGAGATTCTTTCAAACTACTTCGAAAAAAAAAACAGCTACCAGACACATTTTTTCAAATTACTTTAAAAACACTACAAGGGATCCCAAAGACTCTTTCAAACTACTTCAAAAACAAATCAAAAGTGGTAATCCAAAACTACTTCAAAAATCAGACACAAGGGGACCGAAGGATTCTTTGAAATTACTTCAAAGACAAAACAAAAGCGATCGCGGAGATTCCTTCACGCTACTGCAAAAATAAGACAAGTGATCTCCGAGGTTCTTTCAAACTACTTCAAAAACAAAACACAAGGGGTCGCCAAGATTCTTTGAAATTACTTCAAAAACAAAACAAAAGTGATCCTCGAGATTCTTTCAAAATTACTTCAAAAATTGTCATAAGGGATCCCTAAGATTCTTTCAAACTACTTCGAAAACAAGATAAGGGATCCCCGAAAATTGTTCAACTATTGCAAAAACAAAACATAAAGGAACCCCCCGATTCTCTCAAATTACTTCAAAAACAAAAGAAAGTATCCCTGGAAATGTTTCAAACTACTTCAAAAACCAGACACGAGGGGTTCCTCAGATTCTTTTAACTTACTTAAACTTGCTTTAAAAACAAGACAAGTAAGTGAAACTGGATTTTCATTCAAACTACTTCAAGATTCTTTCAAATTACTTAAAAAAAAGGGGTCCTCGAGATTCTTTCAAACTATTTCAAAAACCGAAGCCAAGGGATCCCAGTGATTTCTTCAAATTACTTCAAAAACAAGAGAAGTGATCCCCACGATTCTTTCAAATATAAAGATAGAACTTCCCTTGTCTTTTTTAAATTCAAATTCAAATTACTTCAAAAACCAGACACAAGGGATCTCTAGATTTTTTCAAACTACTTCGAAAACAAAACAAAAACCAGACACAAAGGAATCGCAAGATTCTCTCAAATTACTTCAAAAACAAGACAAGGGGAAAATATTAAAAAAATTATGAAATCCATGACAAAATTACAAGACAAAAAAATCTGTTTCAGGTTCCATTCAAGAAAAAAACCATTTGTAAAAACTGTTTGTATCAGGTTTAGAAATGTATAATAGGTTACCTACGGAAATTACAGCTACTACAAATTTGCGGCTCTTTAAAAATAAACTAGAATATTATTTAGTTAAGAAGTGTTTGTATACAGTGAATGAATTCTTGGTTTGACTTATGTCTTTGTAAATTGTAAATGTATTCTCTTTTGTTTTATTTTCTATACTGACGATTTCCATGCAAATGTATTTGTCTCTCTGGAAATAATATTATTAAAAAAAATGGTTTCTCGAGATTCTTTCAAAGTATTTCAAAAACCAGAAACAAGAGATCCTCGAGATTCCTGCAAACTACTTCAAAAACAAGACAAGGGATCTCCGAGATTCTTTCAAATTACTTCTTCAAAAACAAAACAAAAGTGGTCCTCGCGATTCCTTCAAAACTACTTTAAAAACCCGAGATTCTTTCAAACTACTTCTAAAACAAAACAAAAACCACCCAAGGGATCCCCGAAATTCTTTCAAACTAGTTCAAAAACAAGATAAGAAATCTCCGAAAATTGTTTAAACTATTGCAAGAGCAAAACACGAAGGAATCTCAAGATTCTTTCAAATTACTTCAAAAACAAGACAAGGGATCCCAAGCTCGTTCTAAACCACTTCAAAAACCACACGAGGGGTTCGTCAGATTCTTCCAAATTACTTCAAAAACAAAATAAAAGGGTTTTTCAAGATTCTTTCAAACTATTTTAAAAACAGAGACAAGGGATCCCCGAGATTTCTTCAGAATACTTCGAAAACAAAACAAGGGATCTCCGAAATTCTTTCAAACTACTTCAAAAACAAAACAGAAGAGGTTCCCAAGATTCTTCCAAATTATTTTATTTTATTTTTATTTTATTGGTTAACGTTACCCAACAGGCCGGAGGCCCAATTACAGGGTAACGGGGGACATACACAACACCCAGAGCAGGGCGGAAATCGAACCCACGACCCAAGGTGTGGCAGGCAAGCGCGATGCTACCTAACCCACCCGGGTTAGTTAGCATCGGGGTAGAAATTATTTCAAAAACCAGACACCAGTGGTCCCGAGATTCTTTCAAACTACTTCAAAAACAAGATAAGGGATCTCCAAAAATTGTTCAAACTATTGCAAAAATCTTACACAAAGGAACCCCACGATTTTCTCAAATTACTTCAAAAACAAGACAAGGAATCCCAAGATTGTTTAAAACTACGTCAAAAACCAGCCACAGGGGGATTTGCCAGATTCTTCCAAATTACTTCAAAACTAAGACACGTGAATCCGGATTTTCATTCAAATTACTTCAAGATTCTTTTATTAAATTACTTCAATAACAAAATAAAAGGGTTTCTCGAGATCCTTTCAAACTATTTCAAAAACCAGAGACAAGGGATCCCCGAGATTCCCTCAAACTACTCCAAAAACAAGATAAGCAATCTCCGAGATTCTTTCAAACTACTTAAAAAAAAAAACAAAACAAAAGGGGTAATCGAGGTTATTTCAAAACTATTTCAAAAACCAAATAAAAGGGGTCGGGAGATTTTTTCAAGTTACTTAAAAAAAAACAAAAGCGGTCCCCGGGATTTTTTCTATTACTTCAAGAACAATACAAGGGATGCTAAAACTCCTTCCAACTACTTCAAAAACAAAACAAAATTGGTCCCCGAGATTCTTTCAAATTTATTTTATAAACAAAAAAATACAAGAGGGATCCCTAACATTCCCTTAAACTACTTCAAAAACAAAACAAAACAAGTCCTCGAGATTCTATCAAACTACTTTAAAAACTAGACACAAGGGGTCCCCAAGATTCTTTTAAATTACTTCAAAAACAAAACAAAAGTGGTCCTCGAGATTCTTTAAAAACTATGTACTTCAAAAACCAGGCACGTGGGGTTCGCCAGATTCTTTAAAATTACTTCAAAAATAAGACAAGAGAAACCTAACATTCGCTTAAACTACTTCAAAAACAAAAAAAAAACCAAAAGCGGTCCCGGAGATTTTTTCTAGTACTTCAAGAACAAGACAGGAAAATCTAAAATTCCTTCAAACTACCTCAAAAACAAAACAAAAACGGTCCCCGAGATTTTTTCAAATTTATTTTATAAACAAAAAATACAAGAGGGATCTAACATTCCTTTAAACTACTTCAAAAACAAAACAAAAGGAGTCCCCGAGATTCTATCAAATTATTTCAAAATCTAGACACAAGGAGTTCCCAAGATTCTTTTAAATTACTTCAAAAACAAGAGAAGTGAACCCCAAGATTCTTTCAAATTACTTCAAAAACACGAGATTCCTTCTAACTACTACGAAAACAAAACAAAAACCAGACACAAGGGTTCCCCGAGATTCTTTCAAACTATTTCAAAAACAAGATAAGGGATTCCCGAAAATTTTTCAAACTATTGCAAAAACAAAACACAAAGGAACCCCAAGATTCTCTCAAATTACTTCAAAAACAAGATAAAGGATCCCAAGATTGTTTAAAACTACTTCAAAAACCAGACAAAAACGGTCTCCGAGATTTTTTCCACTACTTCAAGAACAAGACAAGGGATCCTAAAACTCCTTCAATCTACTTCAACAAGAAAACAAAAATGGTCTCCAGGATTCCTTCAAATTTATTTTATGAACAAAAAAATACAAGAGGTATCCCTAACATTCCTTTAAACTACTTCAAAAACAAAAAAGAAATAATCCAAGAGATTCTTTCAAATTTATTTTATAAAGAAAAAAATATATAGAGGGATCCCTAACATTCCCTTAAACTACTACAAAAACTAGACACAAGGAATCCCCAAGATTCTTTCAAACTGTCTCAACTACTTCAAGATTCTTTCACATTACTTCAAAAACAAAACAAAAGAGGTCCTCGAGATACATTCAAACTATTTCACAAACCAGACACAAGGGATCCCCGAGATTTCTTCAAATTACTTCAAAAACAAGACAAGAGATCTCCGAGATTCTTCCAAACTACTTCAAAAACAAAACAAACAGGGTCTATGAGATTCTTTCAAAGTACTTCAAAAACACAACAAGATATCCCCAACATTTTTTCAAACTACTTCAAGAACAAATCAAAAGGAATCCTCGAGGTTCTTTCAAACTACTTCAAAAACAAGATAAGGGATCCCCGAGATTCTTTTAAACTACTTCAAAAACTGGACACAAGGAACCCCAAGATTCTTTCAAACTGTTTCAACTATTTCAAGATTCTTTCAAATTACCTTAAAAACAAAACAAAAAGGGGTCCTCGAGATACTTTCAAACTATTTCAAAAACCAGCGACAAGGGATTCCCGAGATTTCTTCAAATTAATTCAAAAACAAGACAAGAGTTCTCCGAGATTGTTCCAAACTACTTCAAAAACAAAACGAACAGAGTCCATGAGATTCTTTCAAAGTACTTCAAAAACAAAACACTAGGGCCCCCCGAAATTCTTTCAAATTACTTCAAAAACACAACAAGATATCCTCAACATTTTTTCAAACTACTTCAAGAACAAATCAAAAGGAATCCTCGAGGTTCTTTCAAACTACTTCAACACCAAGATAAGGGATCCCCGAGATTCTTTTAAACTACTTAACAAAACAAAAGCGATCCCCGAGATGCCTTCAAACTACTTCAAAAACAAGACAAGGAATCTCCGAGATTCTTTCAAACTACTTTAAAAACAAAAGACATGGGGTCCCTAAGATTGTTATAAATTACTTCAGAAACAAGAGAAGTGATTCCCAAGAGTATTTCAAATTACTTCAAAATCCAGACAAATCGGGTCGCGAAATTCTTTCAAATTACTTCAAAAACAAGACAACGGATCCCTAACATTCCCTTAAACTACTTCACAAACAAAACACTAGGGCGCCTCGAGATTCTTTCAAACTACTTCAAAAACAAGATAAAGGATCACCGAAAATTGTTCAAACTATTGCAACAAAACACAAAGAAACCCCAAGATTCTCTCAAATTACTTCAAAACCAAGACGGGGATCCCAAGATTGTTTAAAACTACCTCAAAAAACCAGACACGAGGGATTCGCCAGATTCTTTCAAATTACTTAAAAAATAAGACAAGGGATCCCTAACATTCCCTTAAACTACCTCAAAAACAAAACACTAGGCCTCCCCGAGATTCTTTCAAATTACTTCAAAAACAAGACTAACGGATGACTAAGGTTCTCTCAAAACTACTTCAAAAACCAGACAAAAGGCGCCGTGAGATTCTTTCAAATCACTTAAAAAAAAAAAAACCAAAAGTGGTCCCCGAGATTTTTTCAAGTTTATTTTATAAACAAAAAAAAATAAAAGGGATTCCTAACATTCCCTTAAACTACTTCAAAAACAAAACAAAAGGGGTTCTCGAGATTCTATCAAACTACTTCAAAAACTAGACACACGGGGTCCCCAAGATTCTTTTAAATTATCTCAAAAACAAGATAAGGGATCTCCAAGATTCTTTCAAACTACTTCAAAAACAAAATAGTGTCCCCGAGATTCTTTCAAAACTACTACAAAAACCCGATATTCTTTCAAAATATTTCGAAAACAAGACAAGGGATCTCCGAAATTCTTTCAAACAAAACATAAGGGGTAATCGAGGCTCTTTCAAAACTCAAAAAACAGACAAAAAAAACAAAAGCGGTCCCCGAGATTTTTTCTACTACTTCAAAAACAACACAAGGTATCCTAAAACTTCTTCAAACTACTTCAAAAACAAAATAAAAATGGTCCCCGAGATTCTTTCAAATTTATTTTATAAACAAAAAAAATACAAGAGGGATCCCTAACATTCTCTTAAACTACCAGAGACAAGGGATCCCCGATATTTCTTCAAATTACTTCAAAAACAAAACAAATGGAGTCCCTGAGATTCTTTCATACTACATCAAAAACAAAGCACTAGGGCTCGCCGAAATTCTTTCAAATTACTTCAAAAACACAATGAGGGATCCTCAAGATTCTTTCAAACTACTTCAAGAACAAATCAAAAAGGATCCTCGAGGTTCTTTCAAACCACTTCAAAAACAAGAAAAGGGATCACCGAGACTCTTTTAAACTACTTCAAGAACAAAACAAAAGGGGTAATCGAGGTTCTTTCAAAATTACTTCAAAAACCCCACAAAAGTGATCCTCGAGATTCTTTAAAATTATTTCATGAACAAAATGCAAGAGAGTCGGCAGATTCTGTCAAATTACTTCAAAAACAAGACAAGGGATCCCAAGATTCTTTCAAACTACTTCAAAAACAAGACAAAAGATGTCCTTGAAGTTCTTTCAAGCTATTTCGAAAACAAAATACAAGAGGTGCCCGAGATTCTTTCAAAATACTTCAAAAACAACCCAAAAGGGGTCCTCGAGTTTTTTCAAACTACTTCAAAAACAAGACAATTGATCCTCAAGATTCTTTCAACCTACTTCAAAAACAAAACAAAAATGGTGCCCGTGATTCTTTCAAATTATTTCATAAACAAAATACAAGAGATTCTCCAGATTCTGTCAAATTACTTCAAAAATAAGGCAAACAATCCCCAAGATTCTTTCAAACTACTTCAAAAACAAGATAAGGGATCCCCGAGATTCTTTTAAACTACTTCAAAAACAAAACACAAGAGGTCTCGGACACTCTTTGAACTACTTCAAGAACAAAACAAAAGGGGTAATCAAGGTTCTTTCAAAATTACTTCAAAATCCCCACAAAAGTGATTCCCAAGATTCTTTAAAATTATTTCATGAACAAAATGCAAGAGAGTCTGCAGATTCTGTCAAATTACTTCAAAAACAAGACAAGGGATCCCAAGATTCTTTCAAACTACTTCAAAAACAAGACAAAAGATGTGCTTGAAGTTCTTTCAAGCTATTTCGAAAACAAAATACAAGAGGTGGCCGAGATTCTTTCAAAATATTTCAAAAACAACCCAAAAAGGGTCCTCGAGTTTTTTCAAACTACTTCAAAAACAAGACAGGGGATCCTCAAGATTCTTTCAACCTACTTCAAAAACAAAAACAAAAATTGTGCCCGTGATTCTTTCAAATTATTTCATAAACAAAATACAAGAGATTCTCCAGATTCTGTCAAATTACTTCAAAAATAAGACAAAGAATCCCCAAGATTCTTTCAAACTACTTCAAAAACAAAACAAAAGAGGTGCTCGAAGTTCTCTCAAACTATTTCAAAAACAAAACACAAAAGGTGCCCGAGATTCTCCCAAATTACTTCAAAAAAGGGCAAAGGATCCCCAAGATTTTTTCAAACTACTTCAAAAACAAGATAAGGGATCTCCAAGATTCTTTCAAACTACTTCAAAAACAAAACGCAGTGTCCCCGAGATTCTTTCAAATTACTTCAAAAACAATACATAGAAAAATTCCCGAAACTCTTCCAAATTTCTCCAAATACAAGACATCACGGGTAGTAGCGGATGGGAGCGCTCGTGCCCGAATCCAAATTTCATATACCACGTGATCAGAAATGACTGAGTCCGTTGGCAATCCTGGATTTTTAGTTAAAAATGGCATCATGATGTTTTTTACAATTTTCGGGTGTCGGCTGTCAAAATTGACAGACTGTTGACATTTTTAATTTGGAAAATGTATCCAATTCGGTTATGCCAACATAAACGCAAGAAAAATTCACATTTTTGTTCAAAAAGTATTGCCTCTACCTTCTAGCATTGAGTAAAGCTTAATATTTACCAATCGTGAAGTTAATGACCGTGCTCGTGTGATTCTTCAGTTGACCCCGCGAGATGTAAAGCACGTTCTTCGTCTTCATCATTTCATTTACGGCCATGTCCGTCATTCGGTCGATTTCCAGCTCAACGGACACCTTTTCGCACACAAAAGCCGGAGATTCGTCTGCGAACAAGTTTGATTAATATGACCATCTCGCAATTCCGACCACTCACTTGCGTTAACTTCGATATACAACCGCTTCCCTTTAGTTTTGGCCTTCTTCTTCTCGGTTTTGCCGTGTTCTGACACCACGATGTCGATGTGCATGGTCTCCATGTTTCCGACTAGACAAAAATTGGAGCCAAGGGCGTCCAGCGTGGTCACGTCATTACCAGCATCTGATAGACAAATCGTGCGTGAATTTTTTGTCAGTTTAAAAAAGTTAATAAATTACTTGAATCCGACATGGTCGTGAATCGTAGTTGTTGCGGCATGACTCCGAGCCCTGATAGCAGCGGCTGGAAGATCTGATTGGCGTCCAGTAGTCTGACGGAGTCGTGTATCGGGTATAAAGAAATCTCTGGGGCGGTTATGCTTTCTTTGGGTAGAGTGCCTGCGTCGCCTGACGACTCGGTCTGCAACGTGTCAATTTTGGACTCCATGTATCCTTTCAACGAGCCGACTGTGTCTTGTTTCGCCATCCAGGAATACAAATCCTCTGATGAATGCGTGTGTCCCATGGTCTTGTGTAGAGGACTCGACGGTAGTTCGGGACTCGAGTGGCTGTAGACCTCGCTGGGGTCCGACCCCATGTTGTAGATCAAGCAGTCTTCGCGCAACGTCCCGTAACCTAAACCCGGCGAAAATAAACATAAAAATGGCGCAGTCGGTCGGATCGCACTCACATATGCTATCGTCATTGATGCGTTTTTGATTAAAAGGGTTGTTGTTAGTTAGTAAGGGTAAGACTACGCTAGCCCTGCTACTATTCGGATGCTGAGTGGGCTGCAAGCTCTTTGTTCGTTTCCTGTGGGGAACTTGACGGGATCGTTAGTACTGTTAAGGTTGAAACGTCACAATTACCTGTCGGACTCGGCGAAGTCAGCACGCTCTCGACCCCTCCCGACACCACCGCCACTTGCGGCGTGTGCACCGACGTCTCCAAGTAACTCGGAATGTTCTCCTTACTCGACACCCCTAAACACGAACGATTAGTCTTACTAAACCTGGATTAATAGGTCTGGGGGACGGTTAGTCACGAACACATGCAAACTAATCAGCGTCAAGATGATGTCTAAACAACCTACCCACGTTTTTGTGAGCGTTCGGCTTTAAAATGATGCCCGAATGGAGCAAGCGTGCGTGCTCGTCGGTTATATCGTGATCTTCGTTACCGCTGGCCTCTCCGTCAGTGATACAGACCTGCGAGCCAAAAGCACACACGGAAAAAATCAAGTGTTATGAAACAATGGAAAGTTAGTGCAATGATTCTAACAGAAGCGGCGTTACAATTAAATCAAGGCGCTTACTGTTTTCCTCTACATCTATCTCCACTTCTAACTCGCGGCTCATCTGCAGAGGATTTTTTTCGAGAGGAGCGAACAATCCAGTCATTAATCACGTAAGCTCAACGTTTGTAATCTTACCTCCTCCACCTCGGGCACCGCGATCGTCACGTTCAGCGGTTTGATTTTCGACTTGCCAGTGTGCTGAGGCAGCAGGGGCGTGTACAGGATGTTCTTCCATTGGCGGCTTAGCACGACCACGCCCTGCCTCAAAGTGAACAACTGCGGCAGCTCGGATTCGCGCAGGTTGTTCTCGATGAAGCTAGGGTCGATCTCGAGGTAGTACTGCTGGAGGATGCAGCATAGTTGGAGACTTGGGTCTTCCTGGAGGGTCTGGGCCAAGGGAGTCAACTTGTCGTAGCGACTCTGAAAAGCAAGTTTCTCTATTATTATTATTATTATTATTGCATTGTAATTGTAATTGCACCAGTTATAGTTTACTTCTTTTAAACTTGGATGTTCTATATTTGGAAGTACCTATTCCTGATTTTTAGAACGGAAAGAGACAATATCTTAAAAATTGGTCGAAGGTCATTTCGACAGAACTCCCCTAGTCACTCAAATGCAGCCCAACAAATCCCGCTTTTTTGAAAAGTTATAAAAAATGTTTGTGATTTTTGTTTTATTCTGATAACCTCTATAAATTAAAAACCAGTGCCGTAACTAATACTCCCGCAATTTTTTAAGTTTAAATTTTACAATTTTTCGATTTAAGTTTTTCGAGTTTTCAATTTTTAATTTTTCAGTTTTTCGATTCGCAATTTTTCGTTTTGGTTTTTTATTTATTTATTTATTTATTTATTTATTTATTTCAATACAGTGCCCAACGGGCTTAAGGCCCAATAACAGGACAAGGTAATCATACATACATAAAAATACAATACTTATTACAAAACAAAAATAAACTAATAATAACATGTGCAGATAGGTGACTTACGGATGTTCAGGTCGAAATTGTTTTTTTATATCATTTGAAGTTGAATTAAAAATGTCGATATTATCTTGGATACAGGTGTAGTTGGCGAGCATGAAAATGAGAGGTGAATTGGACATAATGTTGGTCCTAGAAGTCTTGATGTAGAAAGTGTCGTTACTTCTAGTGTCGCGTACAGGAATCTTGAAATCCAACTGATTTAGTATACAAACACATTCATGTCGCCCGTGTATGAGATTAAAAAGAAATAGGATTTTTTATTTTCTTTATTTTTTCGCTTTTTCCGTATTTCAATGTTCCGATTTTTATCTTTTTTTTAAGTGAAATTTTTCAATTTTTAGATGTTTCAATTTTTCGTATTTGGAACTTTTAGATTTATTAACTTTTGGTTTTTTCCGTTTTGCAATTTTTTTGTTTTCATTTTAAATATGTAATAACACATTCACTATTTTTATTTAATTTTTTCAATTTTACAATTTTAGTTTTTCCATTTTGCACTTGGAATTTAAAATATCTTCATTGATTCCATTTTTCAATTTTTAATTTTTCGATTTGGAATTTTTATTTTCTTTATTTTTTCAATTTGTCGGTATTCAATTTTCCAGTTTTATTTTTTTTTTCAAAGTGAAATTTTTTTTTCAATTTTTCGGTTTTAATTTTTCGTATTTTCAACTTTTAGATTTATTAACTTTTCGTTTTTCCAGTTTTTCAATTTTTCAATTTTTCGTTTCTTCAATTTTAATTTGCAATTTTCTAGTTTTCATTTTAAATATGTAATAATATTCATCATTTTTATTGCACTTTTTCAATTTTACAATTTTAGAGTTTTTCAATTTTTCAATCATTGGATTTTAAAACATTTTCTTTGATTCGATTTTTCAGTTTTCCATTTTAAAATTTTTCAGTTTTTGGATTTTCTAACTTTTGGACGGACGAAAAAGAACGAAAAAGGGTAATAAGGGCGAACAGAACGAAAAAGGATAATGAGGACGAACAAGGACGAAAATGACGAAAAAGGACGAAAAGGACGAAAAGGACGAAAAAGACGAACAAGGACGAAACAGGATAATAAGGACGCAAAAGGACGAAAAAGGACTAAAAAGGATAATAAGGAGGAAAAGGACGAAAAAGGATAATAATTTTCAATTTTTAGATTTTTGCGATTTTTCAATTTTTAATTTTTCGATATGCGATTTTTGGTTTCGGTTTTTCAATGTTTCGATTTATATATATATTTTTTTAAGTGAAATTTTTAAATTTTTCGTATTTTCTACTTTCAGATTTGTTAACTTTTGATTTTTTCAGTTTCAGATTTTTCATTTCTTCAATTTTAATTTGCAATTTTCTAGTTCTCATTTTAAATATGTAATAATATTTATAATTTTTATTTCATTTTTTCAGTTTTACAATTTTAGAGTTTTTCCATTTATAAGTTATTGGATTGTAAACATTTTCATTGATTCGATTTTTTAATTTTTCAATTTTTTGTCTGGGTTTTTTATTTTCTTTATTTTTTCAGTTATTCGATTTTTCAATGTTTCGATTTTACCATTTTCTGTTCTTTCAATTTTACGATATGCAACTCTTCGAGTTTTCGTTTTTAAATTATTCAGTTTTTCGATTTTTCAACTTTTGGATGTTTCAATTATTACATTTTGCCATTTTTCGTTTCGGATTTTTATTTTCTTTATTTTCTCAATTTTTCGGTTTTTCATTGTTTCGATTTCATAATTTTTTTTTCAAAGTGAAAATTTTCAATTTTTGGATTGTTCAAGTTTTCATGTTGTCAACTTTATTAACTTCTCGTTTTTTTAGTTTTAGATTTTTCAGTTTCTCAATTTTTCAATTTTTCGATTCTTCAATTCTAATTTGCAATTTTCTAGTTTTCATTTTAAAGATGTAATAATATTTATTATTTTGATTTCATTTTTTCATATTTACAATTTTATAGTTTTTTCTTTTCCATTTTTAAGTTCCCATTTTTAAATTTTTGAGTTTTTCTATTTTCCAACTTTTGGATGTCTCATTTTTTAGATTTTTGCCCTTTTTCGATTTGCAATTTCACAAGTTTTCAGTTTTTATTTTTTCGATTTGCGATTTTTGGTTTCGGTTTTTTTATTTTCTCTATTTTTTCAATTTTCTTATTTTTCAATTTTTAGACTTTTTAGCTTTTGGTTTTTCAGTTTCAGATTTTTCGTTTCTTCAGTTTTAATTTACAATCTTCTAAATTTAATTTAAAATTGTAATAATATTTATAATTTTAATTTCATTTTTTCAATTTTACAATTTTAGAGTTTTTTCATTTTTTAATTATTGGATTTTAAAACATTTTCATTGATGCAATTTCTCAATTTTTCGATTTCCAATTTTTCGTTTTGGTTAATTTTTTTTATTTTTTCAATTTTTCGGTTTTTCAATGTTCCGATTTTATAATTTTTTTTTTTCAAAGTGAAATTTTTCAATTTTGGGATTTTTCAATTTTTTGATTTTCAATTTTTCGATTAATTAACTTTCCGTTTGGTCAATTTTGATTGGCAATTTTTCTAGTGGTAATTTTAAATATGTAATGGAGTAATATTTACAATTTTTATTTCATTTTTTCAATTTTTTATTTTTCGATTTTCAATTTTTCATTTTTACGTTTCCATTTTCCTACTTTTGGATTTTTCAATTTTGCGATTTTTCAATGTTCTGATTTTATAATTTTTATTTTAAGTAAACTTTTTCAATTTTTGACTTTTTTTAATTTTTCGGTTCTCAATTTTTCGTATTTTTAACTTTTCGTTTTTTTCAATTCTAATTTGCAATTTTCCAGTTTTATTTGAAAAATGTAATAACAGTTAGAATTTTTTTTTCATTTTTTCAATTTTATAGTTTTAGGGTTTTTCGATTTTCCAATTATTGGGTTTAAAACATTTTCATTAATTCGATTTTTCAATTTTTCACTTTTTCGATTTTCCAACTTTGGAATTTTTCAATTTTTAATTTTTCCATTAGCAATTTTTCCTTTCGGTTTTTGTTTTCTTTATTTTTTCAATTTCTCGTTTTTTTATTTGTCAATTATTGGATTTTAAAACATTATCAATGATTCGATTTTCTAATTTTAATTTTTCTATTACCTAAGTTTTCATGTTTAGGTTTCAATTTCTAAATTTTTCATTTTTACAACTTTTGGGTATCTCAATTATTAGATTTTTGCCATTTTTCGATTTGCAGTTTCACGAGTTTTCAGTTTTTAATTTTTTGATTTAAAATTTTTCGTTTCGATTTTTTATTTTCTTTATTATTTCAATTTTGCAGTTTTTCAATGTTCCGATTTTATAATTTTTGTTTTCAAAGTGAAATTTTTCAATTTTCGATTTTTTATTTTTTCGATTCTCAATTTTTCAGTTTCTCGATTTTTCAGTTTTTCGATTCTACAACTTTAATTTGCAATTTTCTAGTTTTCATCTTAAATATCTAATAATATTTACCATTTTTATTTCATTTTTTCAATTATTGGATTTTAAAACATTTTCATCGATTCGATTTTTCAATTTTTATTTTTTCAGTTTTAAGTCTCCATTTTTAATTTTTCAGCTTTTTTTAATTTTCCAATTCTTGGATATTTCCATTTTTATATTTTTGCCATTTTTTGTTTCGGTTTTTTATTTTCCTTATTATTTCAATTTTTCAGTTTTTCAGTGTTCCCATTTTTGTCTTTCAAATTAAAATTTTCCAATTTTTGTTTTTTTTAATTTTTCGATTCTCAATTTTTCAGTTTCTCGATTTTTCAATTTTTCGATTCTTCAACTTTAATTTGCAATTTTCTAGTTTTCATTATAAATATCTAATAATATTTATAATTTTTATTTCATTTTTTCAATTATTGGATTTTAAAACATTTTCATTGATTGGATTTTTAAATTTTCATTTTTAAATTATTCACATTTTCGATTTTCCAACTTTTGGATTGTTCAATTTTTAGATTTTTGCATTTTTCATTTCGGATTTTTATTTTCTTTATTTTTTGGATTTTTCGATTTTTCAATGTCCTGATTTCATTTTTTTTTCAAAGTAATTTTTTTCAATTTTTGGTTTTTTAATTTTTCGGTTCCCAATTTTTCTACTTTTAGATTTATTAAATTTTTAATTTTAAATATGTAATAACAGTCATAATTTTTATTTAATTTTTTCATTTTTATAATTTTAGAGTTTTTCCATTTTCCAATAATTACATATTAGGTTTTAAGATATTTTCACTGATTCGATTTTTCAATTTTTCACTTTTTTGATTTTCCAACTTTTGGATTTTTTCAATTTTTAGATTTTCGCCATTTTTCGATTTGGAATTTCATGAGATTTCAATTTTTTATTTTTCTATTTGCAATTTTTCGTTTCAGTTTTCTGTTTTCTTTATTTTTTCAATTTTTCGATTTTCTATGTTTCCATTTTGTATATTTTTTTCAAAGTAATTTTTTCAATTTTTGATTTTTTCAATTTTTCGGTTCTCAATTTTTTGGAATTTAAACTTTTAGATTTATCAATTACATATTCGTTTTCTCAGTTTTAGATTTTTCCACTTTTCGATTTTCCAACTTTTGGATGTTTCAATTCTTAAGGATTTTGCCATTTTTCGAATTCCAATTTCACGAGTTTTCAATTTATAATTTTTCTATTTGCAATTTTTCGTTTCAGTTTTTTGTTTTCATTATTTTTTCAATTTTTCGTATTTTCAACTTTTAGATTTATTAATTATTCATTTTTTCAGTTTTAGATTTTTCAATTTTTAGTTTCTTCGGTTTTAATTTGCAATTTTCCAGTTTTCATTTTAAATATGTTATAATAATATTTATAATTTTTATTTCATTTTTTCAACTTTACAATTTTAGAATTTTTTTCCATTTTTCAGTTATCGGATTTTAAAATATTTTCATTGATTTGATTTTTCAAATTTTCAATTTTTGATTTTTCCATTTTTAAGTTTTCAATCTCTCAGTGTTACTTACAGTTTTTCGACTTTACAATTTTGACAATGCTATAATAACAATTTTTGGGTTTTCCAATTTTTCGATTCGATCCATTTTTGCTTTACAATGTTTAATTTTTTTCTTCAATTCTTCGATTTTCCACTTTTTCGATTTTGCAAATTTTCGTTTTTTCAGTTTTTCGATGTTTCAATATTTTCCGATCTTTAGTTTTTCGATTTTTAATTTTTCGTTTTTCAACTTTTCGGGGAACAAAATGGAAAAATTGCAAAATTGTAAAACTGAAAAATCAAAAAAGAAAAAAACGAAAATGTATAAAATTATAACTTTGAAAAATCTAAAAACTGGAAATCAAGAACTTGAAAATTTCAAGAAACGAAAAATTCAAAAATCGAAAAATTTTGATATAAGATCGAGAAAATAAAAATAAAAAAAAAATCGAGAAAATCAAAATTAAAAATCTGGAAACATAAAGAACTAACCTTAGTCAGCATGTGTGCCTTCTGCGTCTCTAACGCCTCCGCCATAAGGCACGCCACCGTCGCCGTAGACCTCCTATACATAGTCCTTACCATATGTACCACCCGAATCGCCAACCGATTACTCGGGTTCATCCACGCATTAATCGCTGGCGACGCCGTACTCAAAAGGTTCCAATCCAACCTAGTATAGTCGATTTTCCGGGTAATCGGAGCCCTCGGAGGTGCCGCAAAATTGAACCAAACCACCTTAAGCTCGATAATACACGACGCCACATTCCCCGAATCCTTAGCCAAGACGGTATTCTCCTTATCGTTGACGTTTTCCCAGTCGCTCTTCGGAGCTTCCGCATCACCGCCTTCCTTCGGCGTGTGCGTTTCTTGCTTTTTCTCGTTCAGCTTCGGAGTCGTCGTCGTGGATTTAGTCGGTTCGGAGGACTCGACGTCCTCGGCTGACTTAACCGACTCTTCCACCGTGTCCTTCACGTTCAATTTACACTCCACGTGCTCGAACTGCGACTTCTTCACGATTTTCAAGGACACACCTTCTAAGCCGCACTCGAACATGATGAAACCGAGTTTGTCTTCGGTGCCTTCTTCGCTTTGCACCACCTGAAACCCAATGTCACTCTTGTTTCGACTTAAGGCTCCACCACACCTCAAGAAAATTTCTATTTTAAAAGATATGCAACTTGTAAAACACCCATGCTACCTCGTTATGACAGCTGCCACTCATCTCTAAGGGTTAAAATCGTTCACTTCGTTTATACGAGCCCTAACAACTAAATATTGGGACACAGACAATTTCTCAAAAAAATCCAGTACATATTTTTGATATCATTCAATTCGTTTGGACTAAATGCAAATTTGGCATGGGCATCTATTTTGGCACAGAGTCAGGTATTTTGCAAATTAATAAATTTTCTTAGAGCGCAAAAATTGTCACCTAAATAAAAAATGTGCCATTTTTGCTGACATTTAAATGTTGGGACACCCGAGAAAATTTGCTAAGTATACCATCGAAATACAAACGTAGTAGCTGGTAAATGGTGCCATTATTATAGGGATCGTAGCATTTCATACTAGTGTTGGTTTCACTTAGAAGAAAATAGTTAGTGGTGGGCTAGTTTTAGTAAAATTTCTGAAAATAATAATTTCGCAGTACTGCATGGGAAAATCGATAAGAAAAAGTGAAGATTTGTTCTAAATAGCTAGGTCGTCGATGGTAAACATCGTAAAATATTACGCAGACAGAGGTACCATAGGAATAAAAGGTAAAATTGCCGGTAGGCCACCACTTGTGAAGCCGCATGATCAACGACAACTGATGAAAATTTATAAAATTGGACGACGGAGTACTTCAAGAGAAATTACTACTTGCTGGAATAGCGATAACCAACTAAATGTTTCAAGACAATATTGTCACGAATGGATACACAAATCAGGCCTTGGTTTTTACGTTGTAAATCTTAAATAAAGCGATCTTTGATTGACTTTATTATTTATTTATATTATGTTAGGCTAAAGTAAAACCACAATTAAAAACTGCCCATAAGAAAAATTGGTTAATATGACCAAAATAAAAATTGGAGAAAAGTAATATATAACGCTGAGTCCAAATTTGATGTATGGGTGAGATAATAGTCGAAAAAGAGTTATTGAAATAAAAAAGGAATTTTAATATTGATTATCTTAAACAATCAGTCAAGTTTGCAAGCGGAAAAATGGTTTGGGGGTGCATGTCTATTAACGGAATTTAAAGACCAGTTAACAACGTTCATGGAAGGGAAATTACAAATTCAAACAAATGTCAAGAGCCTTTGTAAAAAAATATTAACAACTACTGAAGCAGTCTATCCTGTTGATATTTATATTTTTCAACAGGATGATGCTTCAAGTTACACACCTACAACACCTATTACAAAGAATAATAATATAAATGTTTGCCCTGACCATCGAATACCCCAGATCCTAATCTTGTATAGACGGTATGGCGTGAAATAAAAAAATATTTAGGAAATCATCCATGACAAGCGATTGTCAATCTTCAACAGGAAATTTAGCGAGTATAGCATACCGTAACAACTCCTATGTATTGCAGAAAATTAGTTGAAAGTATGATGGCAAGAATTCCTGCAGTTATTAAGGCAAAAGGAGATATGACCAGGTACTGAATTTGCTGTGTTCCAATATTTATGTGTCACAAAATGTTACGTTGTTTTAGAGTTTTATGTCACTGTTTGAGTTAGAAATCAGTTTTTGTTGTGCTGTAAACATTAACAGTTTTGCAAAACCAAGTAATTTTAAAATTTTAATTATCTAAAATAAATTACATTTTTGTTAAAAAGTTTGGTGATTTTTTTATAAAAAATTTTTGTTGTCCCAATATTTAGTTGTTAGGGCTCGTAGTAACTAGTTTTATTACTGCTATTGTCAGCGGGGGAACTGTATCCCAGCTTGCAGGTAGAGCAGAGTAAGGAACTAAAATATTTATCTACTATGAAAGAAAACAAACAATATTTCTTAGCTTACGTTCCAGAAGTAAAAACGCAAAAACACGTCTACTGGTATATAAAAATTGCCATTTTGTAATATTAGTTTCAAAAGTTTTGAGCGATATTTGACAGGTGTATGACGTCATCGATATTTTTTTAAATAGCACCTCCTACCTTTTTTTAGCATAAAGTCCCTTGAAAGAGAATTTTTGATATGCGGTTTAACCTAATTTACTGTCATAAGAAATGAAAAAAGCCAAATGTGTGTTTTAAAATAAATTAATAAAATCATTGTCAGAGACTGTTGAGATCTTTACTCGCAATACACACAACAAAGAAATGCTTGTTCATATATATAATTCCGACCATAATTCTTCCTCTTATTTTTAAATTCCTGTATTACCAGTGCAAGAAAAAACAACGAGACGTATATCAATTTGGATTGGTGCAATGTAATACTAAAAAAAATCAGTATTGAATTCCCAAAATTTTCTGAGAAAATGGAGTGATCAGTTCCTGATTCAATCAATAAAATAAATTGACTCATTCATTAATTCTTTTGACCCACCTCTTTAAGTAAAACTAAAATATATGAATACAATGATAAATCACAAGTAAAAACTTATCATATTTTGCACATTTTAGGTAGAATTTATTCGGCAAAATTTTGAGATGATGTCATCAATTTTTTGAGAGAAATAAACAGACATATTTTGATTAACAATGTACCATACTTACAATAAATTTAAAACGTCTTATTCAGTTCAGTATCCAGTTTTACAATTCTTGATTTAATCAATAAGAAAATTGACTCAGTCATTAATTTTCTTGAGACACCCGTTATAAGGAAATCTAAAAAATATTCATGCAGTGATAAATCACACGTATATTTTGCACATTTAAGACAGAATTTATTCAACAATATTTTGAGATGACGATATACATTTTTTAGGGGGATGAGCAAATACATTTTGATAAAAAAATTACCATGCTGTTGATCATTCATTGATTTTTTTTTAATTAGCCTGTATAAGCAAATTCAAAAAATATGAATGGAACGATAAATCACAAGTATAGACTCATCATATTTGGACATTTTAAATAGGATTTATTCGGAAAAATTTTGAGCCGACGTCAGGAATTTTTTGGGGGGATAAACAAGTGTATTTTGATTAAAAATGTATTATGCTTATCATAACTTTAAAATAGCTGCAAGATTTCAAAGCATTCGGTTTTGCAAATTCAAAATTAAATTTCAAAATATTGTTTTATAATTCTGATATTTTTTCTAATAAATCTGGAGGTTTCGGGTAAAAACTCAGCACGGCGTCATAAACCATTTTCTTATTTAATACAATTTAAAACCCATTTGCTATGTACCATTTGGAAGTGACGTCACCACACAATTAATGGGGATGATTAGATAAATTTTGGTTAACGTTTTACCATCCACATGATCTTCCTAATGTAAATACAGAATTTGACAACAATTTGCCCCATACTTTCGGACATTATCTGTCTAATAAAAATGGGGACAGCAGACAGAGACATACTCTTGCATGTGTAATTGAAGAATCCGTGTTGACTTTTTACGCTAGAGATCCAGATTTTTTGGGAAAAAATTAAAAATTGTATTTTACAATTTAACTTTGAAATTGCAAAACCGAATGCTCCGGAGATAAATGATTACTCAAAATTTACTGATTTACGACCTCCCCGAAAATCATGATGCTATATCATACAATTCTGCCGAATAAAATTATATAAAATGACATGCACCTGCATGTGTAATTTATGAATCCGTGTTTTTACCCTTGATTTACCCAGATTTTTGAAAAAAACTCAAAATTATCTAAAAATATTTTACAAATTAAATTGTAAAAGCTGAATGCTGTGAAATCTTGAAAATATCTTAAGTTTATTGGAAGCATGGTAATCGTCAATAAAACTTTGTCCATCATCTTATAATCTTGCAGGATAAATGTTCTTCAAATGTATTGTGTTTTTGGCAAAAAACTGAATGTGATTAATTTATTAATCAGTCCTCTCTTCTGCTTTGAAGTGAAAAAAATCAGTTTAATTTTCTTTTAAGAGCTGATGCTTGTAATCTAAACTTTTTAGTCGTCTAATTATATAGGCAGTTGAGAGTAAGCATGTACTGAGAAATTGAGAATATCTACATTTTTTCCTGTTGATTATCTGCGATGCAGAGGCTGCCTAATGTTAATTACGCCACTGGTTTTTACTTTATAGAGGTTATCACGAAACCAGTGATTGGAACAATTACTTTTAAAAAGTAATGCATTACTTTAACAATTACTTTTTGCACTTTGAAAATTTTGATCGACACTATTTTAGATGTTTGTTGTATGGTTCCAAAGGGTCAAGAAAAAACATGTTAGAATGAAAAAGGGAGTGAATGATTTATTTTACTAACGCATTTGTTGCATATCCACATCAGTAAATAAAATAAAACGAATAAGTACTTCATGTAAGAAGACTATATTCATAATTTAAATTCAATAATAACCGATATTCAAAATTTTCGTCATTTAAGGCACGACGTTTTGTCTTAAAAACATCCTTTCCACTGCGGCGCTAGATGGAACTGTTGTGGGGCAACATGTTACATATTTTACTAAAAATTGAAGAGCCAATTCTTTTGCGCCTAATTTCATTCCACTCTAGCTACCAATAAAAGTTCGATGCCAGCTGCAACAACAAACGAACAAACAAAAATTTGCATTGGTAGGAGATTTCAAAATATCTTATTGGTTTGCAAATGTATCGTAAATATTAGTTCACTAATCTTTAACAAAAAGGGTGTTCCCAAGTACTTAGAAGGGGGCTACAAGATAATGTAAACTTAAAAGTCTGTCTTTAATTGCCTCTTGCTTGGAGTTGTGACTTACAGATAAAATTTAGAAAACCTTAGAGGGTGGACACTCTCATAAAATATTATGGTCGGATTATGAGGGGTTTAAAAGGACGGGCTCTATGGGTTACTTCTTATAGATTTGAGTGGACCAGAAAAATGGCCTAAAGTTTGTTTGGCCACAATTTTTAAATATTCTGCCCCTGTTTGCTTCTGTTTATTAAGATATTTTATTTCTGTAAAGCGCAATGGATTTTTTTAATACAATTTCTACCAATGTACCTTTTTGAAAATTTAAAATTGATCCATAAATAGCGAAAACCAGATAATTTCATATTCCCCACAATTTTAATGCGTTGTAGTTTTTTTTGACTACAAAATTTAAAAAACGGAAAAGCACTGTGGGTAGGGTTTTTTACGCACATTTCAACGGTGTGAAGTTTATTACAATCGGACGTATACTTTTGGGAAAAACTTGGGCAGAACTGTATATGAATTTCCTTATGCTGCAATATATTTTAGCTCACCCTTAAAATGATGAAGAGCTTATGTATATTATGGCTAAACTCCTTTTAGATTTTAACTCCCTACTGGGTTAATCTTCTGTTTGTGGGGACGATCTAGGTATAATAAACCCAGCAGGTTAAGTAAATGATTCGCAGAGAAAAACAAAACAATATTTTTGAGTATTTGGGTAAGTATTTGGGTAAGTAATTGTAGAAGTGACTGAATTATTCAAAAAAAGTAATTCGGTACAATTACTTATTACATTTTTTTAAAAGTAATGCATTACAATTACTCATTACTTATTACTTCCAACCACTGCACGAACCTAACGTCGCAACATCAATTTTTTAATGGATCGGGATTTGTCGGACTATATTTCAACGACCAGGAAAGTTTTGTCGAAGTAACCTTCAACCATTTTTTTTTACTGTATCAAAAACGATATATTCAATTTTTGTGACATTCTTAAAATAATGTCATCTTTCACCACCTCACAGATACGTACATACAAAAATTTTGAACTTTTGTATAAATAATTTTAGATAGCAGTAATTCTTCTAGCATATTGTCACCCAAAAACCTAAGCTCCGGTCCAAGTCGTGTGGTCACTAATTCGAAAACCTAATAACTGTATTTTCTTCTTCGTCATTTTCATCTTTCCAGATCGATTTCAATTTCTTCCAATGCTGTATTTTTAAAATTAATAGTATTTGCTTTTTTTCCATTAATTTTTTCAAACTGTAGCCACTTATTTTCTCCGCAAACTGTGCTTTATAAGTTTCCTTCGTCCTTTATACAGATAACACTTTTTTTCTTTTCCAACTTTGTTTATCTAAATTAAATATTATTTTAACTTTTCTCTCTGTCTTTGTAAATGTCTTGCAAAGTATTTAGAAGTCATGGTACTGTAAATTTATAAAACGTAAAGTTTTTTTTAAATCTATTTTCCACTAAATCTGATTAATTGTAAACTTGAGAAGTTACCGGCTGTATTTCAAAAATTTAGAATTTTCTACTTTATGGCATATATGTAGTTATAATTAAGAACTAAAAAGTATTTTAAGGGAAATTTGATTTTTAAGATAATATGAAATTAAATAGAACGATATTCTTCCATTTATAAGTTGTTGTATTCTCAGATGAACTAATCTTTTACTTCTTGAATACATGTTTCACAATTAAAACTCAACGAAAAACTTCACGGCGAATACGAATACTCTGTAAATGCCGTGAACGCAGTGGTGCCAGTTTGATACAAGTACATAGTGGTGCCAGTTTGTGGTGCTATTATATCTGTATATAAATCTGTATATGCAAGGGCGCCCTCTGGTGAGTACACCTTCCAACTAGTGGAATATAAGCGGAAATATATATTGTAAAAGTGGCACCAATACGAAATTTCGTAGTTTTTCATTTCGATGTCAGATGACGCTAATGAGCCGACTCCCATTTAAAAACAAACTGGCACCCAAAGTCGGGTGCCACTTTGTAAAATCGGGTGCTACTATTGCAACGAACATACGTTTTGGGTGCTACAATTACAAAAAAAACATGTATATATATATACTGAAAAAAGATTTATAGACTAACGTTAAGTTTCTTTTAGCAATAAGTGTAAAATGTTGAATTTTATGCTTTGAAGAGGTCTTTGCTTTGTTATTATTTTTATTTTATTAATATGATTTTATTGATGATGATATTTTCCTGTGATTGTTTAATATTTAAATGCTTATTAAGATTAGATTTAATGTCCCTCGGCCTGCATCGAGATATGTTAACACCTTTGATATCTCCACCGCCCGAACTAATATCCTTCGTCGTTCGCCAATTACTACAATGTGTCGATGTGCAGATAGATATGTAGCTGATATATTTTATTCAAATTAGTTTATACTTGGAATTATGTTTTTGTTATTGTTATAATTTTTGTGTTGGTTATTCATGTAAGTAATTATTTAGATTTGTCCTGTCATTAGGGTAACCTGTTGGACAATAAAAATTATTATTATTATTATTATTATTATTAAATGCAGTGTATAGAGGCAGGGATGTCAGCACTCTGCTTACCAAACTCACAAAACGCAATGCGATTACACCTTTTTGCTATCTATAAATTCCTGCTTGAAAATTCTTTGGTATCATAAAATCTATCTCTCCCTTTCGTACTGTCGGAGCCAACGTAACAACTCAATATTCGGCGCCGGATTAAAAAACCGACCGCGTCAGCCAGTTTGTATGTACCCGTTTCCATTTGTGCAGTATAAGTACTCCTCTCTTAGGAATTTATAGCTGCAATTTTATTTGCTTTACTGCACATATTGTCATATTGCTTAATTATGGAATATTGTCATAGACATATCCTAATATAGCTTGAATAAATGTATTCCAATAATAAAATTCCATTTAATTAATATCATTCATTTAATTAAAAGGGGGAATCAAATCAAAACAACAACGTAGAAATGTCATCATATTTCTGTAAAAATTTTACTCGCCTATATCCTTCTTAATGCTATTGTCAGGTACTTCAAAGGGTGGTCAAATAAGCTGAAGGTATTTAAAAGGTGCTCTATTGTGTGGGCCATTAATTACAGCTTACCGCCTCAGCTAATATTTTGGGTTGCCTAAACTTACCAAAATTTGCCCAAAATGCTTTGCAGTTTTTTTACAATAACTAAAAGAAGTAAAATTTTAACAGAAAACGAAAAATGGCGCCTAAAGTAGAAAAAAATTCTCTATCACCTCGATATTTTTTAAAAGCACACCGAGTTATAGTTTTCGCTAAAAATCCGCTCGGGTTTTACGCACTTTATTTTTTATTTTAAAAACTGCTACGTTTTTAAAAAATACAAGACTCTTCCTTAAAGATTTTTATGTCATGAGCACGTACATGTATCGTCCTGCTCTTCAACTGTTAAAATGAAGGCGCAAAATGGGTTGGCGTTTTGCCTTATTTTGGCATTTTTTAATGACTGTGTGGCGGAGCCTTAAAATCAACAAACTTACGCTACTTTCAATAGGTGGGGGCTGCAAATAGTACTCCACCCCGCGGTACTGTGGCCCCACTTTGGCCGGCGTGAATAAAACCTTGGACTTGTAGTTCGGGATGGCGGTGATGATCGCGTCGTCCAAGATCGAGCTTTCGTTCCGCAGTCGCCTCAACTGCGCATGCGCTTTACCTACGTTCAGACAAACGACGAGCTGCTGCTGCTGTTTCTCACAACTTTCGATAAACACAGGCTCGCCTTGGATGATGTCCGCGTTAGTGTTGGTTTGCAAACCCAGCAAGATTTTGGCTTTGTTTGCGCCCTTTTTGCTCCCGGTTTGGACGACAGCGGGTCGATTGAACCTTTGTAACACCTCTCTGGCTTGCTTGTCGCAGTGGAGCTTCGCGGTGACGTTGTCGAAGCAAACCGAAAACAAAGACACACAAGTCAAGTCCTTCATGTTGTCTAGAGCAGAGAAGGAGATGATTTCCTCGACTATGGACACTTGTAACAAGGTCACGTTGACTTTTGGCAAGAAAATGGCGGCTTGCAGCTGGGTTTTGACGGTTTCTTCGTAGATGCCGTCGCTGACTGGAGCGTCTCCAGTAGGGGTTTGACACAGCTTCGCTATATTTTCTGTGGTTTTTAAAATATTGGCGGACTCGACTTGACTGACGCAGGATGTGTGTAGGTGGTTGACTACAGTGAGCGGGTGTAAATTGGCCACGGTGGGAGTCAAAGCGTCTACGAAGCGTTGCAATGACTCTAGAAGCAGCGGGCTGATCATAATATCCAAGTCACCCTTGAGTTTCACAATAACCAGAGTCCTAGACCCCGCGTCTGTCTGATTACTCAACAACTCCTCCTCTTGGAACGACGTCGGGTCGTCCACGTCCTCTTGGTCCCAGACGTGGATAAAAGGCGACGTGGGTGTCTTATTATTAACGACGGGGTCCGACTTGGACACCATCTTCAACGACGTGATGCCCTCGCTTGACAGTTCCATGTTGGGTACGAATCGCGCGCCCACGTACACTAGTTTACCTTCGGGGTTTTTCTCGAAGAGGGGTACGGAGAACTGGTCGGAGTTCTTGGATTGGCCGCCCCAGTTGCTGCATTTGCTTTGGCTTAAGTGGGTGACGTAGCTGGACATCAGCATGGGGGAGTCGATGATGAGGCGGTTCACTTGCATGTGGAGGTCGACGAGGGTGAAATCTTCTTGGCTTCCTACTGCCGAGACGTAGGAAGTGCTGCTGTAGCTGTCGGAGGAGTCGCCGAGGCTGTCGCTGACGGCGTCCTCGCTCTCGGTGCCCGTGACGGCGATGAATTTGGGGCTGATGGAGCGGTTGACGTTGGGGAGTCGTTGCGGGGTGACTAGGCCTTGGACTGTGCGCTGGTTTTCTTCCAACTGGAACAAGGGGTGTCGAGGACGACATTAGAAAAGCTGTCACTAACAAAATGACGTTTAAGCAAAGGCTACTATGTTTTACATTTGAAAAAAATCGTAAAAACGGAAAATTGAAAAATAGAAATATTGAAGAACTGAAAATCGAAAAAACGAAACATCAAAAAATTTAAAAAAATTAAAAATTTGAAAATCTAAAATGAAAAATCGCCCTTTCAATTTCTCTATTACTCAATGTTTCAGTTTTTTAATTTTTGGACGTTTCGATTTTTTGTTTTCTCGCTTTTTCGATGTTTCAGCTATTCAAATATTAGATTTTTCGATTTTTCAGTTACTCAGATTTTCGAGTTCCCAATTTTTCGTCTTTTCAAAATTACAAGTTTTTAAATTTTAATTTTTTGATATTTTAGTCTTTTATTTGTCTATTTTTTTAATTCAAATTTTCCAATTTTTTTTGTTTAAATTTTCGATTTTGCGGTTTTGGGTTATTTATAATTCTTCTCGACTTTTTCGCTTTTCAATTATTAGATTTTTCAGTTTTTCCATTTCCCAATTTTTCGTCAGTTTTGGACTTTGTCAATTTATCGAGTTTTTAGTTCTTTGGTTCCTCAATTTTCCAATTTTGCAAATTTTCGATTTTCTAAATTTTGTATCTTTCGCTTTCTCGATTTTTCGGTTTTTTGATTTTCAAATTTTTAGATTTCGCAATTTTTTAATGTTTCAATTTTGGGGTTTTTCAGTTTTTAGATTCTTGAATTTTTCTCAATTTTCCAATTGTCGATATTACGACATTTCGATTTTAAATTTTTGAGGTATTTCTATTTTTCGAATTCTCGACTTTTCAATTTCTCGATTTCTCAACGTTTCAGTTTTTCAACTTTTGTATGTTTCGATTTTTTGAATTGTCGCTTTTTTCCAATTTTTGATTTTCGGCTTTTAGATTATTAGAGTTTTTAGATTTTTCAGTTTCCCAGTTTTTCAATTTCCCAATTTTTCGTCATTTCAGTTTTGAAATTCGTCAATTTATCGATTTTTCTTTGAATTTAAAATTGTTTAATTCTTTGTAATTGTTAATGTTAAATTCTTCATTTTCAACATTTCGATTTCCCGAATTTTCGACACCTCGAAATTTCCATTTTTCGATGTTCCAGTTTTTCAAATTTTCGACTTTTCGGCTTTTTAGATTTTTCGATTTTCTAGTTTTTCGATATTTCGATTTTTCATTAAAAAAATAACTCATCAAAAAATTAAGAAATCTAAAAAGATTTCTTAATATTTTAATGTTTTAGTTTTAGGATTTTTCAGTTTTTAGATTTTTTAATTTTTCTCGATTTTCCAATTTTTCGACTTTTCGATTTCTATATCTTCTGATTTTTCTAAATTCTTCAATTTATCGTTTTTTTTTAATTTATTTTTTTTGTAGTTGTTATTTTTAAATTTTTCATTTTCAACTTTTCGATTTCCTGAATTTTCGACATCTCGAATTTTCCATTTTTCGATTTTTCGATTTTCTAGTTTTTTGATATTTCGATTTTTCAATAAAAAAATAAAAGATTTCTTAATTTTTTGATGTTTTAGTTTTGGGATTTTTCAGTTTTTAGATTTTTCAATTTTTCTCGATTTTCTAATTTCTCGATTTGTCAATTTTTCACTTTTTCGATTTTTGTATCTTCTGATTTTTCTAAATTCTTCAATTTATTGATTTTTTTAATTCATTTTTTTTTAATTTTTTGTAGTTGTTAATTTTAAATTTTTCATTTTCAACTTCTCGATTTCCCGAATTTTTGACATCTCGAATTTTCCATTTCTTGATTTTTGGATGTTTCAGTTTTTCAAAATTTCGAGTTTTCCGCTTTTCAAGTTTTAGATTTTTCGATTTTCTGTTTTTCGATATTTCGATTTTTCAATTTTTAGATTTCCCAAATTTTTCTGATTTCAGTTTGGAATTTTTTAATTGCTCGAAGTTTCAGTTTTTTGAATTTTCAATTTTCCAATTTTTAGATTTCTTAATTTTTTGATGTTTTAGTTTTGAGATTTTTCAGTTTATAGATTCTTCGATTTTTCAATTTGTCAGTCTTCGATTTCTGTATATTCTAATTTTTCAATTTTTTAAATTTTAGATTTTCCGATTTTTCAGATCTTCAATATTTCTATTTCTTCATTTTTCTGATTTTTAAATGTTAGTTTTTCAGTTTTTTGGTGTTGCGACTTCCCGATCTTTCGATTTTTCAACTTCACAATTTTTGATTTTTCAATTTTTCGATTTTGGGTTATTTATGTTTTTCGGTATTTTTCGACTTCTCGACTTTTCACTTTTTCGACATTTCAGTTTTTCAATTTTTGGATGTTTCGATTTTTTGATTTTCGGCTTGAAAAAATTTTAAAACCTATAATTTAAAAACCGAAAAATAAATAATGGAAAAATCGAAACTCGAAAATTTTAAAAATCGAAAAATTTAAAGATCAGATAATTGAAAAATCGAAACATCGAAAAACTGGAAAATCGAAAAACCGAAAATTAGAAAAGTAAAAAATCGAAAAACCGAGAAATTGAAAAATCAAAAGATGGAGAAATCGAAAATTTATCAAAAAAAAAGCATCCAAATCTCGATAAATCGAGAAATCTAAAAATCGAAACATGAAAAAATCGTAAAACCGAAAAATTGAAAAATAGAAATATCGAAGAACTGAAAATCGAAACATCAAAAAATTAAAAAAAAATAAAAATTTGAAAATCTAAAAACGAAAAATCAACTTTTCAATTCCTTTATTACTCGATGTTTCAGTTTTTTAATTTTTTGGATGTTTCGATTTTTTCATTTCTCGATTTTTCGATTTTCTGGTTTTTCGATGTTTCAATTTTTAGAATTCCCAAATTTTCCTGATTTCAGTTTGGAATTTTTTAATTTTTTGGATTTTCGATTTTCAATTTTTAGACTTCTTCATTTTTTGATGTTTCAGTTTTGAGATTTTTCAGTTTTTAGATTCTTTAATTTTTCTCGATTTTCCAATTTTTCGACTTTTCGATTTCTCAATTTTTCACTTTGTCGATTTCTGTATCTTCTGATTTTTCAATTTTTCGATATTTCAATTTTATGATTTTTCAATTTGCCAGTCTCCAAATTTTCTATATTTTAATTTTTCAATTTTTTTAATTTTAGATTTTTCGATTTTTCAGATGACAATATTTCTATTTCTTCATTTTTTAAATTTTTAAATGTTAGATTTTTCAGGTTTTTGGTGTTGCGATTTCCAGATCTTTCGATTTTTCAACTTCTCAATTTCTCGATTTTTAAAAATTTTTGATTTTTTAGTTTTTCGATTATTCAATGTTTCAATTTTTAACTTTTGGATTTTTCGATTTTCGGTTATTTCTGTTTTACGATATTTTTCGACTTCTCGATTTTTCGATTTTCGGTTTCAAAAAATTTTAAAATCTAAAATTTAAAAACCGAAAAGCAAATAATGGAAAAATCAAAACTCGAAAAATTGAAAAATTAGATAACTGAAAAATCGAAACACGAAAAACTGGAAAATTGAAAAACCGAGAAATCGAAAAATCAAAAGATGGAGAAATCGAAAAGTTAAACAAAAAAAAACATGAAATAACGATAAATCGAGAAATCAAAATATGTATTTAAAAATTAAAAATCGAAACATAAAAAAATCGTAAAACCGAAAAATTGAAAAATAGAAATATCGAAGAACTGAAAATCAAAACATCAAAAAATTCAAAAATTGAAAATCTAAAAACGAAAAATCAACTTTTCAATTTCTCTATTACTCGATGTTCTAGTTTTTTAATTTTTTGGATGTTTCGATTTTTTGATTTCTCGATTTTTCGACTTTTCGGTTTTTCAATTATTAGATTTTTCGTCATTTCAGTTTTGGACTTTGTCAATTTATCGATTTTTTAGTTTTTTAATTCCTCAATTTTCCAAAATATGTATTTAAAAATTCGAAAAATTGAAATATGTATTGAGAAATCGAGAAATCTAAAAATCGAAACAAAAAAAAACGTAAAACCGAAAAATTGAAAAATAGAAATATCGAAGAACTTGAAAATCTAAAAACGAAAAATCTACTTTTCAATTTCTCTATTACCGGATGTTTCAGTTTTTTAATTTTTGGATGTTTCGATTTTTTGATTTCTCGATTTTTCGACTTTTCGGTTTTTCAATTATTAGATTTTTCGTCATTTCAGTTTTGGACTTTGTCAATTTATCGATTTTTTAGTTTTTTAATTCCTCATTTTCCAAAATATGTATTTAAAAATTCGAAAAATTGAAATATGTATTGAGAAATCGAGAAATCTAAAAATCGAAACAAAAAAATCGTAAAACCGAAAAATTGAAAAATAGAAATATCGAAGAACTTGAAAATCTAAAAACGAAAAATCAACTTTTCAATTTTTCTATTACCGGACGTTTCAGTTTTTTAATTTTTTGGATGTTTCGATTTTTTGATTTCTCGATTTTTCGACTTTTCGGCTTTTCAATTATATTAGATTTTTCGACTTTTCGATTTCTCAATTTTTCACTTTTTCGATTTCTGTATCCTCTGATTTTTCTATTTTTCGATATTTCAATTTCCCGATTTTTCAATTTTTCAGTTTTTTAAATTTTAGATTTTTCGATTTTTCAGATCTTCAATATTTGTCTTCATTTTTCTGATTTTTAAATGTTAGATTTTTTAGTTTTTTGGTGTTGCGATTTCCCGATCTTTCGATTTTTCAACTTCACAATTTTTGATTTTTCAATTTTTCGATTTTTAAAAATTTTTGATTTTTCAGTTTTTCGATTTTTCAATGTTTCAATTTTTAACTTTTGGATTTTTCGATTTTGGGTTATTTCTGTTTTTCGATATTTTTCGACTTCTCGACTTTTCAATTTCTCGACTTTTCAGTTTTTCAATTTTTGGATGTTTCGATTTTTTGATTACTCGCTTTTTCCGATTTGTCGAAATGAAAAACTCGAAACTCGAAAATTTTAAAAATTGAAACATTGAAAAATCAGATAATTGAAAAATCGAAACATCGAAAAACTGAAGAATCGAAAAACCGAAAATTAGAAAAGTAAAAAATTGAAAAACCGAGAAATCGAAAAATCAAAAGATGGAAAAATAGAAAAGTTAAACAAAAAAAAACATCCAAATCTCGATAAATCGAGAAACCAAAATATGTATGTAAAAATTCGAAAAATTGAAATATTGAGAAATCAAGAAATCTAAAAATCGAAACAAAAAAATCGTAAAACCGAAAAATTGAAAAATAGAAATATCGAAGAACTGAAAATCGAAACATCAAAAAAATTTTAAAAATGAAAAATTTGAAAATCTAAAAAAGAAAAATCAACTTTCAATTTCTCTATTACCCGATGTTTCAGTTTTTTAATTTTTTGGATGTTTCGATTTTTTGATTTCTCGATTTTTCGACTTTTCGGCTTTTCAATTATTATTAGATTTTTCGATTTTACAGTTTTTCCATTTCCCAATTTTTCGTCATTTCAGATTTGGACTTTGTCAATTTATCGATTTTTTTGTTTTTTGATTCCTCAATTTTCCAATTTTCCAAATTTTTGATTTTTAAAATTTTGTATTTTTCGCTTTCTCGATTTTTCGATTTTCCAATTTTTAGATTTCTCATTGTTTAAATGTTTCAGTTTTGGGATTTTTTCAGTTTTAGGATCCTTGAATTTTTCTCGATTTTCCAATTTTTCGGTTTTAAATGTTGGATTTTTCGATTTTGGGCTATTTCTATTTCTCGATATTTTTCGACTTCTCGACTTTCAATTTCTCGATTTCTCAACGTTTCAGTTCTTCAATTTTTCAATTTCTCGGTTTCCCAGTTTTTCAATTTATCAATTCTTTTATTTTAATTTTTTTTAATTATATGTAATTATTAATTTAAAATTTTTCATTTTCAACTTTTCGATTTCCCGAATTTTCGACATCTCGAATTTTTGCATTTCTCGATTTTTTGATGTTTCAGTTTTTCAAATTTTCGACTTTTCCGCTTTTCAAGTTTTAGATTTTTCGATTTTCTGGTTTTTCGATATTTCGATTTTTAGATATCCCAAATTTTCCTGATTTCAGTTTTTTGATTTTTCAATTTTCCAATTTTTAGATTTCTTAATTTTTTGATGTTTTAGTTTGGAGATATTTCAGTTTTTAGATTCTTCAATTTTTCTTGATTTTCCAATTTTTCGACTTTTCGATTTCTGTATCCTCTGATTTTTCTATTTTTCGATATTTCAATTTTCCGATTTTTCAATTTTTCAGTTTTTTAAATTTTAGATTTTTCGATTTTTCAGATCTTCAATATTTCTGTCTTCATTTTTCTGATTTTTAAATGTTAGATTTTTCAGTTTTTAAAAATCGAAAAATTGAAAAATCAGATAATTGAAAAACTGAAACATCGAAAAACCGAGAAATCGAAAAATCAAAAAATCGAGAAATCTAGAAATCAAAATACATATTTAAAAATTCGAAAAACTGAAAAATTGAAATATTGGAAAATCGAAAGATCAAAAGATCGAGAAATCGAAGTCATGAAATCGAAAAACCGAAAAATTAAAAAATCGAAATAGGTTAAAATCGAAAAAACGAAAAGTTGGAAGTCAAAAAATTGGAAAATCGATAAATCTAAAAGTGGAAAAATAAAAAAACGAAAATAAAAAATCAAAAAATTGAAAAATCAAAATTGAAGAATTGAAGCTGGAAAATCGAAACAGTCGAAAGTGAAGAAATGGGAAAATCAAAACATCAATTGATCGAAAAATCGAAAAACTGAGAATTTAGAAGTCAAAAATTGTAAAAATTGGAACTTTTGAAGATATCAATATGAATATGAGTCACGACAATCGTCATCGCCTTAAAATATCCAGGATATCTTATCAATCTTGCAATTTATGTCTTCCCAAAATAGCAACATTGTCCTTATCGCCCTCGTAGTTTAAATTCACGTATAATTTAAATAATGTAAACGTTTTGCCACAAAAAACGTCACCATTTCGATAATTTAAAGCTCATTTGGTACGACATGAATAACTTTCCAAAATAAAAGCCACATTTTATTACGTCAAAAAAAGTCAGTATAAAAACCGGACAAAACACACTTTTTGGAGTGCACTCACTTACAAATTCAAGGGAGGAAATCGAGCCCATTCGCTCTAAAACGGTGAGTCATAGTGGCGGTATTGTTAAAATAAGGAGTAAGTACTGAATTTTGCTGTTGGTTTTGGTAATAATTTGAAACTGTAGACATGACAACAAGTAGACCTCAAACGCAAATCCAAGACGAAGAGGTAACCTACAGGCAAAATAAAACACCACAAGCTATTTAATTAAAACTATGCTCGTAGATAATACTAAGACCTACGGTACATATTACACAAGCAGGAAGAGAATATAAAAATATTATGAGACGAATTTGGCGTGCTTGTAATTATTGGATCAAGTGTCCCAAAGACAGACAAAAAATTTATGGCAATATTGGAGAAGCATTTTATAATGTTGCCCTTATGTATGTAAACAGACGTTATGTTTACGTACTGGTTTAAATACATTTTGTTTTGTACTTTTTTAGTGTAGATGATATGGAAGATCATACGATACTTCGTCGAGGAATTCCTGCCGCTCATATGGTTTATGGAATTCCTTTGACCGTGCAAGCTACGATTTACAAGACTATTCTTTCACTTGAAGAATTGTTCCTTTATTTAGAAGATAGTAAGGTTTGTACATAGTAATTTCTTTATTGAGATTCATTTTCTACTGAGTTATTATTTTCGTTTAGGAAGAAGCTACTGATTCATTAATTAAACTCGGAACTCGCCTGTTTGCAGGACAAGGAATAGAGATACACTTCACTGATATCGTAAAGTGCCCTACCTTTGACGATTACAGAGCGATAATTTACGGCAGTAAGTTAAAATTTAGCACTACGTTGTTTAAGGTGGTATCACTCAGAATTGTCACACAACAGTTAAGCATAAATAACTCTTCACGTAGTCCAAACACTCTCTAGTGTTCTCTAGTCACTTTCCAAATATCTTAACGCCTAAAATTGAAAAATTCAAATATAGAAGAACTGAAAACTCGAGAAATCGAAAAACTTAAAATTTTTAAAATTGAAAACTTAAAATATCGAAAAGTTGAAAGATTGTGAAAACCGAAAGTTCAAAAAATGAAAAATTGAAAATCCAAAAAGTAAAGTCGAGAAATTCCGAACGTGAAAAATCCCAAGTCGAAATACTCAAAAATCCCAAAATTGAAAAATTGAAGAATCGAAAAACTGAGAAAACTTACAAAATTGGACGAAATATCCAAAAATTAAAAAATTGAAAAATTGGGAAATCGAAAAGCCGAAAAATTGCAAACCTAAAGAATCGAAAAATTGAAAAATCTGGAGCCTGAAAAATCGAAAAATTGGGGAACTGGAAACCTGAAAAATCGAAACCTTGGCAAGTCTAAAATGGAAAAATAAAAAATAGATCAATTGAGAAATCGTCAAAACTTGAAAATTTAAAAAATCGGAAAATTGAAAAATCGGAAAATTCAAAAACTGAGACAATCAAAACATCGAAATATCCGAATCTCGATAACTTGAGTTCTCAAAAAATTGAAAAATCGCAAAATAAAAAAATTCGGAAAAAAGAAAAATTAAAATATACAAGAACTGAAAACTCGAAAAATTCACTAATCGAAATATATATAAAACAGACGAAAATTGAAAAATCTAAAGTTTAAAAAACGAAAAACTGAAGAATTAAAGAACTGAAAAATCGAAACTGCGAATTCGAGAAACGGGAAAATAAAAAAATATATATATTAATCGAAAAATCGGAAAACTGAAAATTTAGCAACGTCAAAATTTGAAAAATTGTAAAATAGAAATACTGAAGAAATCGAGAGAATTGAAAAATCTAAAATTTAAAGCATTGAACAGTTGAAATATCGCAAAACTGAAAAATGGGGAAATCCAAACATCAAAGAATCAAAAAAGCAAAATTCGAAAATCTAAACTTAAAATCGAAAAACTGAAAAATCGACACATCGAAACTCCAGAATTTAAAAAAATTGAAAAGTCGGATAACTGAAAAATCGAAACATCGAATTCAATAAATAGGGAAACAAAAAAAATTGAAAGATTTTAAAACAGAAAAATTAAAACATGGAAAAGTTGAAAAAAAATTAAGAAATCGAGGTATAAAACTGTCGAAAATTTGAGAAATCTAAAGTTTAACGAAAAATTGAAAATCCAAAAAGTAAAAAAGGGGTGGAAACCCAAAAACTGCAAACTGAAAAATTTTTAAATTGTAAAATCGAAAGAAACAACAAAAATTAAGGTAATGAAAAAACAAAAAATTGTGATATAAATTCGAGAAAATGAAAAATAAAAAATCGGGAAAATGCAAAATAAAAATCGGGGAGTTGAAAAATTGATGGGGCGGAAAATTGGAAAAGGGCACAATTAAAAATCGAGAACGTGAAAAATGGAAAAATGCGAAATTGTAATATTGAAAAATTGGTAAATTTGGAGGTCGACAAATTGTAAAATTGAAAAATAAAAAATAAAAAACGAAAAAGTGTATAATAAGAACTTGAAAAATGTACAAAGTAAAAATCAAACTTGAAAATTTGAAGAAAAATTGCTAAAAACCTGAAAATTTGAAAAATTTAATAAAGGAAAAATTGTAAAATCTAAAGAAACAACAAAAAATAAAGGAAATCAAAAAAAGGAAAATTGTGATATAAAATCTAAAAAGTGAAAATTAAAAAATCGGGAAAATGAAAAATAAAAATCGAAATCAAAAAATTGGAAAAGGGAAAAATTAATAATTGAGAAACTGAAAAATCGAAAAATGAAAATCTGTAATATTGAAAAATTGCCAAATTGAAAAACTGATGCAACCGAAAAATTGAACGAACGAAAAATTGAAAATTTTGGAAGTCGAGAAATTGTAAAATTGAAAAATCAAAAATAAAAAACGAAAAATTACAAAATGAAAACTTGAAAAATCTTAACAATCGAAAAAGTGACAAATAAAAAAAAAAGAAATATGTATTATTAAGTAGAAATATTTAAAATTAAAGAAATTGGAAAATCGGAAGACTGGAAATCTAAAAACTGCAAAGTGAAAAATTTAAAAATCGAAAAATGGATGAACTGAAAATTCAAAGCCTGAAAATTTGAAAAATTGAACAAATGAAAAATTGTAAAATCGAAAAAAAAAACACAGAAAATAAAGGAAATGAAAAAACGGATATAAATCGAGAAGATAAAAATTAAAAATTCGCCACATTGAAAAATAAAAATCGGGAACATGAAAAATTGTGGAAACGAAAAATTGAGAAACTGAAAATTGGAAAAATTGAAGAAACCAAAAATTGAAAAATCGAAAGAAACAAGAAAAAATAAGGGAATTGAAAAAAAATGAAAATTGGTGATATAAAATCGAGAAAATGAAAATTAAAAAAATCGGGAAAATGAAAAAATAAAAATCGAGAACTTGAAAAATTGAGGAAACGAAAAATTGAAAATGACAAAAATTAAAAACTGAGAATGTGAAAAATCGAAACTGTAATATCAAAAAATTGCAAAATTCAAAAATTGCAAATTGAAAAATTGATAAATTCAAAAATCGAAAAGCCGAAAAGTAAAAAAACGAAAAACCGATAAATCGAAAAATCGAAAAATCGAAACATCGAAATATTAAAACTGAGACAATCAAAACATCGAAACATCCGAATCTCGATAAATCGAGTTCTCAAAAAAAATGAAAAATAAAAAAAATCGGAAAAAAGAAAAATTAAAATATACAAGAACTGAAAACTCGAAAAATTCACTAATCGAAATATATATAAAACAGTCGAAAATTGAAAAATCTAAAGTTTAAAAAACGAAAAACTGAAGAATTGAAGAACTGCAAAATCGAAACTGCGAATTCGAGAAACGGGAAAATAAAAATATATATAGTAATCGAAAAATCCGAAAACTGAAAATTTAGCAACGTCAAAAGTTAAAATGGAAATACTGAAGAACTGGAAAATCAAAAAATCCAGAAATCGAAAAATCTAAAATTTAAAGCATTGAACATTTGAAATATGGCAAAATTGAAAAATGGGAAAATCCAAACATCAAAGAATGAAAAAAGAAAAATTCGAAAATCTAAAACTTAAAAATCGAAAAACTAAAAAATCGACAAATCTAAACTCCAGAATTTAAAAAAATTGAAAAATCGGAAAACTGAAAAATCGAAACGTCCAAAAATTCGAAAATCGAAAAAAATTGAGAAATTGATAAATTGAGAAATTGAACAATCAAAACATCCAAACGTCTGAATTCGATAAATCAAGAAATAAAAAAAATTGAAAGATTTTAAAAAAAAATATTAAAACATCGAAAAGTTGAAAAAAAATTAAGAAATCGAAGTATAAAACTGTCGAAAATTTGAGAAATCTAAAGTTTAAGGAAAATTTGAAAATTCAAAAAGTAAAAACGGGGTGGAAACCCAAAAACTGCAAACTGAAAAATTTTAAAATTGTAAAATCGAAAGAAACAACAAAAATTAAGGTAATGAAAAAACAAAAAATTGTTTTTTCATTTTCAAAAATCGAAAGAAACAAGAAAAAATAAAGGAATTGAAGAAATGAAAACTTGTGCCATAAAATCGAGAAAATAAAAATTAAAAAAATCAGGAAAATGAAAAATAAAAATCGAGAACTTGAAAAATTGAGGAAACGAAAAATTGAAAATGACAAAAATTAAAAACTGAGAATGTAAAAAATCGAAAAATGAGAAACTGTAATGTCAAAAAATTGCAAAATTAAAAAATTGCAAATTGAAAAATTGAAAAATTTAGAAGTCAAGAAACTGTAAAACTGAAATCAAAAATAAAAAAACGAACAAGTTTATGATGAAAACTTGAAAAATGTTAAAAGTGAAAATCAAACATGAAAATTTGAAGAAACGAAAATTTGAAAAATCAAAAGATTACAAATTGAAAAACTTAAAATTCGAAAAAGTTTTTTTTATTTTGTCATATTTGAACCCATTTTGGTTTTAGAATCTTTCGCTGTTATACACTGGGGAGTTCGATTATTGGAATTATTTGCCAAGAAAGAAAAAATCCAGTTTGGTGCAAAATTTTGGGATAATTTGAGTTACTTTGCAGCGGTATATGACGATTACGTAAATTTGCACAACCCTAAGGTAGGCAAATTTTTGTTATTTTTGAGTTTGGTTTGACTCGTTTCGTAGTGGGCAAGCGTTCGGGTCTACTGTGATGATCTCGATGAAGGAAAATTTAGCTTTCCTATGATTCATGCTATTCAGAGTCATCCGAATGATCATCGGCTTTTGAGTATCCTTTACATGATATTCAGTCAAAGAAAGCATTTATTTTCTTAATTATTGTCTTAGCTATGTTAAAAAACAGGCCACTGGATATGGAAAGTAAGAAACTTTTCGTAGATATAATGGAAAGTTTTGGAAGTTTTGAGTATACTAGAAAACTACTGGAAGATACGAAAAATGGTGTTTTCGACGAAGTGGACAAAATGAAAATAGGGAAAAATCCACATTTGCAACGAGTTCTTGAAGATATATTTACTAAATTAGAAACTGACCTTTTTATCGACAAGTGTAATTAAACGGAAACTTTGTTCTTTTTTATATCTCCACTAATTACTAAAATAATCGCACTTGGGTTGTAAATGTTTTGGGAAACCTGCTGTCTAAGCTTACAGTTACACTTACTTATAGTTACGCCGATTTTGCAAACTTTTATTTGTGGTAACCTCTATACATTAAAACGAATATAGATAAGGCAAGTCTTGTAAATTTTGTACCGGTTTTATGATCTGTCAAAGGTAAAATTGACTGGCAAAAAAATTAGTACTCATTCAAGCAAAAACACTACTTGGTCATATTTATATGTACCTGTTGAAGTTACAATTATTCAAATTACTCAAATTGCAAATTTTCAATAATTTAAGCTCATTTGGTACGAGATAAATAATTTTACAACCTAAAAACGCACCGAAATATTTAAAAATCCTAAAACTGAAATTTCGAAAAATTGAAAAATGGAACAAAAACTGAAGAATGAAAAAATTGAAAACTCTCAAAACCGAAATATCCAAAAACTGAGCAATAAAAAAATTTAATTTTGAGAAATCAAAAAGTCAAAAAAGTGAAGTCCAAAAATCAAAACCTTAAAAAATTGAAAAATCAAAAACATAAAAAATTGAAAAATTGAAGAATTAAAGAAACGAAAAATCGAAAAACTGAGAGTTCATAAAAGTCAAATTTGAAAAATTGAAAAATCAAAATATTTAAAAATCGTAAAATTGAATAATACATAAACTAAAAAGTCCCAAAACTGAAATATCCAAAAACTGCAAAAAGTGAAGTCGAAAAATCGAAACTTTAAAAAATAGAAAAATTAAAAACCTGAAAAATCGAAAAATTGAAAAACTGAAAAATCGAAACAGTCGAAAGTCAAGAAATGGGAAAATCGGAAAAATTGAGTTTATAAAAGTCAAAAATTGAAAAATCGAAATATTTAAAAATCTTAAAATTGAAGAGGAAAATAATTTAAAAAACGTGAAACTTTGCATTTTTAACCCTAATTGGCCACTTGACGTAGTAAAATCACAAAATTGAACGAAATATTCAAAAATTGAAAAATTGAGAAACCGAAAAATCAAAAAAGCAAAGTCGAAAAATCGAAATCAAAAACCTGAAAAATCGAAAAATTGAAGAACTGAAGAATTGAAAGATCGAAATATTGGGAAGTCGAGAAATGGGACAAACAAAAAACAGATTAATCAAGAAATCAGAAAACTGAAAATTCAGAAATGTCAAAATTTAAAAAGTTAAAAATATAAGGAAGAACTGAAAAATCGAAAAATCGAAAATTGAAAACATTAAAAAATTAAAATATCGTAAAATTGAAACTCGAAAATTTGAAAAATTGGATAAATTCAAGAATGGAAAAACCGAAAAGTAAAAAATCGAAAAACCGACAAATTGAAAAATCGAAACATCGAAAAATTCAAAAACTGAGACATCCAGAAATCGAAAAATCAAAAGATCGAGAAATTGAGGAGTCGAAAAATCGAAAAATTGAGAAATCGAAATAGGCCAAAATCAAAAAATCCAAAATTTAAAAATTCGGAAAATTGAAAAATTAAAATATAGAATTGGAAACTCGAGCAATCGAAAAATCTAGAACCCGAAAATTAGAAAAGTCAAAATACTAAAAAATCCCATAACTCGAATATCGAAAAATTGAAAAATAAAAGAAAAACTGACGAATCGAAAAACTGAAAAATCATTGAAAAATGGAGAAATCCAAGCATCAAAAAATCAATAAATCGAAACTCGCAAATTTAAAAAATTGGATAATTCAAAAGTCGAAAAACCGAAAAGTAAAAAATTGAATAACCGACAAATCGAAAAACCGAAACATCAAAAAATTCAAAAACTGAGACATCGAGAAATCGAAAAATCAATATATCGAGAAATTGAAAAGCCAAAAAGTCGAGAAGTCGAAAAATCGAAAAATTGAGAAACCGAAATAGGCCAAAATCGAAAATTTAAAAATTCGGAAAATTGAAACATTAAAATATAGAATTGGAAACTCGAGCGATCGAAAAATCTAGAACTCGAAAATTCGAAAAGTTGAAATGCTAAAAAATCCTAAAACTCAAATATCGAACAATTGAAAAATAGAAGAAAAACTGAAGAATCCAAAACTGCAAAATCAGAAAATTGACCGAAATGTCCAAAAATTAGGAAATTAAAAAATTGAAAAATTGAGAAAATGAAAGGTCGAAAAATCGCAAACTTAAAAAATCGAAAAATTGAAAAATCAAAAACCTGAAAAATCCAAAAATTGAAGAATTGAAATATCGACACTTTGGGAAGTCGAAAAAGGGGAAAATCAACAAATAGATTAATCGAGAAATCTGAAAACTGAAAATACAGAAACGTCAAAAATTGAAAAATTAAAAAATATTGAAGAATTGAAAAATCGAAAATCGAAAATTGAAAAATTCGGAAAATTGAAAAATTAAAATATAGAAATCGAAACTCGAACAATCGAAAAATCTAGAACTCGAAAATTCGAAAAACTGGAGAATCGAAAAACTGAAAAATCACAAAATTGAACGAAATATCCAAAAATTAGGAATTAACAAAATTGAAAAATTGGGAAACCGAAAAGTCAAAAAAGCGAAGTCGCAAAATCGAAAACTTAAAAAATCGAAAAATTGAAAAATCAAAAAATGCAGAACTGAAAGATCGAAACTTTGGGAAGTCGAGAAATGGGAAAATCAAAAAATTGATTAATCGAGAAATCGGAAAACTGAAAATTCAGAAACGTCACAATTTGAAAAATTAAAAAAATCTAAAATTTAAAACATTGAAAAATTAAAATAGTGTAAAACTGAAAAATGGAGAAATCCAAACATCAAAAAATCAAAAAAATAAAATTCGAAAATCTAAAAATTAAAAAATTGGAAAATTGAAAAATGGAAGAAAAATTGAAGAATCCAAATACTGAAAAATCGAAAAATTGAACTGAAATATCGATACTTTAGGAAATCGAGAAAGGGGATAATTAAAAAATAATTAATCGAGATATCTGAAAACTGAAAATTCAGAAACGTCAAAATTTGAAAAATTAAAAAATATTGAAAAACTAGAAAATCGAAAAATTGAAAATTTAAAACATTGAAGAATTAAAACATCGTAAAATTGAAAAATTGAGAAATCCAAGCATCAAAAAATCGAGAAAATTAAATTGGAAATTCTAAAATTTAAAAATCGAGAAATTGAACTACCGGATAATTGAAAGATGGAAAAATTGGAAAAAAATTAAAAAAATGGAAAATCGAAAATTTAAAAATTCCGAAAATTGAAAATTTTGAAATATAGAACTGATGAAAACTCGAGAAATCGAAAAACCTAAAATTTTAACAACTGAAAAGTTAACATCGAAAAGTTGAAAAATTGAGCAATCGAAGTATAAAACAGTCGAAAAATTGAAAAACCCAAAGTTGAAAAAACGAAAAATTGAAAATCCAAAAAGCAAAAAGTCGAGACATCTAAAAATCCAGAACTCGAAAAATTGAGAAGTCGAAATACTAAAAAATCCCAAAACTCAACTACCGAAAAATTAACAATAGGAGAAAAATTGAAGAATAGAAAAACAGAAAAATCATAAAATTGAACGAAATTGAGAAATTAAAAAATTAAAAACTTGGGAAATCGAAGTCGAAACAGCAAAATCGAAAAATCTAAAAATTGAAGAACTGAAAAAATGAATGATCGAACTTTGGGAAGTTGAGAAATGGGAAAATCAAAAAATGTATTAATTGAGAAATCGGAAACCTGAAAATTCAGAAACGTCAAAATTTGAAAAATTAAACTATCGTAAAATTGAAAAATGGAGAAATCGAAACATCAAAAAAATAAACATTCGAAAATCTAAAATTAGAAATCGAAAAACTGAAAAATGAACAGATCAAGAAATGGAAACATCGAAAAATCGAAAAGCCGAAAAGTGAAAAAACGAAAAACCGACAAATCGAAAAATCCAAAAACTGAGACATCGAGAACACGAAAAATCAAAAGATCGAGAAATCGAGGAGTCGAAAAGTCGAGAAGTCAAAAAATCGAAAAATTGAGAAACCGAAATAGGCCAAAATTGAAAATTTACAAATTCGGAAAATTGAAAAATTAAATAATAGAAGAACTGAAAACTCGGGTAATCGAAAAATCTAGAATTTTAAAAATAAAAAATCCAAAGTTTAAAAAACGGAGAACTGAAAATCCAAAAAATAAAAAATCGAAAAATCCAGAAGTCGAAAAATCGAAAAGTCGAAGAATCGAAATATTGAAAAATCCCAGAAATGAAAGAAATATCCAACAATTTAGAAATCGAAAAACGAATAAAGCAAAGTCAAAAAATCGAAGAATTGAAAAACTGAAAAATCGAAACTTGGAGAAGTCGAGAAATGAGAAAATCAAAAATGTTTGGTTATCGAGAAATCGGAAAACTCAAAATTTAGCAACGTCAAAATTTGGAAAATTGAAAAATAGAAATACTGAAGAAATGAAATCAAAAATTAAGAAATCTAAAAACCTAAAATTTAAAACATTGAACAATTAAATTATCGCAAAATTAAAGAATCGAGAAATCCAAACATCAAAAAAGCAAAAAATAAAAATTCGAAAATTTAGAATTTAAAAATCGAAAAATTGAAAAATCGACAAATCGAGAAATCGAAACTCCAGAATTTAGAAAATTGAAAAATAGAAAAAATCGAAACATCAGAAAATTGGAAAGTCGAAATACTGAAAAATCCATAAATCGAAATATCGAAAAATTCAAAAACTGGGACACTGAGAAATCGAAAAACCAGAGGATCGAGAAACCAAGGAGTCGAAAGCTGAGAAGAAAAGTTAAAAATTGATAAATTGAGAAACTGAACAATCACAACATCGAAAAAATTGAAAAATCCAAAGTTTAACGGTAAATTGAAAATTCAAAAAGTAAAAAATCGAGAAATAAAAAAAAAAAGATTACTTCAGAAATCGGAAAACTGAAAATTTAGAAACGTCAAAATTTGAAAAATTGAAAAATCGTATCATTGAAACATTGGAAAATTGAAAAATAAAAAAATCAAGAAATCGAAAATTTGAAGAATGAAAAAATTGAGACATCTAAAGTTGAAAAATCGAAAAATCGCTTAGAGTCGATATTGGCCTGAGTGCGCTCTCGGGTGGGATTTTGTTTCCATAACGATAAAATATCGATACCGATAAAATGTGGTCGTCTTTTTCTTTCGCATCTGAAATTTATATTTTCGTCCTTATCATTTATCGCTTCGTATCGTACCGGTAGAAACAACATCCCACCCCATGTCTATAGATCAAACAAGTTCTCAGGCGACGAATCTATTGGCAATCCTGGTTGTCAGCTGTCAAGATTGCCATATTTTTGACACTTAAATTTGCAAAACACACTGACACTCCCCCACTCACCTGTCGATTCGTGCCGAAGCTCCGATGCTCGGGCGTGTGTATCTCATGGTCGCTCCTATGCGAAGACAACCGCAACCTATTAGCCTCAGGAGCCGAACCTGGAGCATGAATCGGACCAACCGTTTTATATTGCCTATCGGCAACAATACTAAGCTCACTCGAAAACTTTTTTCTCTGCGGCGGCACACTATTACTATCCTGCCTCGTCAACGTCCCTCCCGCACTCAAAATCGAGTTCCTCAAACTCGAACTCCTCGAGTTGATTATATCCTCATCCGCCGAAAAGAACGCCTCTGATTGGTTCTCGCTCGACATCGACGTCGTCCTTTGCACTTCCTTCTGGAGACGTTCGTCCGAGCTTATCCTTTCTCCAAGCGAGTGATGCGATTCCGACGTCTTGGCCACCTGCGACAATCAAAGTTAGGTTATGTTCGTCTAGAAAGCGAACGAAGTACATTAGGTGGGGGTGACTCGGGGTGCGTGTCGATCACGGGGGCGTTGAAGTAGTCGACTGCCAGTTTCGAGTCTGATATGCTGTTTTTAGGTAGGGGATCGGGTTCGTTGGTCACTGACAATTTCCCGACTTCCGTGTGAAGCTTGGAGTCGCTGTCCAGCTTCGACGGTAGCATGGAGGGGCAAGTTTCGACCAGTCGTGCATAGGGGACTTCTTTCATCACCGAGCTCCGGATGGAAGTCGAGGAAAAGCGGCGGCTGACTTTGCGTTCGTTCGTACTGACAGGGCTGACTTTCGAGTCCTCGTCTTTCTCGGTAGGGCCGATTCGGGGGCTTGGGGTTTTTCTGCGAAGAGTGTCCTGGAGGGAGATCTCCTGGACTATGTATGGCGGGGTGCGGAATATCAGCATGCCGTCGTGGAGGATACTCTGGCCGAAACCTGGATCCTTGCCGGGCTCGTTGATCCTGAAGGCTGCCACGTTGAGTCCTTCCTCCAAATCCTTGCGACTGGGTTTGAAAAACCTAGTCCCGTTTTTGTTCGTCCCGAAGAAGGTGCAACCTCCCGTGCATCCGCACTTCCCGATGGTTTTGTTCAACTCGGGCCACAGAAACCAGAGTTTCTTGAACCTTTCGTCGTGCATTTTCAAAAATTTTTGCTGGGTTGCGTGGAGATCTTGCTCTTTGACGTCGGAGGAAATTGCGGATTCGACTATCAGGGGTCCGAAGTTTATGGCACCTACTTCTAACCAAAGGTCCATATTGTCTGAATTCAACCTAATATTTCGTTAGTAACACATAATTGAAAACGAAAATTGGACTTACTTGCTGTGGTTGTACTTTTGGGTTTGCCACACCATCTGTCGTATGGACATACTGTATATGATGCAGCTGAGTCCAGAGCTCACTTGTTTTCCGTGTAAATTGCAGTTAGCCAATCGAATGGGAGACACCTGAAACAACAAGTAAAAAAAATTTTTGTGTTGGTAATTCTGAATTATTGTACGTCAATTCACAGTTGTCAATTTTGACATTAGACGCCTAGTAAACATGTTGATTGGTTCAGGTATGCGATCATAAAATTTTAAATGGGTTGCCAACTTGACAAAAAAAATCACGAAAATCAAAAACCGAAGAATCGAAATCCGACAAGTTGAAAAATCGAACAATCGAATCATCAAAAAATCGAAAAAGTAAAATATCCAAGAATTGAAAAATCCAGGAATTGAAAAGTTCCCAAAATTAAAATATCGAAAAATTGAGAAATCGAAATATCGAAGAACTCAAAAATCGAAAAATCGAGAAATTAAGAAAATCGATAAACGTCGAAAAATTGGGAAATTATAAAACTGAAAAATTGAAACATCGAAAATCCGAAGAGTCGAAAAATTGAAAAACAAAAAAATCGAAAAATTGAAACATCGAAATATTCCAAAAATTGAAACACCGAGAAAACGAACCAACAAAAGATCGAAAAGTTCAAAATTGACATATGTATTTACAATTAAAAAAAAATGCATAAATCGAAAATTCGAGAAATTGACCAATCGACAATTAGAAAAACTGAAAAATCAAAAAAATTAAAAACCGAAAAATTAGAAGATCGAAAAATAAAAAATTTTGAAAATCAAAAATTTAAAACCGAGAAGTCGAAAAACCGAAAAACGGAGAAATCGAAAAGAATAGAATTTTAAATATTGAAAAAACTGAAATATCGAAAATTTGAAAAAATTGAAATATCACAAAATCGATCGGATAGTTAAAAATTGAAAAATTCAAAATTAAAAAAATGGTAAATCGAAAAATTGAATAATTAATAATAATCGAAATATTGCAAAATCCCAAAACTGAAATACCGAAAAATTGAAAAAAGGGAAAAATCAAAAATTTTAGAAATCGAAAAATTGAAAAACCGAGAAGTCTTAAAATCGAAAATCCGAAATTAAAAAAAAAAGTTGGAAAAGCGGAAAATTAAAGAATCTTAAAACTGAAATGATGAAAAATTCGGAAACTGCAAAATTGAAAAAATCGAAAATCGAGAAATCGACCAATCAAAAAATCGAAACATCTTGATAAATCGAGAAATAAAAAAAATTGATAATAGAAAAAATTAAAAACCGAAAAACTGAAAAATGGAACAATGGAACAATAAAAAATTTTAAAAATTGAAAAATCTAAAACGGAGAAATCGAAAAACCGACAAAACCAAAGTCCAAAACAACTGAAAATCGAAAAACTGAAAAATTTTAAAAGTGAAATGATGGGAAATCCGAAAAGTCGAAAAATCGGGAAACCAAGAAATCGAAAACTAGAAACATTTAAATATTCAAAAACTGAAATACCGACAAATCGAAACAACAAAAGATGAGAAATTGGGAATAGAAAAGTCAATAAGTAGAAAATCGAAAAATTGAGAAATTGAAATGCGCGAAAATCGAAAAGTTAAAAATTGACAAATTTACAATTAAAAAAAATCGATAAGTCGAAAATTCGAGAAAGCGACCAATCGAGAAATAGAAAAAATGAAAAATCAAAAAACTTAAAAACCGAAAATTAAAACAATCGAAAAATCAAACATTTTAAAAATCAAAAATCTAAAACCGGGAAGTCGAAAAATCGAAAAATGGAGAAATTGAAAAAACGAAAAGTCGAAAATTTTGAAAATTGAAAAAATTGAAATATCGGAAAATTGAAAAAATTGACATACATTAAAAAATCAAGAAATCGAAACATTAAAAAATGCAAAAGTGAATAATATAAAGAATCGAAAAATTGCAAAATCCCAAAACTGAAATATTGAAAAATTGAAAAATTTCAAACTTAAACATCGAAAAATTGAGAAATCGAAAAATTGAAAAATCGAAAAGTCGATTAATGAAAAATAAAGAAAAATGAAGAATTGAAAAACTGAAAAATCAAAAATCAAAAATTTCTAAAATTGAAAAATTGAAAAACCGAGGAGTCGGAAAATCGAAAAATCGAAAATCTAAAATTTAAAAAATCGCAAAAATTGAAGAACCGAAAAACTGAAAAAAGGAGAAAATTGAAAAATCTTAAAACTAAAATGATGAAAAATTGGGAAACTGCAAAATTGGAAAAATCGAAACCGAAAAGTCGAAAAATTGAAAAACAAAGAAATCGAAAAATAGAAACATCGAAATATTCCAAAAATTGAAACACCAAGAAAACGAACCAACAAAATATAAAAGTCGAGAAGTCGAAAAATCGAAAAATTGAGAAATCGAAGTAAGCCAAAATCGAAAGTTTCAAAATTGACATATTTACAATTAAAAAAAATCCATAAATCGAAAATTCGACAAACTGACCAATCGACGATTAGAAAAACTGAAAAATCAAAAAATTTAAAAACCGAAAAATTAGAAAATCGAAAAATCAAAACTCTAAAACCGAGAAGTCGAAAAATCGAAAAACGGAGAAATAGAGAAATCGAAAAGAATAGAATTTTAAAAATTGAAAAATCAAGAAATCCAAATAAGCCAAAATCGATCGGATAGTTAAAAATTGAAAAATTCAAAATTAAAAAAAAAATGGTAAATCGAAAAATTGTATAATATAAGGAATCGAAATATTGCAAAATTCCAAAACTGAAATATCGAAAAAATTAAAAAAGGGACTAATCAAAAATTTTAAAAATGGAAAAATTGAAAAACCGATTAAGTCTTAAAATCGGAAAATCGAGAAATCGAAAATCCAAAATAAAAAAAAAATTGGAAAGGGGAAAATTAAAAAATCTTAAAACTGAAATGATGATAAATTCGGAAACTGCAAAATTGAAAAAATCGAAAATCAAGGAATCGACCAATCAAAAAATCGAAACATCTTGATAAATCGAGAAATAAAAAAAATTGAACCATCGAAAAAATTAAAAACCGAAAAACTGAAAAATGGAACAATGGAACAATAAAAACATTTAAAAATTGAAAAATCAAAAGTCCAAAATTTAAAAAATTGCAACAATTGAAAATCGAAAAATTGAAAGGACCGAAAAACTGAAAAATGTAGAAAATTGAAAAATCTTGAACTGAAATGATGAAAAATTGGGAAACTGCAAAATTGAAAAAATCGAAATATGGAAAAATCGAAAAATTAAGAAATTGAAAAATAGAAACATCTAAATATTCTAAAACTGAAACACCGAGAAAACGAAACAACAAAAGATGAGAAATCGGGAAATAGAAAAATCAAGAGGTAGAAAAATCGAAAAAAACAAATTATTATTATTATTATTATTAATAATAATAATAATAATAATTTGTTTGAGAATGAGAAATCGAAATAAGTTAAAATCGAAAAATCGAGAAATTTAAAATTGAGAAATTTACAATTAAAAAAAACCGGTAAATCGAAGAACTGAAAAATCGAAAATCGAAAAATAAAAAATTTAAAAAGCGAAAAATTTAAAAACCGAAAATTTGAAAAATGGAACAATAAAAAATTTTAAAAATTGAAAAATCTAAAACGGTGAAAACGAAAAATCGACAAATCGAAAGTCCTTAATTTAAAAAATTGCAACAATTGAAAATTGAAAAATTGAAGAATCGAAAAACCGAAAAATTGAAGAATCGAACAACCGAAAAATTTTAAAACTGGAATGATGACTGAAATTAGGAAATATCAAAATTGAAAAATCAACATATCCAAAAATTGGAAAATCGAAAATCCGAAAAATCGAAACAAAAGATGAGAATTTACAATTAAAAGAAAATGGGTAAATCGAAAAATTGAAAAATCGAAAAAAATGAAAAATCGATAAACTGAAAAATTTTAAAACTGAAATGAAAAATTGGGAAATTGCAAAATCTGAAAAGTCGAAAAATCGAAAAACAAAGAAATCGAAAAATCGAAACATTTAAATATTCAAAAACTAAAACAATGAGAAAACAAAACAACCAAAGATCGAGAAATCGGTAAATCGAAAATTCGAGAAATCGACCAATCGAGCAACAGAAAAACTGAAAAATTAAAAAAATAAAAAATCAAAAATTAAACATTTTAAAAATCAAAAATCTAAAGCCGAGAAGTCAAAAAATCGAAAAATGGGAGAAACTGAGAAATCGAAAAGTAGAAAATTTTGAAAATTGAAAAAAACTGAAAAATCAAAACATTCAAAAACCGAAAAATTGAAAAATCGAAAAATTCAAAAATTGGAAAACCGAAAATCCAAAAAGTCAAAAAATCGTAAAGCCAAGAAATTGAAAAATAGAAACTTGGAAATATTCAAAAACTGAAACACCGAGAAAACTAAAACGCAAAAGACGAGAAATTGGGTAATAAAAAAGTCAAGTAGAAAAACTGAAAAAATAAAAAATCAAAATAAGCCAAAATCAAAAAGTCAAAAATTGACAAATTCACAATTAAAAAAAATCGGTAAATAGAAAATTTGAAAAATCAAAAATCGAGAGATCGACCAAAAACTGAAAAATTTAAAAACTGAAAGATTGAAAAATCGATTAAAAATTTTAAAAATCGAAACATCTAAAACTCAGAAGTCGAAAAATCGAAAAATCTAAAACTCAGAAGTCGAAAAATCGAGAAATCGAAAGATGTAGAATTTAAAAAATTCAAAAAATTGAAATTTCGAAAAACTGAAAAATCGAACAATCGACAAATCGAAAATCCAAAATTAAAAAAAAAAATGCAAAAATTGAAAAATCGGAAAATGGAAGTATCAAAAAACTGAAAAAATTTAAAACTGGAATGATGAAAAATTGGCAAACTGCAAAATTGAAATATCGAAAAATTGGAAAATCAAAAATCCGAAAAGTGGAAAAACCAAAAACTGAAACACCGAAAAAACGAAACAACAAAAGCCGAGAAATTAGGAAATAAAAAAGTCAAGACGTAGAAAAATCGCAAAACTGAAAAATCAAAATAAACCACAACCGAAAAATCGAGAAGTTAATAATTGGTAAATTTACAATTAAAAGACAAATCGGTAAATCGAAAAATTGAAAAATCAAAAATCGAGAAATCGACCAAACAAAAAATAGAAGCATCGAAATCTCGATGAATCGAGAATTACAAAAATTTTAAAAATCGAAAAATCTAAAACGGAGAAGTCGAAAAATCTACACCGAGAAGTCAAAAATTGAAAAATCGGGAAACTGAAAAAAATTTAAATACCGAAAAACTGAAAAATTCCAAAACTGAAATTATGAAAAATCGGGAAATTGCAAAAGTGAAAAATCGAAAAATTGGAAAATCGAAAATCCGAAGGCGAAAAATCGAAAAACCAATAAATCGAAAAATAAAAACATGGAAATATTCCCAGAAACGAAACAACAAAAGATCGAGAAATTGGGAAATAGAAACGTCGAGATGTAGTTAAAATGAAAAATTGAGAAATCGAAAAATTGAAAAATCTAAAATTCGAAAAAACGAACAATCAGAAAATCGAAACATCGAAATCTCGATAAATCGAGAAATAGAAAAATCGAAAAATTTAAAAATCGAAAAATTTAAAACCGAGAAGTTGAAAAATCGAAAAATGGAGAAAGTCAAAATCCAAAATTTAAAAAATTGCAGGAATTGAAAAGTCGGGAAATTGAAGAATCAAAAACTGAAAAATCGAGAAACTGAAAAATTGACATTTCCAAAAGTGGAAAATAAGCAAGAAATCGAAAAACAGAAACATCGAAATATTCAAAAACTAAAACACCGAGAAAACGAAACAACAAAAGATCAAGAAATAGGGAAACAGAAAAGCAGAGAAGTACAAAAATCGAAAAATTGAGAAACTGAAAATAGTCAAAATCGAAGTTAAAAATTGAAAAATCAACAATGAAAAAAACCGGTAAATCGAACAATTGAAAAGTCTAAAATTCGAAAAATCGATCAAAAATTTAAAAAATCGAAAAATCTAAAACCGAAAAATATAAAATTTTAAAAATTGAAAAATTAAAAAATTAAAAAATCGAAACATCAAAACGGGGAAGAAAAATTGAAGAATAGAAAAATTGAAAAATCGGGTAATCGAAATATCGATTAATCGAAGTCGAAAAATTGAGAAATCAAAAAACTAAAAATCAAAAAATTGGAAAACCGAAAAACTGAAAAATCATTGAAATGACGGGAAATCGAGAAATAGGTCAATCAAATCGAGAAACTGACAAACGGAAAGATTGAAAATTTAGAAATGTCAAAAATTGAAACAATTAAAAATCGAAAATTAAAGAGTCGAAGAATTAAGAATCGTAAAACTGAAACATCTGAAAATTGAGGAATCGAAAAAAAAAGAAATCGATAAATCGAAAATTTTAAAATTCGAGAAATTGAAGAATCAAAAAATTGAAAAATCCCAACACTGAAATACCGAAAAATTGAGTAATCGAAAAATTGAAAATCGAGAAAAATTGTTATATCCATAATTATGTTTTTTTTTCCACAAATCGCGATGTCCAGGACAAAAATTCATAGTGGATTCATAAACCACAAGTTCTGAACTGTTACTTTTTGAGATTTGAATAACATTTATTTGATAAAACTGTAAGATGACATCATCAATTCCTGGGCGGACATGGATAGAAAAATTTTGATTAACGATTTACCATGCTTACGAAAAAGTTAAATTTGATTTTTTTTTTTTTAATTTGTACTCGACACATATTCATAAGCCACATGTGCAGGGGTACACAACTTAAGTAATATTCACTAACGTGTAATGATTTGCGTTTTGTCATCTACACGATATTCCTATTATACATATAAATTTGACAACTATCAGTCCAGTAGTTTTGAAGATTATCTGGTGAACTTACCCAAAGCTGTAAGGCGGCGCCGCTCTCCACCAACCAGAAATCCACGGCGTCCACCGCCAACCTACACAGCTTATACTTCAATTTGTGAGCATTCCTATTATCCGGGTGCTCCTCAGGGGGAACGGTGCTCCGCACCGAGCCTTTCTTCTCCTCCTCGGCCTTCTTCTTGTCCGCTTTGCCCTGGTTTTGGCCCGTTTTGGGGGCGTTCGTGCTGCTCTGGTTGTTTTTGGACGAGTTCGACGTGCTTTTGGGTTGCAGGAGTTGCTGGATGGCCTGTTGGACTTGTTGGACGTGGACGTTTTGACTAGACACGGTGCTCTTTTTCGTGGTGACGGGTCGTGTGAGGAGGACGTCTTCTTTCGTGGAGTTGAGTTCGTTCTCTGTGTCTGTTAGTAGGAGGATTAGGGTTTCGAGGGAGGCGAGGAGGGAGTAGAGTTGAGGGGAGGTTAGTTTTCCGCTGAGTTTGCCGAGTTGGACCTCGACGAGCCAGGCGTACTCGATGGTGTCTTGGTCGAGGGATTGGCCGACGTTCGAAAACATGGCGTGGCCTCTGACCTAGAATGTGGTTTTAAAATGAGCTATATAGAGACAGGCACAACTAAAATATTTACAAATATTAGTTTTCCATGCTGTTTATTTTGTAAACTGGAAATATGAATAGTATTGCTTTCATATTTATTGTTTATTAAAATTTATGTTGTGTGCTTTTTAAGTGCCACTAATTTTAAAATTACAATTTTTTGGCTTTTCATTTCTCAATTTTTAAATTTTCGATACCTCAATTTTTAATTTTTCGATTTTTCAAGATAATTTTTATTTTTGATTTGCCGACTTTCCAATGCATCTATTTTTCGGGGACATATTACTGTGTAAAAAGGAGTAAAAAATAGTGTTTGCACAGGGAAAATAAATAATCCAAAATCCCTATAGTTTACAATTTTTCAAAATTAATTTCTGTCTGAATAAATAATGTTTTTTGCTGAAAAATTGTGAAACTAAAAATCTAGAAAATGAAAAATCAAAGAAAAAATTATTGAACAAACTAAACTACTTGAAAAATTGTAAAACTGCGAAATCGTAAAATGGGGAAAACGGAAAGCTGAAAAATTTATAATCAAAAAATAGGTTTAGAAATCGAAAAGTTAAAAGTGTAAAATCGTAAAAATGAAAAACTCTCAAAGTGACAAATCGGAAAATCGCAAAATTGTAAAAATTAAAAGTTATAAAATTGCAAAACTATCAAATTACAAAGTAGAAATGAAAAATCGAGAGACTTAATTTCGAAAAAATGAAACCATCAAAAATTAAAATTTCTAAAAATTGTAAAATCGAAAAATTAAACTCGGGAAACCAAAAAATTGAAAAAAAAATCGCAAAACTGATAAACCAAAAATTGACGAAACAAAAAATTGAGGACCGAAAATTAAAAAAATAAAAAACGAGAAACCGAGAAAGCGAAAAATGGAAAATCAATTAAGAAATCGGACAAAATTGTAAAACTAAAAAATCGAAAATTTAAAAACCTAAAAACAGATGTCAGACTGAAACACGAGAAACCAAATTATCTAAAAATTGAAAAATTGAAAAGTTGAAAAATGCTAAATAAAAATCGACAAACAAACAAATCGAAAAACGGATAAATTGAAATTTGAATAAGTGTAATCTGTAAAAAAAATAAAATTGGGAACCAAAAAATCAAAAAACTGAAAAATTTTACAATGAAAATTCAAAAATTACGAAAATAAAAAATCGAAAAATTGGGGAATTAAAAAGAAATCGAAAAATCAGTTGATTGGGAAATCCAAAAGTCGAAATATTAAAAATCAATTTGCGAATCAGATATAATTACAAAATTAAAACTCGACAAACCAAGAAATTGAAAAAAAAAATCGCAAAACTGATCATCCAAGAATTGAAGAAACAAAAAATTGAAGACCGAAAATTGAAAAATTAAAAAAAAAAATACCGAAAAAGTGAAAATTTGGAAACCAATTGGGAAATCGGACGAAATTGTAAAACTTATAAGTTGAAAAATCGAAAAATTAAAAAACTAAAAACCCCGAAACCGAAAAATTGAAAAATTACATAATTAAATATCGATTGATCGATTGGAAAATTAATAAATATGTAAAATCGAAAAATTAAAAGTCGGAGAATCGAAAAACTGAAAGATTAAAAATCGAAAAATTGAAAACTAAAAAACGAAAAACTGAAAAATTAAAAATCAGGAAATTGAAAAATCGGTTGACTGAGATGTCGAAAAATCACAAAACTGAAATTGAAAAATCAAAAAATAACAAAATTGTAATTAAATTGAAAAATCTCAAAGTGAAAAATCAGAAAATTGCAAAGTTGTCAAACTGAAACACGAGAAACCAACTTATCTAAAAAGTGGAAAAATTGCTAAATAAATATCGAAAAATAATCTAAAAACGGGAAAATTGAAAATTCGAAAAACTGTAAAACAGTAAAAAAAAATAAAATGGAGAAACTAAAAAATCCAAACATTGAGAAATTGGAAAATCAATTGATTGAGAAATCTAAAAACCACAAAACTGCAACATGAAAAAGTCTCAAAAATTGCAGAATCGAAAAATTGTAAAATTGAAAAAACGAAACACCACAATATCTATAAATTAAAAAATGGAAAGCGAAAATAAAAAAATTAAAAATCAGGAAACTATAAATAAAAAAAAAACAAAATTAAAATATTGCAAAATAAAAATCGATATACAAAAAATCGACAACGGATTAATAGGAAATCAAAAAATCAAAAGACATCGAAATCTCGATAAATTGAGAAATGGAAAAATCGAAAATTTTTAAAACCGAAGAATTGAAAATCCAACATTTAAAAAATCGAAAAACTAAAAAATCCAGAAATTGAAAATTTTTAAAACGGAAATGATGAAAAATTGGGAAATTGTAAAATTGACACATCGAAATATCGGAAAATTGAATATCCGAAAAGTCGAAAAACCGAAAAACCAAGAAATCGAAATATAATAAAACTGAAACACCGAGAAAACGAAACAACAAAAGAGAAATCGGGAAATAGAAAAGTCAAAAAGTAGAAAAATCGAAAAACTGGGGAATCAAAATAAGCCAAAATAAAAAATTAAAAAAATCGGTAAATAGAAAAATTGAAAAATCGAAAACCGAGAAATCGACCAATCAAAAAATCGGAACATTGAAATCTCGACAAATCAAGAAATAGAAAAATTGAAAACTCGAAAAATCTAAAACCGAGAAGTTCAAAATTTGAAAAATGTAAAACCGAGAAGTCTAAAAATCGGAAAATCGAAAAATAGAAACATCGAAATATTCCAGAAATGGAAATCCCGAGACACGAAACAACAAAAGATCAAGAAATAGGGAAATCGAAGTCGAGAAGTAGAAAAATCGAAAAATTAAGAAATGAAGAAATCGAACCAAAATTTAATAATGTAATCATTTAAAAGTCGAAAAATAACAAAACTGTAATAAAAAATTAGAAAAATTGGAAAATTAAAAAATTAAAAATCTCAAAGTAAAAAATCGGAAAATTGCAAAGTTGTCAGACTGAAACATGAGAAGCCAAATTATCTAAAAACTGAAAAATTGGCAAATAAACAAATCGAAAAACGGATAAATTGAAAATTCGAAAAACTGTAAAACTAAAAGAAAAAATTTAAATTGGGAAACTAAAAAAACGAAAAATTGAAAAATTAAAAATAGGGAAAAAAACGATTGATTGAGAAATCATAAAATTACCAAAATGGAGAAGTCTAAAAGTTGAAAAATCTAAAAATTGTAAAATTGAATAAACCAAAATCCAAAATATCTAAAAATTAAAAAATTTAAAGTGAAAATTAAAAATTAAAAATCGAGAAACTATAAATCAAAAAAGTTAAAAAACCAAAAATTAAAATTTTGCAAAATAAAAATTCAAAAACAAAACATCGAAAACGGATTAATAGAAAAGTCAGAGAAAAATTAACAATAGAGAAAAAAAAAATATAAAAAACTCAAAAAACACATAAAATCGCGAAATCGTAAAATTGAAGAAGCGAAAAATTAACAAATTCAAATTTGAAAAGTAAACAATTTCTAAGCAAAAATTGATAAAATAAAAATTTTTATGCAAGTATACGTTTCCGGGAAAATCCGAAATCCAAAAATTGGAAAAACAAAAACTTAGTTCGAAAAATTGAAAAATTCAATACACAGTTGAAAAATCAATAAATTGAAAAAATTTAAATTGAAAACTCGAAAAATTGCATGACGAAAATTTATAAACCCGATAAATTCTACCATTGAAAGATTAAAAATCGAGAAATTGGTAAATTTAAAACTTGCAGAAACGAAAAATAAAAAAATCAAAAGCTGCAAAGCAAAAATTTATTATCTAACAATTGTACAAACCAAAAACTACAAAATAAAAATCGAAAAACAAAAAGCAAAGAATTAACTGAACATTTTGAAAAACCGAAAAATTAAATATGGAGAAATGTAAAATTGAAAAATCGAAGAAATTCAAAATTGTAAACAAGAAAAATGGAAAAATTAAAAGATACAATCTAGGGAAAAATCGAAAAATTCAAAAATTTCATAGTTACAACTAGAAACATTGCAAACCGAAAAACTGAAAAATTGAAAATTTGAAAAACTCAAAATTGAAAAATCAAGAAATTGTTAAACTGAAATTCGAAAATCGGAAAATTGTAACATTGAAAAAACGAAAAACTAAAACATCGAAAAATTGGAAAAAATTGTTACGTCGAAAAATTGGCGATTTTTTCATTATTTAAAAACAAAACGCCCTTTTTCAAACCCATCATTTTTTATTTTACGCCTTCTCAACCTACCTGCAGCGACGACAAAGTAAGCTTCCCTTGATTCAAGTGCTTATCCTTCGACGACCGATTCACATTGTCCGACACCAGCAGCACCGACGGACTCACCAGAAGCTGCAACTCCGTCTGATCGTACCTCTTCTTCATCTCAAACCCGAACCTCTCGATCAAAATAATCGGACACGGCGGATCCTTCTCCGTGCAATTCTTCAACAAATGCGCCTGAATATCGTGCGCTATAATCGACACGTCCACCTCCAGCGGCCTATAATTCCTATGATCGAAATCCTCCCTCAACTCCAGCGGCAAATTCGCCGAACTGTCCTCGCTCTTCAAGTCGCCCCCGGTCCCGTTCTCCGCCTGACTCGCCTGCTGCATGTCCGTGAACGACTGATCCTCCCCAAAGATGTTCTCCTTGAAGTTCATGAAGTTCTTCAGCGCCGTGCCGTACAAGAGGAGAACCGACGGCCCGATCTCCAGCTCCACGGAGACGGTGTCGGCCTTGAGGCTCATCGGGTCGAATTTCTGGACGCCCTCTGGGGAGCGCTTGCGGTTCTTGCGGTGGTGGGGGAAGCGCATGGGGGATAGGAGGATTTCTTCTTTGACGGGGGTGGAGATGTCGGCTTGGGGGGTGGTGCCGAGGGGAGGGCAGGGGTGGTAGGTGTAGACTATGTTGATGGCGCCGATCGGCACCCACCAGAAGTCGACCCAGCCGGCGCTGTTCTGACACGCGTTGCGCCACTTTGGTATGATTTCAGTCTTTTTGGTCGTGGAGCCGTCTTTTGAAAGGACTTTTGCGTACTTTTCGAGCGACTGGACGATGTTGCGGCTGGTGTGGAACTCGGGGATGAAGAGGCTGAGGTCGATGCTTTCGCCCTGGAAAAATTGGTCAAAAGTTAATTAAATAAAATAAATTTGATATTGCGAAAATTTTACTTTTTTTTTTTTTGATTTTTGATTTTTGTTTTTTAGCTCTATAAAGTAAAAACTAGTGGCGTAAATAATAACTTCGAAAAATAGAAAAAGAGAAAATCGAAAAATCACAATATCGAAAAATCTTTTGGACAGTCAAAAAATCGAAAATTGAAAAATTGAAAATTCGAAAAGTCAAAAATCGAAAAGTAGAAAGACAAATAAAAAAAAATCGAATATCGAAAAATCGCAAATTCTAAAACGAGAAAAATCGAAAATTCGAAATTTAGAAAAATTGAAAAATTCGAGAGTCGAAATATAGAAAAAAAGAAATGTCGAAAGTCGAAAACTCGAAAATTCTAGAACTGAAAAGTCCAAAAATGGAACAACTGAAAAATCAAGAAATCAAAATCAAAAAAATTTGAATACCGAAAAATCGAAAATTGGAAATTTCGAAAATTGAAAAATTAAAAATTCAAAAAATCAAAAATCGAAAACTCGAGAACTTTCAAAATCGAAAAGAAAAGTGATCGAAAAGTCGAAAAACTGAAGAATGAAAAATTGAAAATTCGAATGTCAAAATATCAAAAAGTAAAAAAATCAAAAAGTCTAAAAACTGAAGAAATAGAAAAATTGAAAAAACGAAAATTCAAAAAATTAATAACCAAAAATTTGAAAAATCGAGAGATCTAAAAGAAAACAAAAACAAACTGAGAATTCGAATATTGAAAAATCGGAAATTCGAAAATTAAGATTTCGAAAAATCGAAAAATTCGAGAGTCGAAATATAGAAAAAACAAAATGTGGAAAGTCGAAAACTTGAAAATTCGAAAACTGCAAAGTCCAAAAATGGAACTGAAAAATTGAGAAATCGAAATTAAAAAAATTCGAATACCGAAAAATTCAAATTTTGAAATTTCGAAAATTGAAAAATTAAAAAATGGAGACCTCGAGAAATAAAAAAATCGACAAGTAAAAAAATTGAAACGGCGAAAAAATGAAGAATGGAATTAAAAATTTGAGAAGCAGAAAAGCAAAAAATTGAAAAATCAAAAATCGAAAACTCGAGAACTCAAAAAACCGAAAAGAAAAGTAATTGAAAAGTCAAAAAACTGAAAAATAAAAAATTGAAAATTCGAATATCAAAAAATTGAAAAGTAAAAAAATTTAAAACTCTAAAACTGAACAAATGGTAAAATTGAAAAAACGGAAATTCAAAAAATCAAGAACCGAAAATTTGAAAAATCGAGAGATCTAAAAGAAAACAGAAACAAACTGAAAATTCGAATATTGAGAAATCAAAAAATCGAAAAGTAAAAAGATTGAAAAACCAAAAAAATGAAGAATGAAATTCAAAATTTGAAAAGTAAAACTGAAAAATGCAAAAATTGAAAAATCTAATAACTGAAGAATGTAAAAATTGAAAAATTAAAAATTCAAAAAATCAAAAATCGAAAACTCGAGAACTCAAAAAATCGAAAAGAAAAGTAATTGAAAAGTCGAAAAACCGAAGAATAAAAAATTGAAAATTTGAATATCAAAAAATCAAGAAGCAAAAATTTGAAAAATCGAGAGATCTAAAAGGAAATAAAAACGAACTGAAAATTCAAATATTGAAAAATCGAAAATTCGAAAATGGTGATTTCGAAAAATTGAAAAATTCGAGAGTCACAATATAGAAACGAAATGTCGAAAGTCGAAAACCCGAAAATTCTAAATCTGAAAAACTGAAAAGTCCGAAAATGGAACTGAAAATTAATCGAGAAATCCAAATCAAAAAAACTCGAGAAATCAAAAAATCGAGAAGTAAAAATTTAAAAGTCGAAAAAATGAAGAATGGAATTAAAAAATTGAGAAATAGAAATGCAAAAAATTGAAAAATCTAAAAACTGAAGAATGTAAAAACTGAAAAATTAAAAATTCAAAAAATCAAAAATCGAAAGCTCGAGAACTCAAAAAATTGAAAAGAAAAGTAATCGAAAAGTCGAAAAACTGAAGAATGAAAAATTGAAAATTCGAATATAAAAAAATCGAAAAGTATAAAAATTAAAAAAAAGTCTAAAAACTGAAGAAATGGTAAAATTGAAAAAACGAAAATTCAAAAAATCAAGACCGAAAATTTGAAAAATTGAGAGATCTAAAAGGAAACAAAAACAAACTGAAAATTCGAATATTGATAAATCGAAAATTCGAAAAATCGAAAAATTCAAGAGTCGAAATATAGAAAAAAAGAAATGTCGAAAGTCGAAAACTTGAAAATTTTAAAACTGAAAAGTCCAAAAATGGCACTGAAAAATTGAGAAATCGAAATCAAAAAAATTCGAATATCGAAAAATCAACAATTCGAAATTTCGAAAACTGAAAAATCGAAAAAATGAAGACTGGAATTACAAATCTGAGAAATCGAAAAGCAAAAAAATTGAAAACTCTAAAAACTGAAGAATGTAAAAATTGAAAAATCAAAAATTCAAAAAATCAAAAATCGAAAGCTCGAGAACTCAAAAAATCGAAAAGAAAAGTAATTGAAATGTCGAAAAACTGAAGAACAAAAAATTGAAAATTCGAATATAAAAAAATCGAAAAGTAAAAAAATTAAAAAGTATAAAAACTGAAGAAATGGAAAAATTGAAAAAACAAAAATTAAAAAAAATCAAGAACCGAAAATTTGAAAAATCGAGACATCCAAAAGAAAACAAAAACAAACTGAAAATTCGAATGTTGAAAAATCGAAAATTCGAAAATCGAGATTTTGAAAAATTAAAAAATGGAGAACTCGAGAAATCAAATCAAAAATGGAATTAAAAATCGGGAAAAGCGAAAAGCAAAAAAAATGAAAACTCTAAAAACTGAAAAATGTAAAAATTGAAAAATTTAAATTCAAAAAATCAAAAATCGGAAACTCGAGAAATCAAAAAACCGAAAAGTAAAATAACTGAAAAATCGAAAAACTGAAAAATGAAAAACTGAAAATCCCAAATTCAAAAAAACTGAAAATCGAAAATTCAAAAAATCAAAAATCGAACATTTAAAAAACCGAAAATTTGGAAAATCGGAGAACTCAAAAATTGAAAAATCGAGAGATCTAAAAGAAAACAAAGCGAAAATTCGAATATTGAAAAATTGAAATTTGGATGACTCTCGAAAATCGAGATTTCGAAAAATCGAAAATCGAAAATTGAAAATTTTTTGCGAAACGTCGGAAAGTCGAGAAATTGCCAACCCGAAAAATCTAAAATAAGTGTTGAAAAGTTGAGAAATCGAAAACTTGAAAAATTGAGCAATTGGAACATTTGAAAGATTGAAAAATGGGAAAGTTCAAATCAAAAAAATTAATTATATTCAAAAATTAAAAATCCGTAAAATTCTATGAATCAAATATTCAGAATTCGAGAATTCGAAAAATGGAAAAATCCATGAGTCGAAATACAGAAAGTAAGTAAGTAAGTAAGTAGTTTATTTACGGAATAGAACTTTCCATTAGTACAAATAAAATATACAATAAATAATAAGATATTACCAGCGTACAAAAATATTAAGAAATATAAAACAGTATACAACACTCCAGATGGGTACACAAAAACACTTAAGACAAATATAAAACAAACAAACCATTACAAATGACTTATCTTATGACTTAATTACTGGTTCGAATTAATTATGAGTCTTCTTGCTTGGAACTTAAAGGAAGCATATGACTTGCCAGAAAAAAAATCTAATTTGTCACCATACTTATTACATGCATGGCATATTGCGTTTAACGGGCAGTTAAGTGCATAGTTGGTTTTGGCGGATGCAATCTTAAATACAGGCATATTCCTAGTAGGATATTGAGGGACATACAGCTGAATGTTGCCTAATATGTCCTGTGAATCAATCAAATTGTTGAGTAACTTGTACATAAAGCATAGAGCAAAAAATTCTCTTCTTCTCTTTAGCAAAGAGAAGCCGAGGTAGTCCCTGCATAGGGCAATATCTTGGCGTACAAATGAAGGTAGTCTACTTTTTATGAAGTTAATAAATTTAATTTGCACTGATTCGATTCTCCCCTCATGTGTGCGATAATATGGAGACCATATTAAGCAACCGTATTCGAGAATAGATCTTACATTAGACACATATAAGGTCGAGAGCGTTGCGATATTCCGAAAGCCTCTGCAATGTCTTTTAACTGCACCCAGTGATCGATTTGCTTTGTTAACAATGAAGTCATAGTGCGATCTAAACGAAAGTTTGTTATCAAGTAGAATACCTAGGTCTTTAACTACCGGCTTCAAAGCCAAATTTATGTTATTGAGCATATATTTAGGAATTGATGAAGAGAGTTTCCTACTAAAATTGATTGCAAAGCATTTATCTGAGTTCAGTGACATGGTATTAAGCGTGCACCATTTATGTAATGCATCGATGTCAGATTGTAGCGCTTGGACGTCGCGATCTGAATGTATAACATTATATATTTTCAGGTCATCGGCGAACAATCGGAAGTTACATCTAAAATTGTAGCCGATATCGTTAATAAAGACCGAGAAAAGGATGGGACCAATTACTGAGCCCTGAGGCACTCCAGACGGCACTGTTTGCACGCGCGAATAACAGCTCCCAATTTTGACCTGCTGGGTTCTTTCACTCAAGTAACTCTTAAACCATTCAAGTAAATTTCCGGCAATACCATAAGCTTGTAACTTTTGAATAAGGATATAGTGATTCACCTTGTCGAATGCTTTGCTAAAATCTGTATATATCGCGTGTACCTCAGATCCTTTGCCTATCGCGTTGATGATAAAATTGACATAGCCGATTAGGTTAGTAATTGTAGATCGACATTGAAAAAACCCGTGTTGTTCTTCCACTAAAACATTTCTCAAAAGGGGAGTAACCTTCGAACAAACAACTCTCTCGAATACCTTGCTAACAGAAGAGAGAATCGAAATAGGGCGGTAATTGACAATTTCTGTTATTGAGCCAGATTTGAAAATTGGGACTAAATAGGCATGCGTCCATGCTGCCGGGAAAATGCCTGAACTTAATGACATATTGAATAAAACATGCAATGGTAGTACTAGACTGTCTTTACAATTTTTGAGAAAAACAGGTGGTACGCCGTCAGGACCGCAGCCTTTGCTGACATCTAGATTTCGCAAGGCAAGATCTATTTCGCAAGCGTGTATAGTGATAATACTAAGATCTACAGAAATATCCGACTTTAAGTGAGATTTTACAAATTTGGAGTCGTCATACACCGAGTAAAAGTAGTCCATAAAGGCATTGCTAATATCAGTTTCACTAGTTAAAATGGACTCTCTGTATTTCATCTGTGGAGGTAAAGATGTTCGCGTTTTAGTTCTGATAAATTTCCAGAATTTCTTTGGGTGCCTTTTTAAGTCCGTCTCTAAATTATTTAAATACGATGTGTAAGATGCCTTTATGCTCTCCTTACACTGGCTTCTCAACTTGTCAAATTTTAAATAGTCCGCTCCACTTTTACTAGCTTTGTACTGTTTGTGGGCAGCTTTTTTCATTTTAACTAATGATATTGAACGGGAGTTAAACCATGCGGGGTAGGTTGATTTAAATTTATAACTAACAGGAACGAACAGAACAATTGCTTGATACAGAAAAGAATATAAACTGTCAAGTGCCTCATTAACATTAGAGGCGGATGAAAAAATTTCTAGCCAGCTAATGTTACTTAAAAACCTGCCTATTTCTTCATAGTTTGCTCGTTTGAAATTGTAAAAGGAATCGATACTATTGTATAATAAATTATCCTGGTAACTATCTAGATACACAACAAAGCAAGGGTGGTAAACATCAAGTTTAGAAATAGCGGCACATTTTACCAATTCGATGCCACTGCAGTTACAGAAACATAGATCAAGAATTTTGCCATTAGCGTTTTCAATGTTGTTGAGCTGATTAAAACACAAATTAAAATAATTGTCACAAACACAAATTTCGCATTCACTTGTAATATTGGTTGGAAGAAGCCCATCGAAATCTGGCTCGTGAGTCCATACAATATTTGGCAGATTAAAATCGCCGACGACTACTATGTCACAGTTTGGATTTAAATCGCAGATACTCTGAACAGACTGGATATGTGCATTGTAAGTTTCGACAGCAGATTTGGGAGGCAGGTATATGCAACCTATGATAAGAGAGCGTGAGGGGATATAAACTTTCACCCACACCTGTTCAGTCACTGAGTCCTCACTAGACACTTGCGAACATTTATATTTGTTGTTTATTGCTAGGAGAACACCTCCACCGCGACTTTTAGAACTATTTTGAGCATTACGGTCGTTCCTAAAAACATTATACCTGGTGTCTAATATTTCGCTGCTGTGTATGTCTGGTGATAGCCAGGTTTCAGTGAAAGCCAGGGCACAAAAGTTCTCTCCTAATACTTCACAATAGATGTCACTAAGCTTAGATCTGATGCCTCTGGTGTTCTGATAATAGACAGAGAATTTTGGGATTTCCTGATTAGAACCATTGGGATCCAGCACAATGTTGCGTTTCATCTCATTTATTGAGCTTAGGTAGTTTTCTCTAAAAAAGATTTAGTTGAAAAATTGAAGCGTCTTACAACGACGCCCTGGGGCCAGAATTCTTCCTTGAACAGGGTATCTTTGTAGGCGAACTTCACACCAACCCTGAAAGACTGGTAGGACCCTTGAGTATTAAGCTTATCCACCGTCACTTCATCCGAGGGGAGCTTTCCACTAATGTATGATTTGACATCATCACTGCTTGTCTCATTGTTAACCTTGCCGACATAAAACCAGGCTTTCTTCACATATGTTGACCTGAAATTACTCTCCGATGCCGATGCAGCAACGGACGTTCCTATTATGGGCGGAGGCTGCTTCTTCCTATTTCTTCGCGAACGTCGAGGTACGGTCCATTTTTCTTCAACGCTGACATTCGAGAGACCGTCTTCTACTTCCGAATGCCAAGAGCGAGAGGGAGGCGTCTGAGGAACAGCTGATGTTTGTTTACCACCTTTATCATCATTTCTTATATTTTCATTTCTTGTATGCAATTTCCCATGATTACTTATAATAAAACCTTGTTTTTTCGAGATTGGTTCAGTTCTTTTCTGTCCAACGTATGACAATGGAATAGGGTCCACTTTTTTCAATTTTGAGGAGAAAAGCGATTTATTATCTGATACATTAGCGCCACTGGTTAGAACTTTAACCAGGTCGATGTTACTTTCTTTGAGGGAAATAATCTCTGCTCGAAGGTACTTGATTTCCTCTAAAAGCGGTTCCATTGCTTTCTTTATTAAAACCGAAATATCCACAGTACTATTTGTAGGAGATGAGTGCAGGGATAGATTCACCGAATCCAATTCCTTTTTCGACGAGCCATCGACGTTATCGCAGCATATTATCTGCGTATCACTGATAATCTTGATGTTTTTTGATATTTTCACACAACTGGGATGGCTTAACGAACCACATTTTACACATAATAACCCACTAACCGGTAAAATTTTACACTTCCTACACGGAAGTCCGGAGAGAGCTGGAAACACGTCTTTACTCTGTGACATCGCACTGAAAAAACGAAATATCGAAATTCGAATAATCGAAAATTCTAAAACCGAAAAAATCGAAAAGTCCAAAAACGGAACAATTGAAAACTCGAGAAATTGAAATTTTAAAAATTCAAACGACAAAAAATCGAAGATTCGAAAAATGAAAAAAAAAATCAAAAATTCGACATTTTGAAAACTGAAAATTTAAAAATCAAAACAACGAGAAATCGAAACATCGAAAAATTGAAAAATTCAAACGTCGAGAAACCGAAACAACAAAAGATCCAGAAATCCAGAAAACCAGAAATCCAGAAATCGAAAAGTCGAGCAATCGTAAAACCGGAAAATCAAAATTAAAATATCGAGAAATCGAAAAAATTGAAAAATGGACAAAAAACTGTCATAATTGAAGTCTTGAAAAATTGAGAAGTTGATAACTTAAAAAAATGAGAAATCGAAAAATTTTAATTAAACATTGAAAAATCGGGAAGTCCAGAAATGGAAAATTCGAAAAATCGACATGTCGAAAAATTGCAAATCGAGAAATCGAAATTAAAAAAATTCGAATATCGAAAAATCGAAAATTCAAAAAATGGAAAATCGAAAACTCGAAAATTGAAAATTTGAAAAATAAAAAAACCGAGAAATTGAAACTAAAATTCGGGAAGTCACGAAATCGTCAAACCGAAAAATCTAAATTAATATATCAAAAAATTGAAAAATCCAGAAATGGAAAAATTACCAAAATTGACAACTTGAAAAACTGAAAAATCGAAAAATTTTAAACTTGAAAATCGAGGAGAACTGGAAAACTGAAAAATGGCGAAATCGAAATTAAAAAATATCGAATATGGAACAAAACGAAAATTCGAAAAACTGAAAAATCGAAAACTTCATCAAAAAATTGAAACATTCAAACATCTAGAAATCGAAACAACGAAAGATCGAGAAATCGAAAAGTCGGAATGTCGAAAAATCGTCAAACCGAAAAATCTAAAACAAGAAGTTGAGAAATGGAAAATTCGAAAAATCAAAAAACTGAAATATTAAAAAAATTCAAAATCATAAAATTCAAGAATCCAAACATCGAACAAGAGAATTGAAACATCAAAGGATCGAGAATCGAAATAGCCCAAAATTGAAAAACTAAAATTTGAAACATTGAAAAATTTTAATTTAAAAAAAATCGAAGAATTGAAGAATTGAAAAATTAAAAAACGAAAAACTGAAATATCGAAAAATTGAAAAATCAAGACGAGAAATCGGTAAACTTAAAACTTAAGAAAAAAAAAAATTGAAGAATCGCAAAATTGATCAGTCCATAAGTCGAAAAATTGAAAAACTGGAAATTTGAACAACCGAAGAAAAATTAAAGAACTGAAAAACTGAAAAAGCCGACAACATTGAAAAACTGATTTGCAAGATTGCTTTTGTATTTTGAAAGTTAAATTGGAAAATGTTATACAATTTTTTTTTTTTTGGTTAGCGTTTTACACACAGCATACAGACAGACAGACGGAAACGAGAGACTACTTTTTTCGTACTCTAGTGATCATGAAACGTCGAGAAAACATAGAAGTAACTAGTTGTCCAATGGACTCAATTACAATACTTAAAATGTATATGTATATATAAAAATTTTGGGTCTCGGGCGCCAGTTTTCGACTCACCTGCACGCTAAAATTCAACGGCACCGTCTCCGGCAAGAACTCATCGAACGGCAAATCGAAGCTCAAATGTAAAAAGTGCGCACACAGCGCCAACTGCGTGTTCTCCAACCTCGTCCTCTGGCCCACGCTACTACAATCTATCCAATTATACTGATTGACTAGAGTGATCAACTCGCAGTGCTTCAGCGTCAGCCCGAACCGCCACGTATACGGCACGAAGTGCATCAAATCCGGCAGCTGCTTCGACGCCCAATCGTTAATCAAGTCTTGAAAGAACCACTTGTGCGAAAAAATCAGCTTCACCGTCGCCTTGCAACCCGTCAGGTTGATCTCCCACAGCTGATGGTCGTTCCACACGAGCGGATAATGGCACAACAGGCAAAACTCCAGCGTCTCGCTCTCCACCAGGTCCCTAAACTGCAGACTCGTCGTCGCCTCCAGGTGAAGCAGCTGCCCGTTGATCTTCGTCGCGTACCCCTCCTGGAGCGTGATCCACGGCAGGGTCACCTCCAGGTAGCTCCCGGCCCCCACGTTAATATGCACCGCGTTGGTCTCCTTATCCTTCGTGAAGAGTATATCTATGGTGGCGTCGTTCTGCATCACCAGCCGCACGTCGAACGACTGCATCTGTCTTTTTTCGCCGGGTTTGGGCATCTTGGTCACCTCCATGGGCACGTAGTCCTGGGGGTAGAAGAATTTGAAGAGGTGCTCGCGCTGGCGGTCGGCCCACGGTCCGTAGCTGAAGTCCGTGCCTTTGCCGCACTTGATGTCAACGCCCCATTGCGGCGGGCTGGACTCGACGATGTCGCCGTTGGCGAGGGTGATCAGGACGGGCTCCTCGGGGACTAGGCCGGGTTCGTCCATGTAGAAGTACAGTTCTAGGTCATTGGTGGACATGAGGACGAACCCTTCGCCCATGTAACGAGGGGGGTCGTCGAGCATTCCTGTGTATTTGAGGCTGGGGGCGAGCATGACGCGGACGTTCTCGGCTTTACATTTGACGAAGTGCATGAAGCGGTCGAGGGTGCAGACGGCGGGTTTGGTGGAGTAGACGAAGTGGGATTCTTCGAAGGTTATGCTGAGGGTGGTGGGGACGAGGCGGTTGCCGAAGACGAGGCGGCTCTGGAAAAAATTAAAGAATCAAACTATCAAAATCACTACTATCAAACCGTAAAAATCTCGAATTATATTTATCTGCGGTTCGGGTACTAAGCTTGAGAAAAGGCTTGAACTCAGGAATTAATAAGTTAGATACATCTTGTAAGCAGTACGATCTTGCATACTCAAGAAATATAACATTCAAACAAATCAATTTCATCAAATAAAATTAAGTAAGTATAGTGTAGTAATAGTATACAGGGTGTTCATTTTATCTGTTCACGCCTGAATATTTCTGCATAGGCAACCCATAGGAAGGGAAAATATTGTAGAAGAAAAATTTTTAAATGTTTTAGTGACAACAAAAATTAAAATAATCTAAAATTCGAAAATTCCAGAAATTTAATAATCGAAAAATCGACACCTTAAAAAATCGTAAAACTAAAACATTGAAAAACCGAAATATCGAAGAACTGAAAATCGAAAAATGAAACATCAGAAAATCGAAAACATGTATAATTCAAAAATCTAAAGTTTAAAAACCGAATAACGAAAAATCAAAAGATCAAGAAATCGTGCAGTCGAAAAGTCGAACAATTGAGAAACCGAAATAGGCCAAAATCGAAAAATCGAAAAGTTAAAAATTGAACAATTTATAAATTGAGAAATTGACAATCAAAATATCGAAAAATCCAAATCTCGATAAATCGAGAAATCAAAAAACTTAAAAATTCGAAAAATTGAGAGATTGAAAGATCAAAAGAACGAGAAATCGAAAAGTGATGAAGTCGAAAAATTGGAAAAGCGGAAAAATAAAAAAAAAATAATTTTTGTTCTATTTTTCAAATTTCCAATTTTAAAAATTTTCGAGTTTCGATTTCTCGATTTGTTGATTTTCAGTTTTTCGATTTTTAAATTTTAGTTTTTCGAATTTTTGTTTTTATGATGTTTCGATTTCTCCATTTTTCAGTTTTACGATGTTTTAATTTTTCAATGTTTTAAATTTTGGATTTTTCGATTTTTCAATTCTACAATATTTTGTAATTTTTCAAATTTTGACGTTTGTGAATTTTCAGTTTTCCGATTTCTCGATTAATCTAAAAAATAGATTATTCTCCCATTTCTCGACTTTCTAAAGTTCCGATCTGTCAGTTCTTCAATTTTTCGATTTTTTAAGTTTGCGATTTTGAGACTTCGCTTTTTTGAATTTTCGGTTTCTCAATTTTTCAATTTTTTTAATTCTTAATTTTTGGATATTTCCTTCAATTTTGTGATTTTTAAGTTTTGCGACTCTTCAGTTTTTCTTCTATATATTTTTTAATTTTTCGATATTTGAGTTTTGGGATTTTTTTAGTACTCCGACTTTTCGAATTTTCGGTTTCTCAGTTTCTGGATTTTTCGATTTTTCGACTTCTCGACTTTTCGACTCCTCAATTTCTCGACATTTTGAATTTTCGATTTGTCGATTTTTCGATTTTTTACTTTTTGGTTTTTCGATTTTTGAATTCTTTCATATATTTTTTAATTTTTTAAATTTTGACGTTTCTGAATTTTCAGTTGTCCGATTTCTTGATTAACCTATTTTTTGATTTTCCCATTTCTCGACTTCTCAAAGTTTCGATTTTTCGACTTTGCTTTTTTGACTTTTCAATTTTTCAAATGTTTCGATTTTTCGACATCCCGGTTTTAGTTTTCAGTTTTTCAATTGTCGTTTTTTCAATTTTTCGATTTTTAAATTTTAGATTTTTCAGTTTTTTGATATTTTAATTTTTCAATATTTAAAATTTTAGATTTTTCGATTTCTCGATTTTTCATTTCAGTTCTTCGATATTTCCGTTTTTCATGTTTTCGAATTTTTCAAATGTTTTGATTTTTTAATCTATCGATTTTTCGACTGCCCGGTTTTAGATTTTCTGTTTTTCAATTGTCATTTTGTCAAATTTTCGATTTTTTAATTTTTCAAATTTGACTTTCATAAACTCTCAATTAATCGATGTTTTCATTTTCCGATTTCTTGACCTTCGAGTATATCGATTTTCCTGTTCTTCAGTTCTTTAATTTTTTTATTTTTCAGGTTTTTGATTTTTCAATTTTGATTTTTCAATTTTTCGATTTTTTTAAGGTTTCGATATTTCGACTTCACTTTTTGGATTTTTCGGTTTCTCAATTTTTCGATTCTTTAGGTTCTCAGTTTTTGGATATTTCAGCTTTGGGATTTTTTAGTTTTGGATTTTTCGATGTGTCGACTTTTTACTTTTTCGATTTTTAAATTTTAGATTCCTCAATTTCTCAGTTTTTTTGGTAATTTAATTTTTCAATATTTAAAATTTTAGATTTTGCGATTTCTCGATTTTTCATTTCAGCTCTTCCATATTTCAATTTTTCAAATGGTTCGATTTTTCGACTCAAATTTTGACGTTTCTGAATTTTCAGTTTTCAAATTTCTCGATTAATCTATTTTTTGATTTTACTCTTTCTCGATTTCTCAAAGTTTCGATTTTTCAGGTTTTTGATTTTTCATTTTTTAATTTCCTAATTTTTGGATATTTCGTGCAATTTTCTGATTTTTCGGTTTTTGGATTCTTCAATTTTGCTGAAATGAAAAATCGAGAAATCGAAAAATCTAAAATTTTAAATATTGAAAAATTAAAATACCAAAACATTAAGGAATCTAAAATTTAAAAATCGAAAAAGTAAAAAGTCAACACATCGAAAAATCCAGAACTGAAAAATCCCAAAACTGAAATTTCCAAAAACTGTGAAATTAAAAAATTGAGAAACCGAAATAGACCAAAATCGAAAAATCGAAAAGGTAAAAATTGAACAATTTATAAATTGAGAAATTGACAATCAAAATATCGAAAAATCAAAAAACTTAAAAATTCGAAAAATTGAAAAATTGACAGATTGAAACATCAAAAGAACGAGAAATCGAAAAGTGATGAAGTGGAAAAATCGAAAAATAGAGAAATCGATAAACAAAAAGTTAAAAGTTGAAAAATTGGAAAAGCGGAAAAATCAAAAAACGAAAAAATGGATAACTGGAAAAACTGAGAAACCGAAATAGGCCAACATAAAAAATTGAAAAACTGATAAATCGAAAACCTGAACAATCAAATCAAAACAAATCGGGAATGAAAAATTAACAAATCGAAAAATTGAAAAACAGAACATCTAAAACCAGGAAGTCGAAAAATCTAAAGATTAAGAAATATTGAAAAATTAAAATATCAAGATTGAAAAATCTAAAATTTAAAAATCCAAAAATTGATAAATCGAAAAAGTACAAAGATAAATCAAAAAAGTGAAATCGAAAAATAGAAACCTTAAAAAATCGAAAAATTGAAAAATCAAAAACCTGAAAAATAAAAAATTAAAGAACTGACGAACCGGAAAACCGAAACACTCGAAGGTCAAGAAATGGGAAAATCAAAACATCGATTAATTGAAAAATCGAAAAATTGAGAGTTTATGAAAGTCAAATTTGAAAAATTAACAAATCGAAAATTTGACAAAATGACAATTGAAAAACAGAAAATCTAAAACCGGGAAGTCGAAAAATCAAAAGATTAAGAAATCGAAACATTTGAAAAATTCGAAAACTTGAAAAATTTAAATACCAAAAAACTGAGAAATTTAAAATTTAAAAATCGAAAAAGTAAAAAGTCAACACATCGAAAAATCCAGAACTGAAAAATCCCAAAAATTGAAATATCCAAAAACTGAGAATCTAAAGAATCGAAAAATTGAGAAATCGAAAAATCCAAAGAGTGCAGTCGAAATATCGAAACCTTAAAAAAATGGAAAAATTGAAAAATCAAAAACCTCAAAAATAAAAAAATTTAACAACTGAAGAACAGGAAAATCGAAACACTCGAAGGTGAAGAAATGGGAAAATCAAAACATCGATTAATTGAAAAATCGAAAAATTGAGAGTTTATGAAAGTCAAATTTGAAAAATTAAAAAATCGAAAATTTGACAAAATGACAATTGAAAAACAGAAGATCTAAAAGCAGGAAGTTGAAGATTAAGAAATCGAAACATTTGAAAAATTCAAATATCAATGAACTGAACTGAAAAATCGAGAAAAAAAAATCGACACATCGAAAAATCCAGGAGTCGAAAATCGAAATGTCGAAGAATCGAAATATTGAAAAATGCCAAAACTGAGATATCGAAAAACTGAAAAATGAAAGATAAACTGAGAATCTAATAACCTGAAATTTCCGAAAACTAAAATATCGAAAAACTGAGAACCTAAAAAGTCCAAAAATTGAGCAATCGAAAAATCCAAAAAGTGAAGTCGAAAAATTGAAACCTTAAAAAAACTAAAAAATGAAAAATCGAAAAATTAAAGAATTGAAGAACAGGAATAGCGAAACCCTCAAAGTCAAGAAATGGGAAAATCAAAACATCGATTAGTTGTAAAATTGACAGTTTATAAATGCCAAATTCGAAAAATTGAAAAATCGAAAATTTGAAAAAACGACAATTGAAAAGCAGAAAATCTAAAACCGGGAAGTCGAAAAATCGATAGATTAAAAAAATCAAAACATTTGAAAAATTCGAAAACATGAAAAACGGAAATATCGAAGAACTGAAATGAAAATCGAGAAATCGAAAAATCTAAAATTTTAAATATTGAAAAATTAAAATATCAAAAAACTGAAAAATCTAAAATTTAAAAATCGAAAAATTGAAAAAACGACGATTGAAAAACAGAAAATCTAAAACCGGGATGTCGAAAAATCGAAACATTTGAAAAATTGAAAAGTCAAAAAAGCAAAGTCGAAAAATCGAAAAATCAAAAACCTGAAAAGTCGAAAAATTGAAGAACTGAAGAACTGAAAGATCGAAACTTTGAGAAGTCGAGAAATGGGAAAATCAAAAAATAGATTAATCAAGAAATCGGAAAACTGAAACGTCATAATTTTAAAAATTAAAAAATATATGAAAGAATTCAAAAATCGAAAAACCCAAAAGTAAAAAATCGAAAAACCGACAAATCGAAAAATCAAAAGGTCGAGAAATTGAGGAGTCGAAAAGTCGAGAAGTCGAGAAGTCGAAAAATCGAAAAACTGAGAAACCGAAATAGGCCAAAATCGAAAAATCGAAAATCTCAAAATTCGGAAAATTGAAAAATTAAACTATAGAATTGGAAACTCGAGCAATCGAAAAATCTAGAACTCGAAAATTCGAAAAGTCGGGAGTACTAAAAAATCCCAAAACTCAAATGTCGAAAAATTGAAAAATAGAAGAAAAACTGAAGAATCGCAAAACTGAAAAATCACAAAATTGAAGGAAATATCCAAAAATTAAGAATTAAAAAAATTGAAAAATTGAGAAACCGAAAATTCAAAAAAGCGAAGTGGCAAAATCGCAAACTTAAAAAATCGAAAAATTGAAGAACTGAAAGATCGGAACTTTAGAAAATCGAGAAATGGGGGAATCAAAAAATAGATTAATCGAGAAATCGGAAAACTGAAAATTCACAAACGTCAAAATTTGAAAAATTAAAAAATATGGTAGAATTGAAAAATCGAAAAATTCAAAATTTAAAACATTGAAAAATTAAGACATCGTCAAACTAAAAAATGGAGAAATCGAAACATCAGAAAAACAAAAATTCGAAAATCTAAAATTTAAAAATCGAAAAACTGAAAATCAACAAATCGAGAAATCGAAACTCGAAAATTTCTAAAATTGGAAATTTGAAAAATAGAACAAAAATTTAAGAATCCAAAAACTGAAAAATCAGAGAAAATTGAACGAAATATCCAAAAATTAGGAAATTAAAAAACTGAAAAATCAAAAACCTGAAAAATCGAAACTTTGAGAAGTCGAGAAAGGGTAAAATCAAAAAATAGATTAATCGAGAAATCTGAAAACTGAAAATTCAGAAACGTCAAAATTTGAGTCGAAAAATCGAAACATTTGAAAAATTGAAATATGGAAGAGCTGAAATGAAAAATCGAGAAATCGAAAAATCTAAAATTTTAAATATTGAAAAATTAAAATACCAAAACACTGAGGAATCTAAAGTTTAAAAATCGAAAAAGTAAAAAGTCAACACATCGAAAAATCCAGAACTGAAAAATCCCAAAACTGAAATATCCAAAAACTGAGAACCTAAAGAATCGAAAAATTGAGAAATCGAAAAATCCAAAAAGTAAAGTCGAAATACCGAAACCTGAAATCGTAAGATCGAAAAATTGAATAATAAGTAAACTGAAAAATCCCAAAACTGAAATGTCCAAAAACTGAGAAATTAAAAAATTGAAAAACTGAGAAATCGAAAAATCAAAAAAATCGAAACCTGAAAAAATAGAAAAATTGAAAAACCAAAAAACCTGAAAAATCAATCAATTGAAAAATCGACAAATAAAGAGTTTATAAAAGTCAAAAATCGAAAAATCGAAATATTTAAAAATCATAAAATTGAAGAGAAAAACTGAAAACTGAGAAATTGAAAAATTGAGAAATTGTAAAATCCAAAAATTGAATAATAAATACGAGTAAACTGAAAAGTCCCCAAACTAAAATTTCGAAAAACTGAGAATTCGAAAGTTGAAACAGCAAGAAATTATAGGTTAGGATGTGTATCAGATCACGGATCATGGCTTATAAATCAAATCGTTTCTAAACGCTGAGAGTCGACATTGGCCTGAGTGCGCTCTGGTCTGTAGATCAAACAAGTTCTCACACGACGAACTGTAATTCGTGTGATTTGAATTAAAAGTGAAGTGGTAAATCTAGTGTCAATTTGTCGAAAGTAAAACGCGTCGTTAAAAATATTGACATTTTTTCTATTGTAGTTAATTTTATTCCTAGTTAGAAACAAACACTGTTGCCAACATAAGTCGAGGAGTCCTCAACCGTCATTTAATTTAAACTATGACGCTTCTCTATGTTCTCTGATTATATTCTGAACTTTGTGCATTACCTTATCATAACCCTGTATATATACATTTAAAACTTGTCAAAATAAATTTCATGGCCTACTAGACGGCTTTTTTGATTATCTGTCAAACAAATTTTTAACAGACAAACTAACGCGGAAAATACACACAAAACATGACTTTCTTTGATAAACGTAAATATGAATATGAAATTTATGATTTCATTGTAGAAATTCCCACTGTTAACTTTATTATTGTATACATCATAAACAGTGTCATATTTTAACACAAAATTGACAATGTGGGTACCACGTGCTGGAAATAAATTAAGACATTCCTTAAAAATTACAGTCCATTATAATCGTGTTATTAGTCATTTCTGACTCAGAGAATTTTAATTGTCATAAAAATCTGTACACACTAGTATCAGTGAACAGTTTTATGACCGAACAAACAAACGAAAATCAACGTCAGTCTAATTGTAAATTATAATTGCTTCAGCCAGTTTAGTACATAACCAACAATAATTAATTCTATGTTTGCTTGTGATAAGCCAACATTATATTTATATTATACAAACATCCTATTTACAAACATAAATACCAACCAATTTCATATTTACTTTAATGCTTGTTTGTCGTTAATAATAATTAACCTTGTACGCCAAGCCAACACTAATTTCATTATAAAATAAGCCACAACTCTGTTTTACTATTTTTTCATTCATGATTTAATAAAACAGTACTTACTGAAGAGACATCACATTTTATGACTGGTATCAAGTCTCGCCATGTCCTCGCCATGGCAGCCTCTGGTCTCGGTTTCCTCACCGAGCTCTGACTCTCTGACTGTGTCACATTCTCACTAGCCTTCACATCATAGTTAGGTATAATATTAGCTGGAAGTCCAAACGTCCGCTCCAAATTTGAATACAACTGAGATCTATTGTACACATGTAACTCAAACCCATTCAACATCACCGACAGCCTCGTATCAGAGTGCGACAAATCCTCGCTCACGTCTTTAGGAACATAGGACCTCCACCACCGGAAGATCAAATAGCCATCTTGCACCCGAATTGTGTAGTCATGTGTAATATAAACCACATCCCTGAACATGATCTTTCCAGACAGAGCGTTCAGCGACAGCGACCCTGCAAACGACACTATAGTAAAAAAGTTACAAACAAAAGTCGTCAAAGTACCAATTTTGAAATAGCCCTCTCCAATGAAGAACCGGTTCATGGTCTTCGTGATCACAAAACCCACCAGCCGGGAGTTGTAGTACGTTATGTAAATCACCCAAATCACTGCAAATACCAAACTGCACAACAACATAGCAAAGTTTGAATCCATTTTTATGTCTTCTAAGTTCCCAAAGGTCGAGTTGGAGTTCCATTCTAGCGTTTTTGCTTGGTCGAAGCTGTTATTTCGGTAAGTGTCTTCCATTATTGCGGTGTTGATGATTTTGTACTGATTTTTGTCTTTTAGCCCATGTTTAACAATAACAAAAACATTTTGTTGCTGTCAGAGTGACAGTTCGACAGGGGGAAGGGGGCACGGATACGCAGTTGTGCCAACTCATGCGCACTTGAACTTTGGTTTGGAAAGAACGTGATTACTGTAATTACGACGAAATAGGATTTTTACAAGTAATGATAAGGGAATGCGATAGAGGGGAGGATTAATATCACGAATTCTATGATTTACGACAGCGGAGATATGGTAATGATGGGTAATGAGTTCACGTGGGAAATTGGTGTTCATCAGGTATTATCACGTTCACGTTGGTGTCGCGGCTAAAAAATCTAGAATGTCTTAAGGCCCCAGCCAATGAAACACGGTTCCATTGCATCCAATCACGAAACGTTGTTTTCCCGCCGAGTTTAAACTGTAACTTCCTTTTACCAATTTAATTCCCGAGCGTATCCAAGGAAGAACTATATTGTAATCGAGTCCAACGGCCGGCTCCCTATTTTTACGTTTTCTCAATCGTTCATCATCCCTAGACTACTCCGAGTGAAAGTAACTTTCGACCAACTTTTTTCAATATTTTATTTGTTTAAAATAATATTGAACAAAGATTATCTTATTATTGTGTAAACGTTTGCTGTAAATAAGGAAAACTAAGACGTACAGATACAAAAAACTAACAATATAAGAAAAATATGTTTGAATCTTTAATAAGATTATTCTTTTTTGTCAAACATTTTTAGTAAGTACATTTTAAATCAAGGACGTATTGATTTATTAATACAACGTCTTTGAGACAAATATGTTAATTTGAATAAGTATAGTGTAATATTAATATTAATAGTAATAGTACTGTATTCCTCTAATTTTACGAAAATAAAATAAAGTATTTTTGACTTTCAACCAATCAAATTGAAGGAAAATTGCTTAAGGTAGGTTGGCCATTTTATCGATATTGCAACACAATTGAGCTTCCGATGGATATGGGTGGGGCTTAATTTTTGGCTTGTTTTTTCTTAATATACACAGTATTTCTTTAACAACAAGACACTCAAAAACGTGTTTTTTATTTCTTGTAGAGAAATAAAAATTTTGCAATTAAGCTCCGCCCCCTTGCCTCACGACGAATAAAAAAATCATCACAAATGAGATAGGGCGGGCGGGCGAGGCTTATATTTTGCCTTTTTTTTCTTAATGTGTAGTCATCTTTTCACAACAAGAAACTTAAAACATGTTTAACATGGTAAATTTTTGTAAGGAAATATGGATTTTGCAATTAGGCTCCGCCCCTAGGTCTGCCAACGAATAAAAACTTGTTTACAATTTATACCAGGGCAGATATAGGTGGGGCTTAATCTTGGGCTTTAATTTTTTCTTAATATACGTAAGTAGTATTCTTTGAATAACACGATACTCATAAACATGTCTTACATGGTAATTTCTTGGATCTTGCAATTAAATTCCGTTCCTTTGGCTATCGACGATTTAAAAAAAAAATCATCACAATTGAGATAGGGCGGGTGGGCGGGGCTTATAGTTAGCCACAGTTCTTAATATACGTAGTCGTCTTTTCAGAACAAGAAACTTAAAACAATTCTTGTAGACAAATAACTTTCAATTAAGCCCCGCCTCTCGATTTGACAACGAATGAAAAATTCATCGCAACTGTGAATTGAGATCGGAGCGGGTATGGGTGAAACCTGATCTTTGGAGTGATTTTTTTCTTAATTGTATAGTATCCTTTGAACAACAGTATACACAAAAAGATATTTTTAATTTCTCGTAGAGAAATGAGGATTTTTAGTTAAGCTCCGCCCCCTTGGCTCACGCCAAATAAAAAAAAATATATCACAACTGAGATAGGGTGGGTAGGTGGGTTTACATTTTGTATTTTCGTTGTAATGTTTGTAGACTTCCTTTCACAACAAGAAACTTAAAACATATTTAAAATGGTAAATTTGAATAGGGAAATATCGATGTTGCAATTACGCTCCGCCCCTCGGTCTGACAACGAATGAAAAATTGTTCACGATTGAGATCGAGACGGTTGGGTGGGGCTTCTCTTTTGGTTTTCTTATAGGTTTTCTTTTTTAATTAATACATTTAAAGGGCCGGTTTATAGAACAGTAAATTAAATATTTAATCCTCGATTAATTTAACACAGGATTAAAATGTCGAATATGAGACCGTGATTGGTTAAAACATATACGTTACCTAGCAACCAACCTCAATTAAAAGTTAATCGCGAATTAACTTTCATTTCGTGTTCTGTAAACCGGGTCTTACTTTTTTTTGTATAACACGATTACATAAAAACATATTTCACATAGTAATTTCTCGTAGAAAAATAAAGATTTTACAATTAATCCCCTCCCCTCGGCTTACGACGAATAAAAAAAATCATCAGAATTGGGATAGGGCGGGTGGGAGGGGCTTTTATTTTAGCTTTTTTTTAATATAGCTAGCCATCTTTTTATAACAAGAAACTTAAAACAAGGTTAAAATGGTTTTTGCAAGGAAATGTGGATTTTGCAATTACGGGGCGGAGCCTAATTGCAAAATTGATATTTCCTTATACAAATTTTCCATTTTGAACATATCCTTAAGTTTCATGGTGCGAAAAGAAGTCCACATATATTAAAACAAAAAGACAAAATGTCAACCCGCCCACCCGCCCTATCTCAATTGTGATGATTTATTTTTATTCGGCGTGAACAAAAGGGGCGGAGCTTAACTGCAACATACTAATTTCTTTACAAAAATCAAAAACATGTTTTTGAGTACGGTCGTGTTCAAAGAATACCATATATATTAAGAAAAAACGAAAAAATATAAACCCTGCCCACCCACCCCGTCTCAATTGTAATGATTTTTTATTTTTAGAAACTTAAAACAGGTTGAAAATTGTAAATTTTTGTAATATGGATTTTGCAATTGAATTCCGCTCCTTTGACTCTCGACGATTAAAAAAATCATCACAATCGAGATAGGGTGGGTGGGTGGGGCTACATTTTGCTTTTTTTTTTTTTTTTCTTGATATGTGTAGACTTATTTTGACAACAAGAAACTTAAAACCTGTCTAAAATGGTAAATTTTTATAGTAATCAATTTAAATCTTGCACTTTTCACAATTTTCAGCACTAAAAGCAACGTCAGCAGTATAAATTCATACTATTTGGATTATTTAAGATACAATTTATTTAAAAGATTTGAAACGACATCAAGTTTTTGGAGAAAATAAATAAAACATTTTTGATTAGCAATTTACCATGTTTGCAAGATTTTAGAACAGTTAGGTTTAAAGTTTCCAAGTTAAATAGTAAAATGTTATTTAACAATTTTTTTTTGTCAAAAGCTAGACTTCTAAGGTAAAAAATAAGAACGAAAGAATAAACCACAAGTACAATAGTACAAAAACATGTTATTTCATAAATTTGAAGCTTTATTATCTGCACAATATAGTCCTAAAATTTTAATAAAGAATAAATTATACTGTAAATATTTCCTGCAATCTTCTTGTGCCTAAAAAAGTTGTCGGTTAGAGTATCACTTCTTCTGGAAGAAAATGAAAAATTAGTAACAATGTATTTCAATCAACAAGTATCTTTCTTTTTGAAAGATTAATATTCGAACTACTTAATTTTACGAAAATAAAGTATTTTTGACTTTCAACCAATCAAATTGCGGTAGTGTGCAGTGCTGCGAACTTGAAGGAAAATCGCTTAAGGTAGGTGGGACATTTTATCGATTTTGCAATTGAGCGTCGGATGAATATGGGTGGGGCTTAATTTTTGGCTTGTTTTTTCTTAATATACACAGTATTCTTTGAACAACATGATACTCAAAAACATGTTTTTTATTTCTTGTAGAGAAACAAGGATTTTGCAATTAAGCTCCGCCCCCTTGCCTCACGACGAATAAAAAAAATCATCACAATATTTTGCCTTTTTTTTTTCTTAATATACATAGCCATCTTTTCACATCAAGAAACTTAGAACATGATTAAAATAGTACATTTTTGCAAGGAAATCAGTATTTCCTTATACAAATTTTCCATTTCAAATGTTTTAAGTTTCAAATTGTGAAAAGAAGTCTACATATATTAAAACAAAAAAGCAAAATGGCAGCCCGCCCACCCACCCTAACTCAATTGTGATGATTTTTTTTATTCAGCGTAAACCAAGCCGGAGCTTAATTGCAATATACTTGTTTCTTTACAAAAATTAAAAACATGTTTCTGAATATGGTCGTGTTCAAAGAATACTAAGTACATTAAGAAAAAAAGGCAAAATATAAACCCCGCCCACCCACCCTGTCTCAATTGTAATGATTTTTTTATTTTTAGAAACTTAAAACAGGTTTAAAATGGTAATTTTTTGTAATATGGATTTTGCAATTGAATTCCACTCCTTTGGCTCTCGACGATTTAAAAAAAGTCATCACAATTGAGATAGGGTGGGTGGGCGATTCTTATATTTTGCCCTTTTTTCTTAATATACATGGTATTCTTTAAAACAACACGATATCCAAAAACATGTTTTTAATTTCTTGTACAGAAATAAATATTTTGCAGTTAAGCTCCGCCCTCTTGGTTCACGACGAATAAAAGAAATCATTACAATTGAGGACAGGGCGGGTGGGCGGGCTGACATTTTGCCTTTTTGTTTTAATATGTGTAAACTTCTTTTCACAACATGAAACTTAAAACATATTTAAAATGGAAAATTTGTATTAGGAAATATCGATTTTGCAATTAGGTTCCACTCCATAATTAAAAAATCCATATTTCCTTGCAAAAGCGTACCATGTTTTAAGTTTCTTGTTGTGAAAAGATGGCTATATATGTTAAGAAAAAAAAAAGGAAAAATCTAAGCCCCGCCCACCCGCCCTATCTCAATTCTGATGATTTTTTTATTCATCATAAGCCGAGGGGCGGAGCTTAATTGTAAAATCCTTATTTTTCTACGAGAAATTACCATATGAAATATGTTCTTAAAACTAGGTTTATTAATCAAAAAAGAAAACCAAAACAGAAGCCCCACCCATCCATCTCGATCTTAATTGAGATGAATTTTTCATTCGTTGTCAGACCGAGGGGCGGAGCGTAATTGCAAAATCGATATTTCCCTATACAAATTTACCATTTTAAACATGTTTTTAAGATATTTGAGTAATCACTGGAATTGGGTGGATGGGCGGAGCTATTGCTTGCTTATAAAACTCTGTAAGAAAAAGTTAAACTTAGCCCCACCCACCCACCCACCCATTTTCTTCTTGTTTTTTTTTCTGAAATAAAAAATAAATCTTATAGCGAATAGTATACCAAAAAAAAAACGATATAATATCTCACCAACCCACCCTCCCTTCATCTGTGGAATGAAGAGGGGGTAGGTGGACGGGGCTATTGCTTACTTATAAAAAAATGTAGCACAAAGTTAAACTTGGCCCCGCCCATCCACCCGTTCTGTCATCTTGTTTCTTCTTAAATAACTCTTATAGCAAATAGTATATTATGTTTTGCTTTTTTTCTTAATATACGTAGTCGTCTTTTTAGAACAAGAACTTAAAACGTGTTTAAAATGGTAAATTGTTGTAGACAAATATGGATTTTGCAATTAAGCCCCGCCCCTCGATCTGACAACGAATGAAAAATTCATCACAATTGAGGATTGAGATGGGGGCGGGTATGGGTGGGGCCTAATCTTTGGCTTTATTTTTGTCTCAATACACAGACTATTCTTTGAACAACACGATGCTCACAAACATGGTTTTAATTTCTCGTAGAGAAATAAGGATTTTGCAGTTAAGTTCCGCCTTCTTGACTCACGACGAATAAAAAAAATCATCACAATTGAGATTCGGGTGGGTGGGTGGGGCCACATTTTGCCCTTTTTTCTTAATATGTGTAGACTTAGTTCGACAACAAGAAGTCTAAAATGGTAAATTTTTCTAGCAATCAACTTAAATCTTCAAACAATTTTCAGCACTAAAAGCAACGTCAGCAGAAATAATAGCTGCAACGGGAACTTCAACGTCAACAGCAAGTTTGTAAATCTCACTTTAAGCACCAAAATAAATTGCTCATTTGTTTATTCTTTTGTATAAGTACCTAACTCTAATAATATTAATGCACTGATAAATCACAAGCATAAATTCATACTACATATTTTGATTATTTAAGACACAATTTATTTAAAAATTTTGAAATAACAAGCTAGACTTTTAATAAAGAGTAAATTATACTGTAAATATTTCTTGCGATCTTCATGTGCCTAAAAAAGTTGTCGATTTTCCTCTAAAGTCGCGATCTTTTCTATAGAACCACTCCCTAGTGTAAATTTTCAAAATTTGTTTGGTGTAAGTGACCTTGACGGGTTTCTGGGGGAAAACATATGTGTCAAAAATTTGACAGGTTAGATGGCCCCATTGTCAATGTAGATATTTTATTTTAATAAATAGATGAACAGAACATACAGTCTGCACGGGATACAGTGCGGCATAGCTGAGGGCAACCGAAACATTCGTGTTGTGCTAGTTTCGATTGCCATGTCAACTACCGCTACCAACCGCGTTCGGCGTAAAGTACTAGGTGACAGGGCTACCAACTTGACTTTTTATTGAGTGGTTCCGTAGAAATGACCGCTACTGTAGATAATGCTTTTTTGGGAGTCGATATAGTATCATTTCTTCTGGAAGAAAATGAAAAATTAGTAACATTGTATTTGAATCAACAAGTATCTCTTGCTTTTGGAACGATTGATATACTAGTTATATTCGAACTATTTATGAGCATAGGCAACCAGTATTTCAAATAAAAGTAACATATCCGATGAACTTCAATTGCTTTGTATTTTACCATTTAACGTTTTCCGCCCTTAAAATAGTGGCGAAAATGTTAAGTTTGCATTATTAACAATACCAACAACATGAAGAAAAATTGCATTTGACCTTTATTCTGTGACATGACATTATGCAACGATCACGTGACCTTGATCAATGACCACGTGCACTTGCGCAATGCAGCGCCACTTAACCAGCTGCGGCCAACGCGAAAACCACCTTCACGGGGTTACAGCCATTGTTGCCAGGTAAGCTACAAATTTTTTCAAAAATTGAACCACAAACCTTTCTAAATTAACAAATTCTGTGACTTAATAACCCGTCTTTTCGATTACCGCCACCTTGATTAATAAAACGCAATTTCTATATCATATTCCGAATTTTCTCGCTTATGTAACCCGCATGAACTTGAACCATTTCGCGAATTTTCACGGTTGATTAACGCCCTAATTTCCATTTACCGTACGCTCGCTAAAGCCCTTTTTGTGTAATTTTTGGTTATGTAACGTAAATCGATCACTTATCAAGTGATCCCACATACGTCAAAAAGTGTGGTTATGTCTTCGGAAATTTTGCGCAATTTTTGACAAGTATGTTCCTTCGTCCAAATTTATTTATATTGTAGAGTTTCAGAGCCGTACCGGTGACGATTTGCAATGTTCTCATCGCTGTTTTCGCGGGCCATGTGCCAGAACAACGCCCCTGCCACCAGCCAGAATGAAGCCCCACAGCAGATGGGTCTGGTTAAATCGCTAGTCGCTGGACGGACCATCGCAGCCGCCGCCGCCAACGTCGGGGGTACTGCAGAGGGCTACAGCTGCGAGTTCGGCTCGCCTCACTACTTTGCGCTCTGTGGACTTGGAGGTCTTGAATCCATACTTGTTCGAAGTACTAGGGCTTCATTGTCGTTTCACAGGTGTCCTGTCATGCGGAATCACACACACAGCCATCGTGCCCCTCGATCTTGTCAAATGCCGCATCCAGGTCGACCCCGCCAAGTACAAAAACGTTTTCCACGGCTTCAAAGTGACCATGGCGGAAGGCGGCGTCCGAAGTCTGGGTCTCGGCTGGGCCCCCACCTTCTTCGGCTACTCAGCTCAGGGTCTTTGCAAATTCGGTTTCTATGAAGTCTTCAAAGTCCTGTACACTGACATCATCGGCGAAGAGGCCGCTTTCTTGTACCGGACCTCGTTGTATCTGGCCGCCAGTGCTTCCGCCGAGTTCTTCGCGGACATCGCGCTGTCCCCCATGGAGGCCGCCAAGGTCAAAATGCAAACTTCCCCTGGGTACGCCTCGACTCTGCGGGTGGCGTGGCCCAAGATCTACGCCGAAGAGGGCGTTAATGGGTTCTACAAGAGCTTGGTCCCGTTGTGGATGCGACAGATCCCTTACACCATGATGAAGTTCGCCTGCTTTGAGCGAACGGTCGAACTGTTGTACAAGTTTGTCGTGCCGAAGCCACGATCAGAGTGCTCGAAATCTGAACAGTTGGTTGTTACTTTCGCTGCTGGTTACATTGCTGGCGTGTTCTGCGCCATTGTGAGTCACCCCGCCGACACTGTAGTCTCAAAGTTGAACCAGGAGAAGGGTTCAACTGCTTTGGAGGCAGCAAAGAAGTTGGGAATGGCGGGATTGTGGAAGGGCTTGATGCCTAGGATTGTTATGATTGGTACATTGACGGCGTTGCAGTGGTTCATCTATGATGCCTTTAAGGTGAGTTGAGGGTCGAAGTAGGAGAAGGTGGTGATAATGGGAGTGTTTTAGGTCGCCATGCGCATGCCCCGTCCTCCACCTCCAGAAATGCCAGAATCTTTGAAGAAGAGATTACAAGCTGAAGGGAAGTTGTAAAACGTTATTTTAATTTAAATGTAATTTTAATTACTCAGTATTTCCGGCTAGACAAAAACGTGTCGTAAGTTGTTATGTAACATGTTAAAAGTTCTGTTGCTAGACTGTAAATAGAGCTAAAAGATAAGTTATTCTCTTTTAATCACTCTGCGAAATAAACCGACTTTCTGAACTATGTGGTGCTTTGATTACATCGCCCGAAATTGTGGCAAATTTTCAAATCATGGGGATTTTCGTGTTGTGTGTACGCACTGGCTGCTGCGTGCTAACCGTTAATAAATAAATTCAACACACGTGAACTCGTGAACTATTTTTAGCTCACGTTTCGGAATCAAAAACCGAGTCAATACGGTCCTTGACCCTTTTAAAAAAATCTAGGGAATTTTCTTGTCACTAGGGCAACCTTGACGTGCCTTGACAATCGACAGTGCTTTTGGCAGATAACCTCAAAACATAAACAAACGTTTGCGAATTAATTTTGCCTGAAATGGCTTCAGGACTGGATTCTTTTGTAAACCGTATCCTTTTTCGAGCTCTACAACGATAATAAATAAAATCAAGGACCTTAACTTTGTATATAGATACAGTTTCAATTATTACTTCAGATGGGCGCAATTTTATAGTAAGTTTTTAAAGGCGCATTTCGCTTGAAATAACGACGCTTTTTAGGGCACGCTGAAGGGTTTTGATCAGACAATCAACATAATCATTGATGAGTCACATGAGAGGGTCTATTCGACTACTTCTGGCGTCGAACAAGTTATGCTAGGATTACATATAATACGTGGTGACAATGTGTAAGTACTCATCATGCACGAAAGCAAGCGAAGGAATATTGTAATGCAACAATTTTTTTATTGAAGTATCTGTATCAAACTATATATAATTTATTCGATAAAATTTTGAGATGATGTAATTAATTTTTTGGTTTTGATCAAGTGATACATTTTGATTAAAAAGTTACCATAATTACAAAACTTCAAAACGTCTGCAAGATTTCAAAGTATTCAATTTTGCAATTCTTGAATTAAACAATAAAATAAGTTGACCCAGTCATTAATTTTTTTAAGACACTCTGTATAAGCAAATTTAATAAATATTAATCCAGTTATAAATCACAAGTATAGAGTCATCATACTGTTGTTCAACAAAATTTTAAGGTGACGTCATCAATTATACAGTTACTTTAATATAATGTAACAATACTTAATATATTATTTACTAAAATATAAAGTTTTGGAAAAATTAGAAACTCCTAAATAAGACATAAGACGTAGACTTCGAACACGAAAAGAGATAGAAATTTTTCAGTTTTTAATTTTTGTAATTTTTTTTCTAGATTCTAGATTTTTCGATTTCTCTCTTTTTTAATTATTCAAGTTTTCAATTCATAATCGTTTTTTCAATTTTCAATTATTCGTTGTCTCGGATTTTTAATTTTTCCATTTCCCAATTTCTCGAATTTTCAATTTTTTTATTGTTCTGTTCCTCGATTTTTCGATGTATCGATTTCTTAATTTTTCGATTTTTCGATTTTCCAGTTTATGCGATTTTCCGATTTCTCAATTTCTCAAACTTTCGACTTGCCGATTTAACAGTTACAAAATTTTTCGGTTTTTCAATTTTTCTATTGAAGAATCCAAAAAAACAAAATGAAAACAACATAACTTAAAAATTGAAAAATCGAGAAATCGAAATTTATGATTTTTCAATTTTTCGTTTTTTCAGCTTCTCGATTTTGTGCTTTCTCGTGCTCAGTTTTTCTATTTTTCACTTCTTCGATTCGTTGTCTCGAATTTTCATTTTGATATTTCAGTACCTCGACTTTTCGATTTCTTAATTTTTCGACTATTCGATTTTTCAACTTTTTAGTTTTTCGATTTTTCTACCTTTAGACTTTCGGATTCTCGAATTTTCAATTTTTCGGTATTTCAGTTTCTCAATTTTTTGATTTTTCGATTTTTCAAAAAGTCGAAAATTTAAGAGAGTAAAAAATCGAGAAATTGAAATTTGTGATTTTTCAATTTCCTGATTCTTCATTTATATGTCTTCCGATTTTTTTATTTTAACATTTCCCAAATTTTCGATTATATGTACAAATTTTCGATGTTTCGATTTGCAGATCTTTCAGTTACTCCAACTTTCAATTTTTCGATTTTTCAAATTTTCAATTTTTTGATATTTCATTTTTTCTTCGATTTATCGATTTATTAATTCTTCGACTTTCGATCTTTCCACTTTTCAGGTTTTCGATTTTTCAATTTTTAGATTCCTCAATTTAGTCGCTGTTTCAATTTCTTAATTTTTCTTTTCTAGCTTTTCGATTATACAAATTTTCGTTTTTTCAATTTTCAGATCTCTCAATTTCTCGAATTTAAAATTTGTTGATATTTCATTTCCTCGATTTATCGATTTCTTAATTTTTGGACCATTCGATCTTTCAACTTTTCAAATTTTCGATTTTGTCTTTATTGGCCTCGACTTTTCGATTTCTCAAATTTCCAATTATTCAGATTTTAGATTTTTAAATTTTTCGATTTTTCACGTTTTAGTTTTTTTTTTTTAGAGATACAAAAATCAATCGTCGAAAAATAGAAGATCCAGAAATTGAAAAATGGAGAAATTGAATTTGCGATTTTTCAATTTTTAACTTTTGTGATTTTTCTGTCTCTGGATTTTCCGATTTTTCGACTTTACTATTTTAATTTTTGTCTTTCAATGCCTCCATTTTTCTATTTTTCGTTTTTCGATTTCTCCGTTTCAATTATTCAAATTTTCAATTCATGGCTTTTTCATTTTTCAATTATTCGTTATCTGGGATTTTTAATTTTTCCATTTCCCAATTTTTCGATTAATAAAAATTTTCGATTTTTCAATTTTGAGTCCTTTCAATTTCTCGAATTTTCAATTTTTTGATTTTTCGATTTTCCAATTTATACGGCTTTCCGATTTCTTAATTTCTCAAACTTTCGACTTGTCGATTTCACAATTTCAAAATTTTTCGGTTTTTCGATTTTTCTGTTGAAGAATCCAAAAAAAAATCAGAAAATGGAAAACAGCAAAAATTAAAAATTGAAAAACCGAGAAATTAAAATTTGTGATTTTCCAATTTTTCGATTTTTCAACTTCTCGATTGTGGGCTTTCTCGAGCTAAATTTTTCTATTTTTCAGTTCTTCGATTCGTTGTCTCGAATTTTCATTTTTGATATTTCAGTTCCTCGACTTTTCGATTTCTTAATTTTTCGACTATTCGATTTTTCAACTTTTCAGTTTTTCGATTTTTCTACTTTTAGATTTTCGGATTCTCGAATTTTCAGTTTTTCGATATTTCAGTTTCTCAGTTTTTTGATTTCTCGGTTTTTCGATTTTTCAAAAAGTCGAAAATTCAAGAGAGTGAAAAATCGAGAAGTCAGAAAATGCAAACATCCGGAAATTAGAAAATCCCAAAACCTAAAAATTGAAAAATCGAGAAATTGAAATTTGTGATTGTTCAATTTCCTGATTCTTAATTTATATGTGTTCCGATTTTTTAATTTTCCCATTTCTCAAATTTTTGATTATACATATGTACAAATGTTCAATGTTTCAACTTGTAGATCTTTCAGTTTCTCGAATTTTCAATTTTTCGATTTTTCAACTTCTCGATTTTGGTCTTTCACGTCCTTGGTTTTTCGATTTTTCACTTCTTCGATTCGCTGTTTCAATTTTTTAATTTTTCCATTTTCCAGCTTTTCGATTACACAAATTTAGATTTTTCAATTTCCAAATCTCAATTTCTCGAATTTTAAATTTTTTGATTTTTCATTTCTTCGATTTATCGATTTCTTAATTCTTGGACTATTCGATCTTTCAACTTTTCAGTTGTTCGATTTTCCAATTTTTCAACTTTCCGATTTCTCGATTTTTCAAATTTTCGTTTTTGTCTTTCTCGGCCTCTAGATTTCTCAAATTTTCAATTATTCAGAATTTTAGATTTTGAAATTTTTCGATTTTTCACATTTTAGTTTTTTTTTAGAGATACAAAAATCGATCATCGAAAAATAGAAGAATCCAGAAACTGAAAAACCGGAAAACCTAAAACTTGAAAAATCGAGAAATTGAAATTTCCGATTTTTCAATTTTTAGCTTTTGTGATTTTTCAGTCTCTGGATTTTCCGATTTTTCGACTTTTCTATTTATGTTTTTCTCTCCCCCAATGTTTCTATTTTTCATTTTTCGATTTCTCTCTTTTTTAATTATTCAAATTTTCTATTCATGGCTTTTTCACTTTTCAATTATCCGTTGTCTCCCATTTTTCTATTTTTCATTTTTCGATTTCTCTCTTTTTTAATTATTCAAATTTTCAATTCATGGCTTTTTCACTTTTCAATTATCCGTTGTCTCGGGTTTTTAATTTTTCCATTTCCCAATTTTTCGATTATACAAATTTTCGATTTTTCAATTTTTAGACCTTTCAAATTCTCGAATTTTTATTTTTTTATTGTTCTATTCCCGGATTTTTCGATTTATCGATTTCTTAATTTTTCGATCTTTCATTTTTTTTTGTGTTTTCTGATTTTTCGATTTTCCAAATTATGCGACTTTCCGATTTCTCAATTTCTCAAACTTTCGACTTGTCGATTTCAGAATTTCTAAATTTTTCGGTTTTTCGATTTTTCTATTGAAGAATCCAAAAAACCAGAAAATGGAAAACAGCAAATTTTAAAAATTGAGAAATGGAAATTTGTGATTTTTCAGTTTTTCGATTTTTCAACTTCTCGATTTTGGTCTTTCTGGTCCTCAGTTTTTCCATTTTTCACTTCTTCGATTCGCTGTTTCAATTTTTTAATTTTTCCATTTTCCAGCTTTTCGATTACACAAATTTCGATTTTTCAATTTTCAACTCTCTCAATTTTTCGAATTTTAAATTTTTTGATTCTTCATTTCCTCGATTTATCGATTTATTAACTCTTGAACTATTCGATCTTCAGTTTTTCGATTTTCCAATTTTTCCACTTTCCGGTTTCTTGATTTTTCAAATTTTCGTTTTTGTCTTTCTCGGCCTCCACTTTTCGATTTCTCAAATTTCCACTTATTCAGAATTTTAGATTTTGAAATGTTTCGATTTTTCACATTTTAGATTTTTTTAACTTTTGTGATTTTTCAGTCTCTGGATTTTCCGACTTTTCTATTTTGTTTTTGTCTCCGCCCATTTTTCTATTTTTCATTTTTCGATTTCTCTCTTTTTCATTTATTTAAATTTTCAATTCATGGCCTTTTCACTTTTCATTTATCCGTTGTTTTGGGTTTTTAATTTTTCCATTTTCCAATTTTTCGATTATACAAATTTTCGATTTTTCAATTTTTAGAAATTTCAGTTTCTCGAATTTTCAGTGTTTTGATTGTTGTTTCTCGATTTTTCTATTATTCGATTTCCTAATTTTTCGATTATTTGTTCTTTCAACTTTTCAGTTTTCTGATTTTTCGGTTCATCGATTTTTGAATTTTCCAATTTTTCGATTCGTCGATTTCACAATTTCTAAATTTTTCGATTTTTATATTTCACAATCTTTCAAAAAATGGAAAAATCAACTTCTCGATTTTGGGCTTTCTCGTCCTCAATTTTTCGATTTTTCACTTTTTAGATTCTCTGTTTGAGTTTTTTAATTTTTCCATTTTCCAACTTTTCCATTATACAAATTTTCAATTTTTCAAGGAGAAAGGAAATGGGCGGGGCTAAATTTAGCTTTTTATAGTTTTATGAGCAAGCAGTAGCCGCGCTCACCCACCCCTTCTTCGTTCCAGTGACTACTCGTAATATGTATTGTTCAGTCCTATCTTAGCAAGTTTTAGCCCCACCCTGTTCTCATTCTAACGATTTTATCTCTCTTCAATTGAGATCCATCTGTCATTCGGGCTAGATAAAATGAATCACTGAAATGGAGGCGGGGCGGGTGGGCGGGTGAATTATATGTTCTTTTGTAAAGTGAGAACAGGTAATAGAACGCAGGCTGGGAAAAAAGCGTTGATCGTAATTTGTTGTTATACTACTTATTTGGTATAACATTTATTTCTTATTTCTGAAGAAAAAATGAGAGAACGGGTGGGTGGGCGGGGCTAAATTTAACTTTTTCTCCAGAATCTTTTATAAGAAAACAATAGCTCCGTCCACCCGCCCTCTATTTAACATGTTCTAAAAACATCCTGAACGATAATTATAATAAATTTTCTCCATTTGCCCTAAAAAATTAAATTTCAGGGCCATCGTGGGACTCATAGACGACGAACTAGACAATCGACTCAACCTAGCGAATATCAAAGCCGAACCTCTGAACTCTGTAGTTCATTAAAATAAAATCTAGTGACTTTTCACCCGTTTTTTATTTGTCATTTACATGCCATTTATGATCTTCTTCCTCCTTGTAACAGTCTCATGTACGAATGAGGCGGCAGATTTGAACGTAGGTACCACACTTTTCACTAAAGCCGACAATTGCAAGGAATGCTGGTCTTCGGAAAGTCTCGCCCTGTTAACTTCTCGTATGATTCTGGAGGACTTGCTCCCAAGCACGTCCATTTTGGTGATCGATTCGAACGAATTCGTGAGCGATTTGGTGGAGTACTTTCGAATGATTCTTGAAACGGTACGACAAGAAACTCATGGTAAAACTAAACACATAACGTTGCTAGCTTTAACAGATCTACTAGGTATAAATTTTAACTTTTGAAACAAGTCTAGTGGTTTAGCGTTTATTTTTAGGGGGTTATTTACATCACGCGGTTCTCCCTATAGCCAAATACGCCTATTACGCCGGACTGATCGATTACGACAGCATGGCCACGTTATTGGGGCTTTTCGACGAACTGAAGTGGTTCCTGAGGACGAACGGGCAAGGATGGGCGAAACCTCTACCTCAAAATAGTAAGTCACGTAGGTACTACAATAGTTGGCTACAGTGTTTGTCCACCCAGTGGAGAATTTCGAAATCCAACGAATCCCTCTGCAACCCATTTCCGATAAGGACCAATGTGCTAATTTAATTTTTGTGGAAGGTAATGCACCCGACGAAAAATCTAGTCGTTGTGACGCCACCATCCCTTTACCCTTTTTCGATTCCATTACTCGCCCTAGCGCTATTGCTCTCCCTACGAAAACTTGCCCTTTGTACAACGTCGAGTCCAACACTTCGAGTTACTTGGTGATGAAGTTCTTCGTCACGTCTTACAAGTGTCTTCAGTGGAAAAACGTCAAGACTGAAAACATGGAGAAGTTTCAGAATGAGTTTTGTCACTGGATCGAGGAACAGATTCTTCCGCGTCTGCAGGATGAGAAGTTCTATTCGGCGTTTGGGGGTGTGTTAAGGGTGAGGAATACTTTGAAAAGACTCGGTAAATACAAACTATAATTAAAAGTAGGTATAGTTGATCCGGAACAAAATTCTCTCAGGTGTCACTCAAAACAACCTGGAGAAACAACTGGACGAATTCCGGCACGCCGCAGATCAAAGTCAAAACGAAAATCTAGCCCCTACAAATAGCCAAATGAGCACATCCTCCATGATTTTGACAGCCGTGTTGATAACAATCTTTGTTTGGTTCCTTCTAGGCACACTCTTCATCTGTTACAAAATGCGACAAACTAAACAAAAAGGTTTTAAGTTTCAACATTGACTTAAATTGATTCAAATAGAGAATTACAGGTACTTGTCCTTGTCCCGAAGGAGGTGATAAAACAACAACCTGTTCGTCTCTAATCTCCAGTAAATACTTCTATCCAGAGAAACCGAAGCTTTGTGTGGAAAATAAAGGTACGTTTACCAGATCCAAAAACAGGCGAATATCATAACTGATTTGGTTGATAAGGAGGTGTTCGTCGTCATGAGATTATTATCAAGGCGTGTCGATGTGACAATGCCAACGACGAAGAAGAGGGTGACGAGACCACCCTGACGCCTGCCAGTGCGGGCATGGCAGACTCTTCGCACACTGATGGTCGTTTGCCGTCCATCACGGAAATGTCTGAACAGTCGACCTCGACGCCTAAACGAGCAAGAGGGAAAAGGTCGCCTGGGGGAAGCACGACCGCGGGTACGAATGATCCAAAGTAGTGTGAGGTGGGTTTTTTGGGGGTTGTAGTTGATGGTTGTTTTTTAGTCGCACTAAGGTGAAGAAGCAGGTGTATGATATGACGGATTCGGAGAGTGAGGAGTCTACGGAGCCGCCGTGAGTGTGAGATGTAGTGGGTTTATATTGTTTTTAATAAAGATGTTTTTACAATGCGTTTTGTATTATTTCGGTGAGGTAGTCACACATGGAAGAAGAGAAAACAGATAAGTACTTAAGCACCTCTTCATTTCACTATACTACATAGTGAAATATTGAAGAACTGTCTTTTGTTAATTCAATTGTAGCTATAATAAAAATTAAGAGATCCTTTTGGGTTTTCTAATGAATTGCAAAACTGTTTGTGGCGAAACAAATTTTTGTGTTGGCAATTCTGAAATATGTATCGTCAGCAAAAATGTTAGCATCTGATTAGTTAGCAGTGGTTAATTTTGACATGAGTTATTCTCTTATCAAAGTCCTGACTTGGGGACTTTACTTGTCTATAACAAGTGTGATCACAGAAAATGTGATGAGAAATTAGCAACTACTAGCTCAGTGTCCTAATTTTCAATTCAAAATAGTCACTGGGTATATAATATTTATGTAATATAATTAATTAATTAATTCTAATCATATAATTTCTTAAATAAATTGCACAATCAGCATAAAAAATTATAAAATTGTGCGTAATTAAAAATCAAGCTGTGTATTGTTGGTCATCTACATTACCATATCTCTTTATATGGCAGCTCAAGTTTATTATTATTTAATTAATTAATTGGTTAAAATTGCAGGATCGTTTTGTATTTTCTTTCTAGTTATTTTTTTTTGACATTTATTAATTATTCTAGTATGTTATACTCGCACGTTTTCCCGCATCGTTAGAGCCCCATCACAAAAGATTACGAGTGGAGCACGCAACAGTTTGCTCGAAGTGCTCGAAGTTCAAACAGTGTTAAATTAGTGAATAGTTACGAAGATGTAGAAAATGTAGATAGACGTATCAAATTCGGTTTAAGCCATTTAAGCTGTCAAAGTGTTCTCTAAAGTCTCATCCGTAATATTTTTCACAAGATTTTCTGTTGTATATATATATATATATATATATACCTATGTATCTACCAAGTTGTTATGTACTTATTACAAGACGGAGGTAAGTGATATTTTGTTTATTTTAATTAATTTCGCACTAAACCAAAGAGGGTATTTGTGGATCGTTCGAGTTTCATCGAGTATTTCGCTTTTATTGTGTCATAGGTTAAGGGCTATTAATTGCGTCGCATATATTTCAAACAACAATTATTTATTTCACTCATTTTACAGTCCTTGTTTCAGTTTGTGAAAGTAAAACAGATTTCAGTAATTTGTTGGAATTTATTTTCGTATATATAACATCTAAAAAGAAATGAACCAAAAGCGTTGTTTTCAGCAGACATGATTAGTTTTTGGAGTGGATGAATAAGTATAATTGACTTATTAATGTTCTGAAATCATTAAATAAGTGTTGTTAAATTTCTCAGCATTCATTTGAAGGAGTTCTTATAAGTTTTCCCGCATTTTTGGCACCGTTAGAAACGTCTCATCATAAAACGACGAGTGGAGCAGGCAACAGTTTGCTGGAACCACTACAAATCCGTCAACTCAATTGGCCATACCTAATCGGGGTTGACTGATTGATGGGCACCCATATCCCATGCTGTGATGTTGTGGGACATTTACTAAAAAGGTGTTGGTGGATAATTTAGTCGGAAAACAAACGCGAACGGGAAATAGATAAAATGTTGTGCGAAACAAGCGGCAAAAGTTGAAAGGGTGTTGAGGGGTGTAGCTATCACTTATTAGTTATTATTTATTAGTAATCGGTTCTTGAGATAATTTGGAATAATCGGTGAGTCCGCTGCTTGTCATTATTATTTCACTATTACATCCCAAAATTAGAAAATGAGTCGTCAGACGAGTTTTCTAAGAGATGAGTGCTCTAAAATTATATTAATCTCCAATTATTTTTTAACAGTGATTCTCATGGCATGTCTCAGTGTCGTACGCGGCATATCTAAACCTTATTTTATGTAACGTATGTATTGATAACAATTTTTTTATTATTTGGACACTTCGTGTATTATTGTAATAATAATAAAGTAGCATAAAATTTCATTCATAAGACCGTCGCTATTTTCGTTAGAATCCATTATTTCGTTTTCGGTTTTGATTCAAAAGGTCACACTTATTTGTTATATTGATTATGGTTTTAGACGTAAAAATATTGGTCTTTGAGTGCCGACAAAGAATTTAAAGCCCAGGCTGGAATGGTCCGTTAGAATAACAGATGTACGAGATGCGACACTGACCGGGACGGATGGCAAAAAAAATCGCATGCACAGAAAAAGTTCTGGTTCGGGTGAAATTTTAGCGGGAAAATATTATTTTACATTATTAAGTAGGTAGTTTTCGAGAAAAAAACCGCAGAAACTCGGTGTAAAAATTTCCAAGGGTGTGTGTTACTTGTAAGACAATTTTCCATTTACAAAGTTTTAATTTATTAAACGGGAAAAATAAAAAATGTACAAAACATGTAACTAAAGCACCTGAAATGTTTAAAACATTCAAATACACTCGTGCTTCATCCTTATTTAACGTTAAATGATATAAAATACAGTCGAATTGTGATGTGTGGTACCACCCGAAGTTCTCGGCCGCTCGGCTCTCGTCGGGTGTTCGGTACCACCCCCAATATTATTCATCACCGCCCTCCTGGACGAACGGGTGGCGGACAGAGTCACCAACAACCCGTCAACGGGCACGCGTCGCAAAAACACATAAATATTTTCATTATCAAATATATATATTGACATGTACATAATAATCAATAAATCGTTGTTAAAAGTGCACGTCGTTCCACAATTAATAATCACTACAGTTTCCACATTGGTCCTTCGAGCCGGATTTTAATACCGCGATTGTATTATTCCGAATTGAAACGCGACGCGTGGTAGTGACGTTCCGTGGAAGCAGTGGACAGCATTTCTGAAAAAGGAAACACCACCCCATGGAAGAAGTTTTCAACTAACAAATTCCGTGGAAGCAGTGGGCAGCATTTCTAAAAAAGGAAACACCACCCCGTGGAAGAGGTTCATTCAGCGATCTCCGTGGCAGCAGTGGGCAGCATTTCCGACACAGGAAACACCACCCCGCGGAAGAGGTTCATTCAGCGATTTCTGCGGCAGCAGTGGGCAGCATCTCCGACGAGGAATCACCACCCCGTGCAAAAATCTTCAACATCGGAACTAGGGCTTTAACAAGAGGGAGTCAGCACACGTTCAGCTACACTCTTATAAACCACTGAGAGAGGAGAAAGGTTAGTGGCTCTTTTGTCCTAAGATTTCCCTTTTTTACCATATTCGCACGGCTAGCTTCAACGCGTATTTGTGTATCTATACATTTTTAATTGGCTTTAAGGTTCATTAATTATTCAAAAATATGTCTAAATTAGATCAGCAAAAAAACAAATTGAAAACCATTGATGACACATTGAAACGAATAGAGGAATATGTACAGTCATATAGTCCTGGGGTCTGTATCAATCAATTAAAAGCACGATTATCACTTCTTGACGGAATTAGAAACGATTTTAACGAAACTCAATACCAGATAGACCAACTTGAAAAGGGGGCCGCAGAAGCCTATGAAGGCTGCAGATCGGAATTTGAAATTCGTTATTGCGATGTTGTGTGTCTTATAAACGATATCATAGAAAAAAGTCTCGCGGTTTCGGTTCCATCGACTTCTTTATTGCTTAACCCTACGGACGGTAAAAATCCACGAGATTCTAATGACAGCATGCAGTTGAATCTACCTGTTTTAAATATCAAATCATTTAGTGGCGATTACAAAGAATGGTTAAATTTTGAAAATTCGTTCAAATCGGTGATAGATGAGAATAAGGCGTTAAATAATCGTCAGCGATTTCAGTATTTAAAGTCTTCCTTGCGCGACGAAGCCTTGCGTACCATCGAATCTTTAGTTATTAACGATGAAAATTATAAAGAGGCATAGAGATTACTAACTAATCGGTTCAAAAATACTCGTTTAATAGTGCAAGATCACGTAATGTCCATTTTAAATGCTCCTAGTATAAATAAGCAATCACCATCCTTATTGCGGGCTCTTGTCGATACGGTGGTGTCGAATTTAACGTCTCTAAAATCATTAGGAATAACGGTGGACAAATGGGATGCATTACTTATTCCTATCATTGTAGAAAAGTTGGATTATAGTACAAAACGTGAATGGCAACTTTCCCTCGATAAAGATGTACCTACCGACTTACAAACAGTTTATTGACTTTCTAGAAAAACGTTGTTTAATGTTGGAATCATTAAGTTATATGTCGAATAATAAAACATCATATGAAGGAAAGGTTTATCATAAACAAAATAATTATTTCAACAAATCAAAGACTGTTTCTCACATAACCACTAATAAAAAACAAGCATCTTGTTCAATGTGTAAAAAATCATCTCATTTAATTTTTCAGTGTATAGATTTTTTGAAAATGTCAATTCCCGAGCGTATAGCGCAAGTTAAACGTCTTAAATTATGCATCAATTGTCTCCGAGAGAATCATCAGGTTGCTACATGTCGTACCAGTCATAAATGTCAAGCTTGTAACAAAAAACATAATACGTTAATACATACAGACGAAGCTGACGCCGATGAAAATAGTTCAGTAACTTTAAGTAATCATTCGTCTAGTTTATTAAAATGCTCAGATTCCGTTTTACTATCAACGGCTATAGTTCTTATTAAAAATGCTAAAAATGAATATGAAACTTGTAGAGCTTTGTTGGATCCAGGTTCTATGTCCAATTACATAACTGAACCGATGATTAAAAAACTAAAATTGAACACGAAACAAATAAATATTCAAATTAAGGGTTTAAATGGAGCGGCAAGTTCTTCTCAAAGGCAAGTTCTAGATGTGGGTATAAAATCTATTTATAATGCATACTCAACAAAAATAAATTGCATCGTGGTGAACAAAATAACCGAAAATCTTCCGTTAGTGTCTATCAACCCCTCATCTTTGGAAATTCCCAAAACCATAAAATTAGCAGATCCCAAATTTTTCCAATCGGGTACAATAGATCTTTTGATAGGAGCCGGCCTTTTTT